ATATTTTAATGATATATCTGATAATCTTCAAAGTCTCTCAAAGTTGTTTGCAGATGATACGTCGTTATTATATTCTAATCCATCCCCTTACAATGTTGAAACTGTAATCAACAATGATTTAGAGTATATTCAAAATTGGGCGAGAAAATGGCTTGTAAAATCCTTAAAAAACAGGGGCATTACTTATCCATAACTCTGAATTAGATTATGCGATTGATATTAAATTTGATGATGTTAGTGTGAATTTTGTAGATAAACATAAGCACTTGGGAGTTATATTGGACGGAAATTGTAAATGGACTAGCCATATTGATGACATTTGTAAAAAAAAGTATCAAAGCAGATTAGTGTTTTGCGTAAACTAAAATTGATGTTAAGTCGGCAAACTTTGTATAGAATATATACTTCTTATATTATACCATTGTTAGAATATTGTTGTGAGGTGTGGGATGGGTGCACTCTCGGTGATACAGACAAATTAGAAAAACTCCAATTAGAAGCTGCTCGTGTAATCACGGGATTACCGTCGTACACGAGCAGAGAGTCTCTATACTCCGAAAGTGGTTTAGAACCACTTACTATTAGACGATCTTTTTACAAAATTAAACACAATATAGCACCCAATTACCTAACATCTCTCCTTCCACCCTTAGTCTCAGAAAACTCTCAATATAACCTTCGGGATGCTAATAATTACTCTATACCCAATTACCGTTTACAGCTTACAAATTCCTCCTTCTTTCCCTCTACAATCCAACTATGGAATCAGTTAGATAATGAAATCCGACAAAGTGTAACACATTCGTCTTTACAACATTCTCTTCGTAGTGTTAGACATACTCAAATTCCCTTCTATTATCTAATTGGTGACAGAAAAAATAACATTTTACATTCTAGATTAAGAAACAGATCAAGCGCACTAAATAATGATTTATTTCATGCTAATTTGGTTAATTTTAAACACTGTCAATGTGGAAATTCTATTGAAGATGCACATCATTTCTTTTTTTTAATGTATTAATTATGCCGATCAACGTTCACAGTTGTATCGTGAGCTAAATGATTTCATCCCTCTGGACCTGCACCTTCTGTTATTTGGAAATTCTCATTTGTCTAAACTGGAAAATGAAACTATTTGTCAATCAACCCAACTGTATATTAAAAATACTAATAGATTTAATTAGACCTTATTTTATAGTCAATTTATATTTGGTCTTTCCTGACTCGGGTGACATATGTTTGAGAAAAGTTATTCCAGAAGGACCAGCAAGTGACAAGGAGAAAGACATCGGTGGCACGGGATGTGATAGACAATAGATAGGTTTGAACGACAAGAACAGTGGATCAGTATTTATAATGGTGATTGTCACCCGACTCGGGTTAGACAACATTACTTATTGTTCTTAGTAAGAATTATATGTAGTTTTCAAAACGTATATGCTCTCTCTCTCTCTCTCTCTCTCTCTCTCTCTCTCTCTCTCTCTCTCTCTCTCTCTCTCTCTGTTTATAATTGTATATATACTGAAACGAAAAAAAAACGCAACTTGGAAAATTGTTATTAATTTTGTATTAAATATACATAGCTGTATAAAAATCGCGGAAATAAAAGTGCACCCTGCCTATCACCCTAACCAATGTTCAAAATCAACCAGGTGTGACAAGAAACCTATGCACATCCGGCGCGGTAAAAACATCAAAAACCGTGCCTGTACAAACATATGCGTTCTTTTTCATTCAAACCAGTATCAATTTATCACTAACATCGAGACACATCATCGCCAATACTTTTGCAAACAATAATTCCTTTTACAATTATGCCACGGTTATCACAGGTTGATAGAGGACGTGCTATCGCGATGCTTATGGCAGGGAGCACGCAACTTCACGTCGCTCGACACTTCAGAGTTCACAAATTGACTATTAGTCGATTAGTTTCACGTCTTAACGCCACAGGAAGAGTCGATGACCGGCCGAGATCAGGACGTCCACGCGTAACGTCGCGACGTCAAGACCGGGTTGTTAGGCTGACACACTTGCGTAACAGGAGGTTAACGGCTGCTGAAACGGCAAGAATACGATTGGTAATCATAACCATCTTATTCATCCCCAAACAGTGATCAACAGCCTGCGTGAGGCTAATTTGCGTGCAATGCGACAGTACGTTGGTTTACCACTAACACCGCAACGTCGAGCACGTCGTATGCAATGGTTGACGGCACATATGCTCAGACGTTTTCCTATGAGACGTTGGAGGTCCATGCTCTTCACCGATGAATCTCGATTCACGTTATTTCGAGCAGATGGCCGTCAACGTGTGTACCGGCGTCGAGGCGAACGTTTTGCTGACGCCTGTGTTTTGGAGCATGACCGATTTGGGGGTGGATCAGTTATGGTTTGGGCGGGAATCTCCCATGGTTTGAAGACACCTTTGGTGATAGTCAATGGGAATTTAACGGCCGTACGCTATCGGGATGAGATCCTTAGGCCCCATGTTGTGTCGTTTGTTAGGCAGCATCATCTAATCTTGCAGCAAGATAACGCGAGACCACACGTTGCAAGAGTCTGTAAAGACTTTCTTGCGACACAGAACATTGTTCCTATAGATTGGCCTCCATATAGCCCCGATTTGTCCCCAATCAAAAATTTGTGGGATGAACTAGACAGAAGAATTCGCAATCGCCGTAACCCCCCAAATACCCTCCCTCAGTTAGCAAATGCACTCGTCCAAGAATGGAATAAAATTCCAATACGGACAGTCAATGCCCTGATGAACTCGATGCAATGTAGAATTAGAGATACTATAGCTGTTCGAGGAGGACACACACGATATTAGGGCACGGATTCAAAACTGCTGCCATTTCATCTTGGATTCACGTAGGGTACTACCAATCATGACCTTCTAGCGAAGTGACCTTTGCATAAAAATCTCTAAACATTTAGAGGATGTTACATCAATATTCAATATTAACTATTACATATGAAATTTAGACATAATGCTCACAAGTATTATTTTATTAAACCTACAATTTGAAGTTGCGTTTCTTATTCGTTTCAGTATATATGTGTATATATAACAATAGGCCATCATCAACATTTATATTAAATACTAATTACTTGGAACGGGCTTAGTATAAGTTGGAAAACTTGTGCCCAATCCTTTGTGTATATTTATATGCAATAAAATATGTTTAAATCAAATCAAATCAAAGCATTATTGATTTGTTGATTGTTGATCAAATATACCTCTGTCTTAGATAATTTCACCTTACATTCTACTGTGTTTTTGTGAAGAGCTTTTTTGGCTAGATCATCGGCTTTTTCATTTCCAGATATATTGTGACATGTAATGGATACATATTCAAAATTTACCAAAATTCCCTGTTGTTTTAAGTTTTTAACTAAATTCAACATTGAGTTAATTATATTTGTTCTTTTGCTTTTTGTGGTCTGTATTGATTGTATTGAAGAAAGTTTGTCTGTAAGAATTATCGCTCTGTTTGTGGACATTTTGTAATAAGTCGTATTGTGTTTCTTTGTGACGCCGCGCCGTCCACCAGGGCTTATATGTGAGAGTAAGGTCCTCATATTCTTTCTTGTAGTTAAGGGACCCGTTACTTACATATGAAATCATTTATTTTGAAGGTTATCAAATTTACTTTGATCAGAAAACAATACAACTATTTACTATATACAAACAGCATTCCGTCTTAATTACACGATACACATACATTGATGCCGGTTTTACCTGTACAGCGATAGGACTTAAAAAGTTTCCGTGAACTGAAATTTTGTGCCATTTTCACCTAAAAAATTACACAAATAATTTTCAATTAAAGTTTGTCAAAGTTATGTCAATGTGTTGGGAAGTTACTGTACTTGCTAGTCAGAGGCATACATTTATAATACAATTGTTATATGATGATTATATAATAATTAATATTTTTTGCCCCTATATAACGTATAGTAAAAGAAGTTCACCATGAGCGAGAAATCCGCGATTGCGCGGCGCGTTATGTCTTCAATAGCTGCATATGGTATGTGTTTCTTTGTTTTCTTTTTGAAACTTTATTTAGACTGAAACGCACTAGGGGTCTACCTTCCCTTTCCTGGTCCGTTCGGAGAATCGAACCCCGGACGTCTAGATGAAAGTGTGTTACCCGTTACCTGACCACCCTTTGTGACTTGCTCCATCCGCCACGGCTTTTATGTAGGGCGAAAGATCTCGTTCACATGTAGAGTGGTAGCTAAGGAACCCTTAGATTTGGCCAGAAATGTGTTAGCGGCCTTGTGGATACTCGAGCAGCGGTTTTAATGCATTGGTACAGATATGAAGTATTCTACCATAAAGAACTTTGCCCTAATAACTACATGTATATATTCTTATATAAATGTATATATAATATCTGTACATGAATAGAAACAAAAGCCCTGGCGGCTCCGGTATTGAAAATAACAAGATGCGAGCGCATGGATGCGAAGTCAGTGATATCAAATAATAATAATAAACCCTGGCGGTCCCCGCATTGCAAATAACGGGACGCGAACGCATTGTTGCGATATCGATGATTTCAAATAGTAATAATTTTGTCATTTTAACATATGTTTTCATCAGTTCTGGATAAAGGTATTGATTTTATTCATATATACATAGATAAGGCAGATTTAACAATACGGTAATAGAAATAATAGAAATAAAAGCCCAGACGGTCCCGGTATTGCAAATAACAAGATTTATAATAAATAGTTGTGATATCAATGATTTCTAATACCCATAACTCGGACAATTTCTGATAATTTTGCACAATATTTTGACTATTATATTGATGCTGTTAATACTTTTGCATATAAGACAATCTAAACTTGGCATAGGTGCAAATAAAGGCCCGGACGGTACCAGGCGGTGCCGGACTGTGTCGGCAATACCAGGCGGTACCGGGCAGTCAAATGCGGTGCCGGGCTGTAGTTATGTTGACGGAGTTGGCTGAAGAAACAGTAAACAGATTTCGGCCCACAGAAATCAGCGATGTCCGTGGAAGCTCACGGCACAATTCCTGATTTGATCAGTAGCAGCGTTTCATTCGACTTAGGTAAAGTTATAGATATCACGACACTCTTCTACAATAACATTCCAACCACTGGGATGATCCGGATGGTCTTTGATTTATGATAAAATTTAGCGATGAATATTTGTATTATATAATGAAATGATAACAAAACGCAACTTCTTGAATTGTAAAATATTTTGTATTGATTATACATAGTCGTATGAACATAATATGAATGTTAGGTCACCTTACGTAATCCCCAGGGACCTGTATATCCAACAGAAACACAAGCTAAAATCTCGTCCACTATGCATCATGCAAAATATAGGAAAGTTGTTCCTTTGAGATAATCGGAACGACGTTTGGAGCTCCTAAAAACTGAAATGTTTGATATTTTCACTTAAAGCGCTATTTGAATGCCATGTTTACCAGTAAAACTTGTTTTTATTACCTTTAAATAACATCAGGTTCATTATGCTTGCCCATATACGTGGCAGGAGATTAACAACAGTCGAAACCGCACAAAATACCATCGGTAATGGAAACCACTGAATTTTCCCACATACTCAGAGAAATAGACTGTGGGAGGCAGATTTACGCCACATAGCCAGTAGTTGGTTTACCTCTGACATCACAACATCGAGCACATCATATGTGATGGTTAATCATTGGACATGTGCCGAGACGTTTCCCTACGAGACAAAAAAAGTACACCTGTCATAATGGCTTGCTTTGAAAAATAAAAGAAAGTGTACTTTTTGTACATTTTTTAAAATGTACAAATACGTATGTACTAAACGCAGCAATTAAGTATACTTTGGTGTCCTTTTTTTGGCCACTACTCGGTAAAATATCTGAATTGGATTGTTAATTTGTCAATGTAAAGGGATTGTGCATTTTTGCCCATGTGGCCTTGATAACTGTGGATTTGGAACCTGTTGTTTGTTGGTAAGAAAAAAAAGTCAAGTGGTATTATGATGACACAGCTTGTGAACTACCACATATAGCAGAAAGACAGAATGTCGGTAACTCCAACAAAAGAAACATGAGTGATCAAATTTAGGTGGTGTAGTTGTATTTTGTAGTGATTTTGGGCTGTGTGGACCCTGATAGTTCAAACTCTAATTTATTTTTCGCAAGCATAATTTTATCATAATTGGAACAGGTTCAACAATATCTAATTACTGTTTTTTTAAACTAGCAGACCAAACGTTTGCGGTAAGTATCAAAATCTGATATACCTTTAGGAACCAACATAGCTCCTATCATAATGGCGGGAAATGCTTTGCCATATTATTAACAGATAAAAAAAAAGTTAATTGGCCTCTTCCTTTGCAGATACTGGAGATGTTGGAGGAACCAAATTCTACACAAGTGTATGTATTACATTATTTGTTCAAACAATTTAGTTTTTCAGCTGTATGTATTAAAGTAATATTTCATGAGGAGTCACAAGGCAAGTGTGATGGTGAGTTTACTATTAAACACACTTATAATGTGTTTTTATTAGACTTTTAAGGCAAAACCATATTAATTATGCCTGTACTAAAAAATTCCCGTACTTTTCTAAATATATCTGTTCATTACAATATGCCCATACCCAAATTACACTGCCTGACATGTGTTGCCTTTAAAAAAGAATTGCGGCACTTCATTTGTTTATAATTCCTCATTCCATAGTCATTTACTTACCCTTTAACCTTTATAACCAGTATTGCTTATCTAAGGTGACCTTCAAGGTGGGTAGGTCTCTTTTTACATAATTGACATCAGATTTGACCTTGAAAATGGCTTAAATATAAGTTCATTCTTTATACACCATTTTTTATCTCTGTATATATATGATATTACATTTAGATCTAAATCTGTTAAGTACACTTTAATTTCTTGTGTTTTATTTTAACAGGGAATGATATATCCACTTGTACCACATAAATCCTTCCTGAGAAATGCAGTGGCACAAATCAGTAATGTGATGAGGATTAAAGCAGTAAGTTATCAACCAGCACAGATAACTTTGATCTGATGAGGATTATCTTACTATTCAATCATTTTACTCTACCAACATAGTTATTGTTTATATATAATTATAAGCGGCTGGGACTGTGACACTGATACAATAAGAAGTTAGTTGTCAACCACAAAGTACTGATAGTAAAATGTAATGATGATTAGATTGATTAGCTGTCCATTTAGTTTTCAACCAGAGAATGCTGCAAGTGTAATGTGATGAGGATTAAGGAGGTTAGTTGTCAACCAGAGAGAACTTCATAGTGAAATGTAAAGTATCCTTGGTGCATAGGATGTGATGAGCCATTCACCGTTAAACATTTTTTATTGGACTGCAATGACCTGTCCCCACGAGAACATTTTTATTGTAATAATACATGTCTAAGTCCCTTTTTGAAACTGTTGAGATTTGTGAAATTCTACTTTACCTGAAAGATGTTGGTCTATATAATAGACTATGAAATATCATTTTAATCTTTTGTGTTAATATACCAATTTAAGATTTTTAGCATTTGTCTTTTACCTTTTGGTTTGTTTAATGTTATTTCTTTTCGGATCGCTGTGTGTTTTACCATTTGATGGCCCCAATGACCTTTTTTGTGTTCACGGGCCGTTAAGAATGTAATAATAACAATGATAATAATTTAATGTAAAGAGGGTTAAACAGTTTAGTTATCAACCAGAGTACTGATAGTGTAAGCATATAGTTGTCAACTAAAAAGTACTGATAATGTGATGAGGATTAAGGAGGTTAGTTGTCAACCAGAGAGAACTTAATAGTGTAATGTGATGAGAATTAAGGAAGTTAGTTGTCAACCAGAGAATACTGATAGTGTAATGTGATGAGGATTAAGGAAGTTAGTTGTCAACCAGAGAATACTGATAGTGTAATGTGATGAGGATTAAGGAGGTTAGTTGTCAACCAGAGAGAACTTAATAGTGTAATGTGATGAGGATTAAGGAGGTTAGTTGTCAACCAGAGAGAATACTGATAGTGTAATGTGATGAGGATTAAGGAAGTTAGTTGTCAACCAGAGAGAACTTAATAGTGTAATGTGATGAGGATTAAGGAGGTTAGTTGTCAACCAGAGAGAAGGATTAAGGAGGTTAGTTGTCTGATAATGTGATGAAGATTAAGGAGGTTAGTTGTCAACCAGAGAGAACTTAATAGTGTAATGTGATGAGGATTAAGGAGGTTAGTTGTCAACCAGAGAGAATACTGATAGTGTAATGTGATGAGGATTAAGGAAGTTAGTTGTCAACCAGAGAGAATACTGATAGTGTAATGTGATGAGGATTAAGGAGGTTAGTTGTCAACCAGAGAGAATACTGATAGTGTAATGTGATGAGGATTAAGGAGGTTAGTTGTCAACCAGAGAGAACTTAATAGTGTAATGTGATGAGGATTAAGGAGGTTAGTTGTCAACCAGAGAGAACTTAATAGTGTAATGTGATGAGGATTAAGGAGGTTAGTTGTCAACCAGAGAGAATACTGATAGTGTAATGTGATGAGGATTAAGGAAGTTAGTTGTCAACCAGAGAGAACTTAATAGTGTAATGTGATGAGGATTAAGGAGGTTAGTTGTCAACCAGAGAGAATACTGATAGTGTAATGTGATGAGGATTAAGGAGGTTAGAGAGAATACTGATAGTTGTTAGTTGTCAACCAGAGAGAATACTGATAGTGTAATGTGATGAGGATTAAGGAAGTTAGTTGTCAACCAGAGAGAACTTAATAGTGTAATGTGATGAGGATTAAGGAGGTTAGTTGTCAACCAGAGAGAATACTGATAGTGTAATGTGATGAGGATTAAGGAGGTTAGTTGTCAACCAGAGAGAACTTAATAGTGTAATGTGATGAGGATTAAGGAGGTTAGTTGTCAACCAGAGAGAATACTGATAGTGTAATGTGATGAGAATTAAGGAAGTTAGTTGTCAACCAGAGAATACTGATAGTGTAATGTGATGAGAATTAAGGAAGTTAGTTGTCAACCAGAGAATACTGATAGTGTAATGTGATGAGAATTAAGGAAGTTAGTTGTCAACCAGAGAATACTGATAGTGTAATGTGATGAGAATTAAGGAAGTTAGTTGTCAACCAGAGAATACTGATAGTGTAATGTGATGAGGATTAAGGAGGTTAGTTGTCAACCAGAGAGAATACTGATAGTGTAATGTGATGAGAATTAAGGAGGTTAGTTGTCAGCAAGAGAGAGCAGGTAGTGTAAGCAGTAGCAGTTAATGGTGACATTAAAACTAAGTGGTCTCTTTTTGTTGCTATTTTTATAAAGCTGAGATGATTAAATATTTAGGCACAAAAACTGACTGAAAGTCCTTATGTATATTTTATACTTGTATTCATTCTTCCAAGCTGATATAATTAATTTCCGCTTTGTTTTCTAGACAACCTGTACTTTTATCTCTATTTACTTATTATTTTAATTCCCTTTATTCAATAGTCAAGGAAAATTTTACTTGTGCTTGGACTGAATGTGCTGGGATCTTTGCTACTGTTGATATGGTGTCATGGATCCGACAGTATGGGTAAGAGATGAACTCTCATTTATTATTTTATATTATTACAACAAAGTCATGTACTTGCATTCCTGTCAACCAAGTAATGATGTTCAGATAGTGTGGCATGTTAAGCCCTGATTTGACCTAAATGAAGCTATTAGAAAAAAGACAAGAGAATTTTTGTTTTTCTATTCAAGCAAATTGGGAAAACTTGCTTATACTGAGTTAAGTATCTTTTATACAAAATACATTTCATTGATTCTATACGAAGTCATGACTTAAATTGTTGTATCTGTTGTCTGTCAACAAATCATTTTGTACAGTTGTGGGATAGCACAACATTACATAATTAATTTAAAATCCTACTCCACATGTAGGAATGATTGGAGTTTGCTAAAATTTGGTCTGTAACATGACAGTTTTTACAGCCATTTCTTCTTCTCATGGATTTTTCCCAAAAAATAAATTTTATGGTTGTCATGATTACAGAACAGAACTGCTGAGTGATACAGGCCCTATTGACCTCTTTTTGAAGTATCTGGTTATTACATTTTATAATGTTTTATGTATATTATTTGACATGACTTTGTTTCAGCTCTAACTGCCTACACATATCTCACCCTGTATGACATATTCACGTAAGTAGCATAGTCACTTATATTATTCAACCAAGTCACTAAACACATGTTGTTGTGTAATGCCCCATAACGAAACTTGGTCAAATGCTATAATTGTCAAAGCTTATCATTGAAATTGATTAGAATTAAATTTGACACCTCAGGTATTTTCATAAATGGAGGCATCTGATTGGTCAAAATTAATATATTGTCCAATGATGCTGAAAATTGACATACAATTTATAAGTTAGAATTTGATGAATGGTAATTACAATGGTTCATTTTTCCAAAACATTATGTGTCATTTGGTTGCCATGGTGACCAAATCAGACCTTTAATAGGAGGGATCTTGTCTAGATTTCTTCTAAACTTGGAAACCTATTTAAATGAAACTTTGATTTACATAATTATTGATCATATTTTCATGTAAGTGTGTTTTTTATGATTTGTAGGGTTTTAATCTGTCTTTTGAGCATTTGGGTCCAGATGCAGAAACCAAATCCAGCATACTCTTTTGGGTAAGTTTTGATGAGTTTTTAACATTGCTTATATTACATGTGAATAAGAAAATTTGTGAGTGCATTTTAATGGATTCGTAGTCACATGAGTCAGATATTTTATTAAAAAATGTACTTCACATGGCATGTCATACCTAACTCTGGATTCTAAAGATATCTGTAATGATCAAGGAAATGTGTGTAATTTGTCAGAAGCAGAGATGTTGAAATACAATGCAGTACATTCCACGTACATAATTAGATGCTATTAGAGAATGACATGTTAAGAATTAAAGCTGTACTGTATAAAAGAACTTTCTGCTTTTTGGGAACATCAGAATGTGCATTTATATTTCCCCAAGTAAAACAGTATGTCAAATATATCTTTCAATCATCTAAGGAAATATTGCTGTATTTTAAGGTCACCTGAGACAATGTCAGGGTGACCTGTTGCGAAATTTTACAAAAACCTTCCATGACTCAAGGCACACCAAAATTGTAAATTTTATGGTCCCTAACCACTAGGGGCCTGAGGGGTGGGGCCAGAAAGGGTCAAATTGATTGAAACTTCAAATCCCAGGTATAGTAGAATCAAGTACTCATCATGGATGGAAAGGCTTTGTAAATTTCATGGCTCCATGGGTCTCACATTTCCCCTGGGAAAACTAATCTAGCATATAGCAGTCATATTGTTTTCTTTTACATAATGTTGAAAAAGATTGGAATTGTTATTTGTGATGTGTGATTTTAACTGCATGTGTATTTTTTTAATTGTCTCTTTAATCCTTAATCACCAATCAGGTATGAAAGATTTGAGGTGCTAGCAGTATTTGCCTCTACGATGTTAGCCCAACTTGGAGCCCTGTTTGTTATCAAAGAAAGGTATAGTGGCTTATGGTATTGTTTTATTCTGACAGCTGTGACAGTTTTGTTCTCACCACAAGTGTAATAACACCTTAAGAAGGCTTTGATTGGCTAATAAGGTTCCCATGATTTCAATTGTGATGTCCATAATCATTGTATATAACACTTAATATATGCATGTGTAAAGTTTTGCCAGGACATACATGTATTGTGGTATGGCATTGTCCACCCATTCATTGAGTTATCCTTTAGAATTTTTGTTTGTCCGAAGATCCTCTGCCGCAATTTTCAGCTGGCCTTTTTCATGCTTGGTAGGCTTAATCACCATAACATGAAGTTGTGTTTTCCAGAACTGCAGTTAGATTCTGCTGTATTTGGAAGAGTAACTGCCCTTTTTGTTGTTTTCATAATCACAACATTGTCAGCAGATTGTCCTCATTCTTTTACCAATATCTCTCAATATCTCAATATCAACTTTGTGTGCTTTAGAACCATTAAACCATTTCTCCTCATGGCATTTTTATGTTGCAATATTAAAAAGGGTCATTGTCTTTTGGATTTTTTTCATTTTTTTTGTATTGTCCAGATATTTCCTCTACCAGTTTTTAAGAGGGTTTAAAACAATAAAATGAGATTTTGCTCTTGTAGCCAGCATTTTGATTCAACAATATTTTCAAAAAGTTATTGGGTTTTGTCATTTTCAGTATTTAAATTCAGGAATTTCATTTTTTTAACCCATGTGTTTGAGACTTTGTTATTGCTATCGTGCATTATCCGTCGTTGTGTGCCGTCCATAAACTTTTGCTTTAAAACACTACTCCTGCTTAACCTGTAGGCAGATTTTAACCAAATTTGGTCTGAAACATCATTGGGGTGAAGGATCATTCCTTAAATTCAGAAATTTGATTCGACCCTTGGGACCTGGGATGGGGCTTCAAAACTGTAATTAGACAATACTTTGCTTCAAAAGGCTACTTTTCCTAAATGCTTGGATGGATTTCATTCAAATTTTGTCTGTAACATTAGGGGTTGGCAAATAATTCTAAAATTCATAAAGTTGATTTGACCATTAGGGACTTGTGGGTGGGGTCCCAAAAGGGCAAATAAGACAATACTTTGCTTCAAAACACTACTTCTTAATGCTTGGGCAGATTTCAACCAAATTGGGTGTAAAGCATTATTGTAGGTGCAGGTTATCATTTCTTAAATTTAGAAAGTTGATTCGATTTCTAGGGATTTTGGTGCAAGGCCCCAAAAGGGGAAATTCGACAAAAGTTTGCTTCAAAATGCTACTTTTTCTCAATGCTTAAATTGATTCCAACCAAATTTGGTTCAAAACATCATTGAGAGTGAGAAATCATTTCATAAATTCAGAAAGTTGATGCAACCTCTTAAGACAGGGACGGGGCTTCAAAGGGAGAAGTTAGTCAATATTTTGCTTCAAAATGCTTTTCTTTCCTAATGTTTGAATGGATTTATACCAAATGTAGTCTGAAATATCATCAAGTTTTTACTAAAATTCGCTACTAGTCATGTACAACTTTATGGATTCTGACCAAATTTAGTCAGAAGCATCCAGGAAGGATAGGGAAACAAGTTCATATATATGATTGGTTTTGGCTCCCTGAGGTCTGAGAGGTCCCAGAAGGGGGAACATTAGTAAAACGTTTTAATTTCCCCACCTGAAGGAATGATTAGATTTTGTCCAAAGGATTTGGTAGGCTAAGAGCTTTTGTTGGCCCCTAAATATCAGCATTGTACAAAGTGAATAAGAATAAAACAAAACATAAAATATGAAGACGTGTATTTTCGTTTAAAATCTATATATTGATTGATAATCTCCTGATAAAAAATTCTGAGAAAAAATGAAATAGCATTTACCTACAATGCAGGTCATCAATGTCGCTGTATAGAGTCAAGTATTTGAAGCTGTTTTTTGTGGAAATGGGTTAATATTGATTGGATATGCGCACTTTGAATGCCAGTGGTGTACATGTTCTGTTTTTCATAAACACTGAATACTTGCTGAGCGACGGAGGCACATTGGGCATTTTGTTTCAACAGTAAAATAGTGGAAAGTGACATCACTGGTAATGATTATAATAACCTGCAGCTTTTGTCTTTAGGTCTTGAGATTAAGTCAAATTACATAATCATGACCTCATAGTTATCGTTAATTGTTAATTTAAAAGAGTTACTTGAATGAGATCTATGTGTTATATATTACAGCATAGAAAGATTGATCCAACAGCCAGATATTCACACGTAAGTCTTTTTTTTTCTGTAACACATTAATCAATTCTAGAAGGAACACTGTGTACATAGTTAACTCCGTTCATTATAGGATTAACTCCTGTATACTATGGTGGTAACTCCAGTGTACTATGGTGGTAACTCCAGTGTACTGTGGTGGTAACTCCAGTGTACTGTGGTGGTAACTCCAGTATACTGTGGTGGTAACTCCAGTGTACTATGGTGGTAACTCCAGTATACTGTGGTGGTAACTCCAATGTACTATGGTGGTAACTCCAGTATACTGTGGTGGTAACTCCAGTGTACTGTGGTGGTAACTCCAGTATACTGTGGTGGTAACTCCAGTATACTGTGGTGGTAACTCCAGTATACTGTGGTGGTAACTCCAGTGTACTGTGGTGGTAACTCTAGCGCACTGTAGTGTTATCTCCAGTTGATAGAGTGCGTGTTGAAAATTTCAATCAATGTGGGAGAAGCTAAAATAGTGTATAACATATGATAAGTAGGGAAAAAGTACACTGTGTTTCGTACTATTTGTCAAAATATCCAAAGTTAGAATTTTGTACAAAAAATGTACAGTAAAAAAATTCTAAATCCTTCAACAGAAGGGAAAAAGTACAATTATGTTCATGTGCAATTTTGTGAAGTTAACAAGTTAAAGTTATTGGTATAAAAAACAATTAAAAAGGCAGATTTTACTACAAAAAAAATACATCAAGTTATTTCAGAATTGAGATTTAGTACAAAAATATTAACCAGTCAAAAACTAGTTGAAAAGAGTGTGGGGGGGGGGGTACCTTTAAAAAAAGTACACATTGGTATGTACTTAAAGCAGCATTAAAGTATACATTTTTTGCTAGAGGGGTAAATAAACATTTCTTTGAAGAACCTCTGAAGAGGTAAAAATCTATATGTACTTCTATACTCTGTTTAGAATTTTGTTTGTACACTAGAGTTGATATGGTGTAAACCACGGTACACTGTGATATTCACGTTTCCCATACTATCCAGTGTAATAGGCTAACAACATCACTTTGCTTCCAACTGTAAATGTCTGGCTACATAGAGTTTTCCCTTGTCATTATAATCTGTTACATTTCTTTGACAGTGGACGGCTTTTGGTGGGAACTGTGTTCGCATTCTCGCTGCACATGTTTGTAGCTTACAGTGTGAACAACCGTGCAATGAATCATGTCATCGATGCTTCAAGTTCTAGTTGGCTTCAGGAACATATGACTGACATGAGTGAAAGGTAACAATGACAACCAACAAATCTTAATTACCAAATGTATTTAAACTGTACACAATAAGTAGTTGCAGTTCTCCATATGTGATTGGTTGATTTGAAGTTAAGTCTTGGATGTCAGTTAAAATGATAAACCAAGAGAATTCTTTTCTAACTACACAGATTAAAGTTAATTTCACATGGTATAAACAAGATGAAAGCTGCATGCTAGACATTTTAAAGTACCATCAGAATGTGTATTCTTGTGTATATCTGTAGCTTTGTTTACTTTAGATTCTAGAACTGAATCATTTTAGAAATTTGAAATGATTGATGAAAAACTATGGTTGATCAAAATGGACCTGAAATAGTCTGAAAGCACATGTTCTTGCTGAGCTATCAATTTTGATGAACCTGACATTTCTAGCTCACATTATATGACGATGATGTGAAGTTAGATCAGCAGGATATGAGTTATTGTCTTGGATTGATCTTATAATCAATAAGTGACATCCAAACCACATTAGATAAGTATTTATCAAGGCAGCCCTGTGACAGGTACCTTTCTACAAAATTAACAATGGATGAGAATTAAGTTGTAGACAAACAAATCCAACAAAGTTTGATAGAACAATTCGAGAGTCCATGTAGTTGACAATTATTTTTGGTTAAGGAACAGGACATGTCATGGAGAGTGAGTATGATTACAGGTCATTAGATATGAAAACTATAGTTAGAATTCCTGTAAAATATCCATTCTTAACTCACGTGGCCTGAAGGTGATTGAATATTGCCCAAATTTTGTCTGAAACTTAGGTGAAGGGGAATCAATTTGGTTTAAACATTGGGTCTCGGCCCCTTGGGGCAGGAGGAGTTAGACCCAATCCAATCCAATCCATCTTCTTTGAAGGAATACTTGGATGTTGTCCCAATTGGCCTGAAATATGCTTGAATAAAGGGGAATCAGTTTTGTATAAACAGTGGATATGAGCACCATAGGGGGAAGGGTGGGGCCCAGTAGAGGAAATAGAGCAAGTTTTTTAAAATCATTCCTATCTTGGAACTGAAGACATCCTTGGTGAAGAGAATTTAGTTTTTTTTGCAAACAGTGCATCTAACCCCTTTTAGGTGGAGAGGTAAGCCTGTTACAGGGGAAAAGGAACAAGTATTTTAAATACTTAACCATTAGCTAAAATAAATCAGTTTCAGCAAAGGAAACCAGGTTAGCAATACAGGCTCTTTGGGCCTCTTTTTCCATTACGATGTGATCCTCTAAAAGAAATACAGTCTGGATGACATGGGAAATTTTGCAAAAAATCATTATTGTAATATTGAAATTTGGAATGAAGCATTACCTTGAGACTGCTGGTGTCTTTTTCAGCCTGTGTCATGTTGTCCCTGGTCTCAGTAAGCTGCTGTTGCCCAGGATCAATCCGCTTGCTCTCATCGGCTTCACAGGGGGCCTGGCAATTTGTTTAACTTACATCCTTATAGACACCAAGTAAGTATATCCTACATGTTCTGTTGGACAGTCTCTTTTTTCCCTCATTAGCATTATATATTTCTAGTGAACTAGTTGTCTTTTTAGAGCACCTGACAATGTTAAACACCTGTGAACATATTACTCATTCACAACATGCAGGTGGTCATTCTGGTATTACTATAAACAACAGAAGAAGAATATATTCAATTTGGAAATCCACTTCATATATATCAAAGACTCACATATCATATTCACCGATACATTCAAATAAGAATCTCATTTAAAATTCATTTGCTAAAGAACAATTCGTTTATATTAATTTGACCTAATCAGGAATTGAATGTGAATCTCCTGCTGCATGTGATAGAAAAACATGTTTCTGTGGTAACACCAACAGTAAAAGCTTCGTAAAGGTTAAAAAAAATGTTCCCTTCATCCTACTCCATTTTCCTGGCTTGTAGAACGTAGAAATCATGGCTTCATAGAATATTATTTTTTCCTGTATATAACACAATAAATGAATTAGCATGACACAATACATGAATATGCCCCAGGAAAAATTACCTTACAAAGCTGGTTGGTAAGGTGTGGCAAAAATCGGACAAGTTCACTGAAATCTAAATGAATTTCAGACCCATACAGTATTTAAGATGTTATGGCTACTCTACTGAACAAAATGTTGTTTTGAAAGAGGACTTCCAATAATGAGTTGTTAGATTTCCAATGGTTTGTGTATGTTCCACATATAGATAGACTTTGTACCTGTACATCATGCAAGATAACCACCATGTTGAACATCTACACATTTGTTATAGCCACTGTTATTGATCAGAAAGTCATGTCCAGACTGGATTTCTGCTAATGTGTGTATAATGTGATCCACAGTTGGACCAAATGGAAATTCTGACCTGTGCTGCATTCTTGATGACTGCTTTGCAGCCAGTAACTGTTGTTTTATTTGAGATTGTGGACCTAATTTAATTAGTAAAGTGTTAGTAAGTTATTTGAGTCTTTTCCACAGATTGTACTACTCTGCTGACACGTGGGCTGCCATATCTATTGCTGTCATGATCTGTGGCACTATGTTTCCTATGAGTGCTTACACTGGCAAAATACTTCTACAGGTAAGGCTGTCAAAATACTTCTACAGGTAAGGCTGTCAAAATAGACCTACAGGTAAGGCTGTCAAAATAGACCTACAGGTAAGGTTGTCAAAATAGACCTACAGGTAAGGCTGTCAATATAGACCTACAGGTATGGCTGTCAAAATACTTCTACAGGTACGGCTGTCAAAATACTTCTACAGGTAAGTCTGTCAAAATAGACTTACAGGTAAGGCAGTCAAAATACTTCTACAGGTACGGCTGTCAAAATACTTCTACAGGTAAGGCTCTCAAAATAGACCTACAGGAAAGACTGACAGAATACAACTTCATGTAAGATTGTCTTCTTATTCTTCCAAGTAAGTCTGTCAAAATGTAATAATACATAAGACTACTTCAGTAAGAACTAGTTCATACTCCTATTTAAGGTAAGGCTTGTAAAGGCCTATTTAATGTAAGGCTTGTAAACTCCTACTTAAGATAAGGCTTGAGGGGGAGGGCCCAATAGGGGAAATACACAAAATTCTTTAAAATTCTACTCCTCTTGTTGGGTTGGGATGGAGTTGACCAAATTTGGTCTGCAGCATGTTTGGGTGAAGGGGGGATCAGTTTTGTATAAACGGTAGGTTTCGGACCCTTGGGCCAGGGAGGGTAGGGCCAAATAGGGAAATAGACAAAATTCTTTAAAATCATACTCCTCCGGTAGGGAAGATTGGATTTTGACCCCTTGGGGCAAAGAAGGTGGGGGCCCAACAAGGGAAGTGGAGCAAATTCTTATTTTTAAAAATTCTTCTGTTGGAATAATTCAGCTTTGCCAAATTTGGTCTGAAACATTTTTTTTTAATGTTTTAATGAAACAATTTCAGTAAACAAAACCAGGTGAGTAATTCAGGCCCTATAGGCCTCATGTTATTGACAGAATTAGTAAATACAAATTCTTTTGGCTTTAAGATTATATTCAAGTTCTTGTTTTGAAATATGTTTTATGATGGTTAAAGATCTGGATATGTTGATCATTATACAGACATCTCCTGCACACATTCTTGGTCAGCTGGACAAACTTCTTCGGGAGGCTTCCACTTTGGATGGTGTGTTGGAGTTCAGACATGAACACTTTTGGACTCTTTCCTTTGGCTGTCTAGTAAGTGTACAGAAATTTGGCATTGTGTGATTTATATATGACAGCTGCTGGAAATATGATGCCAATTTTCAATTGTGTATTTCTGAACATCTCTCTAGCCAATGAGTACTAAATATATTTTGAAGAATGATTACTAAGTATTGTTAATGAAATTATCATCATATGGCCAATTTCTCTTTTTATATGCCTTTTTAAGTCAGAGCATTCAATATAGTTACTGGGTTTTTATTGATGATGAGTTGTATAATGAAATACCCTACACTGTCTGTCCGTCCGTCTGTCTGTCCATTAACATTTTCCTTGTAAGCACTCTTTTACCTTTATTTATGTATTATATAAAATGCTGAAAATATTCTATACCAAATTTGCTTCAGTGAATTCTTGTAACATAATTATGTGATTGATTTAAGTTTTGCCTCTTTTGTTGGTAGATATGGACATAGCAAAGGCAGGAACTTTTCAATTCTCTCTTCAATTTCTTTCAAATTTGATATGGTGATATAAGAAGCATTGGACATATCTTCAGGTTTTTCATGTGACCTGTATTTTCAGAGTTAAGCCTCTGCTATTATTTACATAATATTAATCTTGTCTAAGAGATATTCTCTCACAATTTAGACTGATTTCTTTAAAAATTGTTAAGCTTCTTTGCCATGACAAGAAGTTTTTGTGTTTTTCTGACCTGCAGTTTGATTTGACTGTTTAGAAGAGTTCCTGCCCCTTGTTATTTTCATAATGGTTTCTTATTTGGAGATCTTCTCTCACAGTTTCAACCAATATCTTTCAACTTGGTAGCATAATTGCCATGACATGAAGTTTTGTTTTCTTAAATTTATGGCAGTTGGATTCAACTGTATTTTGAAGGTTAACTGCCCCTTTTAAGATTTGTTAATCACCTTCATCATGCATGAAGTGTCCATTAACAATTTAATATTTTCAACTTCATCTCAAAATCTTAAGAACCCATTTAAAGGAAATTTTACAGAAACCTTCTCTGTCCTAAGATAAAACAAAATAGTGAATTACCGGTATATGGTCCCAATCCCATGGGGCATGAGGGGTGGGGCCAAAAGGTTCAAATTAACTCAAATTCAAAATATCTTCCTCTCAAAACCCAGATATGGTAGAATCAAATGCTCTTCATTGATGGAAGGCCTTAAGGTAGTTTACCAAAATTGTGAATTTCATGGCCCCAAGGTCTCATATTTCTCTGTAGAGAGGGGGTCAATTTTGCTATAGTTTATATAGGATAAATAGATTTTTGAGTATTGTTTGAGTATTTTTTTATTTTCATTTTTTGATTTTCATTGGAAATATCTTAAATTATGAATGAAGAATGACAGCTTAATGGTACGAATAGATTGATCCTGACCGACCCCCAGGAGCTTTTAGGCAGGGCCAAAAGGGGTCAGATTGACTCAAATTTCAAAATTTTTCTTCTCAACACCCATGTATGGTTGAATTTAATTTTCTTCTAGACTGGGAGAGTCTTAAAGTGCATTAATTACAAAAATGGCTCTCACATTTCTTCCCGGAGAGGAGGTTAACTTCAGTATAACTGTAAAGGATGACAGTTTTGATGGTATGCCTGTGTTAACACTGGCTTACTATCATTAATGTCACTATTTCCTTTTCATGACACTTGAAAGCTACTTTTCCTTTAACCTTTATTCAATATTGTTTATCCAAAGTGATCTTCAAGGCTGCTAGGCCTTTTATTGTTTTCATAAGTTAATCTTTTCCAAAGATTTCCTATCTCAGTTTTCAACAGATTTCTTTGAAACTTGATAAGCTTGATCACCATTATGTATTTTTTTCTCTCCTGTATGGAATTGTAATTTTATAATACTAGCAAGAGTTACTGCCCTTTGTGCTTTTAAACATTTTTATCTTGTCTAGATATTTCCTCCCTCAGTTTTTGATAATTTGTTTGAAAGATGGCAGGCTTTTAAACCACAATATGAAATTGTGTTGTTGTAAACAGTATGTTTATTTGACCATATTTTAAAAAGTTATTGCTCTTTGTTGTTTTCACATTTTAATCTTGTCCAGAGATTTCTTTCTGCACCCCCCCCACCCCCCCACCCCTCCCCTTCCCTACCCCTTTCATTGAACATCGAAATCAAAATATAACACACTGTTTTCCCTCTTGATATTTGACCCGTTACTACCATTTCCATATCTTTTTCTATGCAATTGATCATGTTTTTTGACATGAAATGGGCATATATTGTTTTATTGGTAGGCATTTAATAATACAGATTTGTTGGTTTCTTCTTACATAGGCTGGATCAGTACAAGTACGTGTCCGTCGTGATGCTGATGAACAGATGGTGCTTGCTCATGTATATAACCGGCTTTCAAACCTAGTGAATCACCTAACTGTCCAAATATTTAAAGACGATTGGACACGGTCAAGTTACAGCTTGTTAGGCAATCAAGGATTCCCTTCAAATTTCTCGACCATTGGACAATCAGGGGGTCCATCCCCAACTGATGATGCATTTCACGTTTCTGGGAAGTTGTCTTCCTCTCCATTGGCTGCTTCACCATTTGACATAACAAATCATGATTATGGTCACTCTCATGATAACAGTGGTCACTCTTACAGCAATTTTCATAACTCAAGTTTTTCAACAACTCCCATCAGAGGATCTAACATTGCATCATCCAGTGGACAGTTCTCCATAAATACAGCAATCTATGGTTCTCACCATACTCATCATTGAACAATTGACAGCATTTAGTTACATCAATTGAACATGGATAACCCCAAATAAAAGGAGGGTATACATACAAAAAGCACCATGTTGTCTGTTGGTCTACAGCTGTCCAAAAAGTTTTGTTCACTACATAACCTTAGCCGTGGTGTGCCTTTTAAAACGCCCTAAGTCATGATATCAGAATCGTAGTGTGCTGGGTTGAAGGACTAATGCAGAGGTCACAGGGGTCAAATGTGTCAAATCTTTCAATGACTAAAAGACTTTATGGAATGATAGCGGGTCAGTAGGATACAGCGATTAAAAAATAAATAAATTTCATCAAATGGATGACATTTCAGGGTCGTAGAGTTTAGATGTGTTAATATTTTTGAGCAACTTCTAGAAAATCACAAAGCCCGATATTGATTCAGTAGCAAGCTGGCATGAAGAGCAACTAATTTGCTCAATTCTACAACTTCTTTTATTCACTTCGTAGTCACAGAGAACAAATATATTGATATCTTATAACATATTCTCAATCACTAAGTGGCCAAGATAAGTTATGTTTGGCCTGCACAATGCAGGGACGAAGGGCTACCAAATACAGCTTGAACATCTTTCGTCATCTGGTGTCAACTTTTTACTTTAAAAAAATTCTTCACAATATTTGGCTGGCATGTTCCTAGAATGAAGGCTGACAAAGTTTGAAAAAGGAAATGACCTTGACGTATATTCAAAGTCACAGGGGTTAAATTTGTTAAAACCTTTAAACAACCTATTCCCATGAACTAATGATATTTGGCTGGTATGTTCTTAGGATGAAATGCAACAAAGTTTGGAAAAAGAAATTACCTTGACCTATTTTTAAGGTCACAGGAGTCAGATTTGTTAAAACATTTTCAGGACTTCTATTCTTGAACTATAAGACCCTAGGGGCATGATATTTCACTATCATGTTCCTTTGGATTACCTATGTTCAAGGTCACCGGGGTCAGATTCTTAAAACCTTAAAACACCTTCTTGTGAACTAAAAATTCTAGATGAATGATACTTGGCAGGTATATTCCCAGGATGAAGCCTGAAATTTTTTGCAAAAAGAAATGACTGACTTATATTCTAGGTCATAGCGGTCAAAAATTGTTAAAACCTTTAAACAGCTTCTACTCATGAATGAATAGGCCAAGAAGCATGGTATTTGGCTGATATATATATATACCTGGTTAGCGCTGCAGGCCCATTTGGACTCTTGTTTTTATTTTCACCAATTCATGATCTATATTATGCTTCGTACTAAGACAATTATAGTGATTACTGATTGTAATTATGCATTTAAAACTCATTGAAAAGTGAAAAAAAAGATTATCAAATACTGTCTTACTATCTAATAATGCTGTTATAAAATTAACTGTCCGTACCAGTTACACTTCACGTTTCTCACATCTCAAATTTACAACTGTCAGATAAGCACATGTTCTGTGGGTGCAGGCTGTCTTACCATGGCATGTTAAAGATACCTGTATCTAAAACACACTGGAAGTGTGCATATTTCTGTCCTACGGGGTAAAAACAGTGCTCTCCTCTATAACTAAGGGGCTCAAGGTCAGGAAAGTGAGCTAGCAGCATTCTTGGATGATGGTCTATGCTGCTTCAAAGTCCGTTTGGCTCATTGTATTGAAAACATACCTTTTAGCTATCATGCCTTGTAGTGTGTCCTGTATAAACTTTTTCTTTAGAACCTTACTCCTCTTTCATACCTTGATGGATTTCAAACAAATTTGGTTTGCTCCATCATTCAGTGTGGGTAAATATTTGTTCTATTCAGAATTTTGATTCAACCTGTAGGGAGGTGCTGAAATTAGCTTTAAAGCCTTACTGCTCCTTTCTTCCTGGGTGGATATCAACAAGTTTTGGTCGGACTCATCCATTAGGTTGTTTCTTAAATTCAGAAATTTGATGCAACCCAACTAAGTGGGGTAGGGCCCAAAAAGGAGAAATTAGACAATATTTTTCTTCAAAATGCTACTCTTTCTTAATGCCTTGCTTGATTTCGACTAAATTTGGTGTGAAACATCATTCAGAGCTGAGAATCATTTATGAATTCAGAGAGTTTATTCAACCCCTAGGGAACTTGGGGCCGAGCTCCAAATTGGGAAAATAGACAATATTTTGCTTCAAAACGGTACTCTTGCGTCAGGCAACAATGGATTTTAACTAAATGTGCTGTGAAACATCATTGAGAATTGGGAATCATTTCTTATCAATTCGGAAAGTTGATTCGACCCCTGGGAACCTTTTGGCGGAACCCCAAATGTTCTGTGTGCCTAATAGCTAGGCGGGCAAACTCCCAGTAAAGAGTTTGAGTTGTAAATGATAAATAATTTATGTTGGTCTGAGAGAATCAAATTAGAACATAAAGGGTAATTTGGTTTGCCCTTATCTGGTCTACAAAGCTATAACAACCACAAACTGACCTTTTCTATTAATTCAGACATAATGATTTGTAGTGAAATGCTTTTCAACAATATGCAAAACTGACAATTTCATGATTATACGGAATGACTAATTTATTACACAATGTAACAAGTAGATGTAATTCAGGGAAACAGCATCAGTGGAGAACACATACTTCACACTCGACTAAATATGGTAGGTTTAATGACACCCGAGAATGCAAACATACTACAAAATCAGAGTTTAAATGATAAGGTTGAAAATACTAGAGAACACACACTCCACATTCAAACGAAACATGATAGGTCAATAACACTAGAGAACACAAACATACTCCACACTCAGACTAAACATGTTAGGGTTGAAAATACTAGAGAACACACACTCCACATTCAAACGAAACATGATAGGTCAATAACACTAGAGAGCACAAACATACTCCACACTCAGACTAAACATGTTAGGGTTGAAAATACTAGAGAACACACACTCCACATTCAAACGAAACATGATAGGTCAATAACACTAGAGAGCACAAACATACTCCACACTCAGACTAAACATGTTAGGGTTGAAAATACTAGAGAACACACACTCCACATTCAAACGAAACATGATAGGTCAATAACACTAGAGAGCACAAACATACTCCACACTCAGACTAAACATGTTAGGGTTGATAAGACTAGAGAACACAAACATACTCCACACTCAGACTAAACATGTTAGGGTTGATAAGACTAGAGAACACAAACATACTCCACACTCAGACTAAACATGCTATGGTTGCTTACACTTGTAAACACATATAGTTTTGATCACAGGTTTGACTAAGGCTCTAACACATTTTGTACTAACGCTTCTACATCAAATTATACATGTACATTGCAGATTTTCTAAACAGTGTATCACACTTCTGATTCAATATCTCCAAACTTATAATTTGTCCAAATTTCTTCAAAAAGTTCTTTACACTGCACCTTACTGCGGAGTTTCACACATAGGAGGAAGGCACCAGACATTTTCCTGTGTAGTGAGTAAGTCTCTATTGGTGGAGGGCACAGTCTCTGGTCTGCCATTATTGGGATAATTTCTGTGATTCTTTTAGTCATATTCTGTGCTCCAAAATCAAATGGTTCATATGATGCAAGCGCCTCACCTAGGATCTGTACAGCACTGACATGTGCATCTTCCATACTCTTAAAACAGAAACAAAACAGCAAAATAAGGCAGATTGAAACAGAAAACATTGCAATATATTATCTTGTCTGCTATAAAATGTTACATTTTTAGCTAACCTGGTTCAAAGGACTGCATGGTGAGCTTATGTCATGGCGCAACATCCATCATCTAGCTGTTGTATGCCAACTTTTTACTAAAAATCACTACTAGTCATGAACGACTAAACATATTTTGACGAAATATTGTAAGAGGCATCATTGTGGGAAGGGGAATCTAGTTTGTGTACATATTGGTTCTCAGAGCCCGGGGGCCAGAAGGGTAGTGCCAAAAAGGGGAAATTTTGCAAATTGTTTAAAATCCTATTCCTGTATAAATAAATGGAGATTCTGCAAATTTGGTTTGAAACATTCATGGGTGAAGGGGAATCAATCTCTCATAAACATTTAGCCATGTCCCCCTAAGGTTGAGCCCAATCGGGGGGGAAATACAGTCAAACTTCTACGAATCTAACTTAAAATGATTAAAATTTCTCTGTGTATCATATTTTTGCCCGGTCTCAAGTTTTATTCTGATATATTACTACTAACTTACCCCAATAAGAATCAAAGTTTTATAAATCAAACTTTCGTTTTTTGCAGCCAATTAGCTATCATGACGCAGTCATTGAAACATTTACATACACGAAAGCCTACTTGTACAGGTATTTTGCTCCGTTGCAAAATTCCACACATTTCAACAAACTCTGTGTTATGAAGTTATTTGATGACAGGACACAGATTAAAGTTTAATTCTTTACTTTCAAGTCATGAGCCATGACATGAAATACTGTGCTTCTGGACTACTGACTACCGTTTATACAAAATTGATTCCTCTTCACCAAAACATGGTTCACACAAAACTTATTTCAAAGAATACCTTCTATTTCTCCTATTTGGCCCCACCCCTCCCGCTCCAGGAGGCAGAATTCCACTATTTATACAAAATTGATTCCCCTTCAACCAAAGATGCTTCAGATCAAATGTGGACAAATACAAATCAGGAGAAGGATTTTAAAGGACTGACCAAATTTCCGCTTTTGGACTGCAACCCTCATTTTTCATAGTGTGAAGTGAAGAAGTTGATCTGACCTCAATCTTTTTCTACCTCAGCTACTTAACTAATTTTACAGGAGACCAATCATTCTCTTGCAGTAATGTAAACATGGAGGAGTATTCACTAAAATTAATATCAGCATTTTTAAAGCTAGAGATATGGCCTCATCCAACTAAGTAGGAATTACTACGATTATCAGAAGTAATGATACAAAGCAAAGCCGTGATAATCTAAAGAGGACACTACTCTTGTAGTGTAACTGCATGATCAGCTGTTATCTAATATCCTTTCAGAGAGATTGTTCAGTAAAGTTCTGATGAAAATTTCGCAAGAACATGTTACTCCATTTGATATTAAGTTTGTTCAAGAGTGCAGTCTATAGTTTCTGGAGAAAACCATCAGACATAGATGTAAATGTAGAAAGTGTGCTCTCAGTTCCCTTACTCCCCATCAGACATAGAATAGAAGTATACAGAATAGTTATCTCTCTGTTCCCTACTCCCCATCAGACATAGAATAGTTACATAGAATAGTTATCTCTCAGTTCCCTACTCCCCATCAGACATAGAATAGAAGTATACAGAATAGTTATCTCTCAGTTCCCTACTCCCCATCAGACATAGAATAGTTATCTCTCAGTTCCCTACTCCCCATCAGACATAGAATAGAAGTATACAGAATAGTTATCTCTCAGTTCCCTACTCCCCATCAGACATAGAATAGTAGTATACAGAATAGTTATCTCTCAGTTCCCTACTCCCCATCAGACATAGAATAGAAGTATACAGAATAGTTATCTCTCAGTTCCCTACTCCCCATCAGACATAGAATAGAAGTATACAGAATAGTTATCTCTCAGTTCCCTACTCCCCATCAGACATAGAATAGTTATCTCTCAGTTCCCTACTCCCCATCAGACATAGAATAGTTATCTCTCAGTTCCCTACTCCCCATCAGACATAGAATAGTTATCTCTCAGTTCCCTACTCCCCATCAGACATAGAATAGAAGTATACAGAATAGTTATCTCTCAGTTCCCTACTCCCCATCAGACATAGAATAGTTATCTCTCAGTTCCCTACTCCCCATCAGACATAGAATAGTTATCTCTCAGTTCCCTACTCCCCATCAGACATAGAATAGTTATCTCTCAGTTCCCTACTCCCCATCAGACAGAGAATAGTTATCTCTCAGTTCCCTACTCCCCATCAGACATAGAATAGAAGTATACAGAATAGTTATCTCTCAGTTCCCTACTCCCCATCAGACATAGACATAGAATAGTTATCTCTCAGTTCCCTACTCCCCATCAGACATAGAATAGTTATCTCTCAGTTCCCTACTCCCCATCAGACATAGAATAGTTATCTCTCAGTTCCCTACTCCCCATCAGACATAGAATAGAAGTTAGTTATCTCTCAGTTCCCTACTCCCCATCAGACATAGAATAGAAATATAAAAAATCAGTTCCCTACTCCCCATCAGACATAGAATAGAAGTATACAGAATAGTTATCTCTCAGTTCCCTACTCCCCATCAGACATAGAATAGAAGTATACAGAATAGTTATCTCTCAGTTCCCTACTCCCCATCAGACATAGAATAGAACTATACAGAATAGTTATCTCTCAGTTCCCTACTCCCCATCAGACATAGAATAGAAGTATACAGAATAGTTATCTCTCAGTTCCCTACTCCCCATCAGACATAGAATAGAAGTATACAGAATAGTTATCTCTCAGTTCCCTACTCCCCATCAGACATAGAATAGTTATCTCTCAGTTCCCTACTCCCCATCAGACATAGAATAGATATCTCTCAGTTATCCCTAGTCCCCATCAGACATAGAATAGAAGTATACAGAATAGTTATCTCTCAGTTCCCTACTCCCCATCAGACATAGAATAGTTATCTCTCAGTTCCCTACTCCCCATCAGACATAGAATAGAAGTATACAGAATAGTTATCTCTCAGTTCCCTACTCCCCATCAGACATAGAATAGTTATACAGAATAGTTATCTCTCAGTTCCCTACTCCCCATCAGACATAGAATAGAAGTATACAGAATAGTTATCTCTCAGTTCCCTACTCCCCATCAGACATAGAATAGAAGTATACAGAATAGTTATCTCTCAGTTCCCTACTCCCCATCAGACATAGAATAGTTATCTCATACAGAATAGTTATCTCTCTGTTCCCTACTCCCCATCTGACATAGAATAGTTATCTCTCAGTTCCCTACTCCCCATCAGACATAGAATAGTTATCTCTCAGTTCCCTACTCCCCATCAGACATAGAATAGAAGTATACAGAATAGTTATCTCTCAGTTCCCTACTCCCCATCAGACATAGAATAGAAGTATACAGAATAGTTATCTCTCAGTTCCCTACTCCCCATCAGACATAGAATAGTTATCTCTCAGTTCCCTACTCCCCATCAGACATAGATTAGCAGTATACAGAATAGTTATCTCTCAGTTCCCTACTCCCCATCAGACATAGAATAGAAGTATACAGAATAGCTATCTCTCAGTTCCCTACTCCCCATCAGACATAGAATAGCAGTATACAGAATAGTTATCTCTCAGTTCCCTACTCCCCATCAGACATAGAATAGTTATACAGAATAGTTATCTCTCAGTTCCCTACTCCCCATCAGACATAGAATAGAAGTATACAGAATAGTTATCTCTCAGTTCCCTACTCCCCATCAGACATAGAATAGTAGTATACAGAATAGTTATCTCTCAGTTCCCTACTCCCCATCAGACATAGAATAGTTATCTCTCAGTTCCCTACTCCCCATCAGACATAGAATAGAAGTATACAGAATAGTTATCTCTCAGTTCCCTACTCCCCATCAGACATAGAATAGAAGTATACAGAATAGTTATCTCTCAGTATACAGAATAGTTATCTCTCAGTTCCCTACTCCCCATCAGACATAGAATAGTTCTCTCAGTTCCCTACTCCCCATCAGACATAGAATAGAAATGTACAGAATAGTTATCTCTCAGTTCCCTACTCCCCATCAGACATAGAATAGAATCTAGTTATCTCTCAGTTCCCTACTCCCCATCAGACATAGAATAGTATCTCTCAGTTCCCCATCAGACATAGAATAGAAGTATACAGAATAGTTATCTCTCCCCTACTCCCCATCAGACATAGAATAGTTATCTCTCTCAGTTCCCTACTCCCCATCAGACATAGAATAGAAGTATACAGAATAGTTATCTCTCAGTTCCCTACTCCCCATCAGACATAGAATAGTAGTAGTATACAGAATAGTTATCTCTCAGTTCCCTACTCCCCATCAGACATAGAATAGAAGTATACAGAATAGTTATCTCTCAGTTCCCTACTCCCCATCAGACATAGAATAGAAGTATACAGAATAGTTATCTCTCAGTTCCCTACTCCCCATCAGACATAGAATAGTTATCTCTCAGTTCCCTACTCCCCATCAGACATAGAATAGAAGTATACAGAATAGTTATCTCTCAGTTCCCTACTCCCCATCAGACATAGAATAGTTATCTCTCAGTTCCCTACTCCCCATCAGACATAGAATAGAAGTATACAGAATAGTTATCTCTCAGTTCCCTACTCCCCATCAGACATAGAATAGAAGTATACAGAATAGTTATCTCTCAGTTCCCTACTCCCCATCAGACATAGAATAGCAGTATACAGAATAGTTATCTCTCAGTTCCCTACTCCCCATCAGACATAGAATAGAAGTATACAGAATAGTTATCTCTCAGTTCCCTACTCCCCATCAGACATAGAATAGCAGTATACAGAATAGTTATCTCTCAGTTCCCTACTCCCCATCAGACATAGAATAGTTATCTCTCAGTTCCCTACTCCCCATCAGACATAGACATAGAATAGAAGTATATCAGAATAGAATAGTATCTCTCAGTTCCCTACTCCCCATCAGACATAGAACAGAAGTATACAGAATAGTTATCTCTCAGTTCCCTACTCCCCATCAGACATAGAATAGTTATCTCTCAGTTACAGAATAGTTATCTCTCAGTTCCCTACTCCCCATCAGACATAGAATAGTATATAGTTATCTCTCTCAGTTCCCTACTCCCCATCAGACATAGAATAGAAGTATACAGAATAGTTATCTCTCAGTTCCCTACTCCCCATCAGACATAGAATAGAAGTATACAGAATAGTTATCTCTCAGTTCCCTACTCCCCATCAGACATAGAATAGAAGTATACAGAATAGTTATCTCTCAGTTCCCTACTCCCCATCAGACATAGAATAGAAGTATACAGAATAGTTATCTCTCAGTTCCCTACTCCCCATCAGACATAGAATAGTTATCTCTCAGTTCCCTACTCCCCATCAGACATAGAATAGAAGTATACAGAATAGTTATATCTCTCAGTTCCCTACTCCCCATCAGACCTAGAATAGTTATCTCTCAGTTCCCTACTCCCCATCAGACATAGAATAGAATAGTACTATACAGTTTAGTTATCTCCCAGTTCCCTACTCCCCATCAGACATAGAATAGAAGTATACAGAATAGTTATCTCTCAGTTCCCTACTCCCCATCAGACATAGAATAGAAGTATACAGAATAGTTATCTCTCAGTTCCCTACTCCCCATCAGACATAGAATAGTTATCTCTCAGTTCCCTACTCCCCATCAGACATAGAATAGCAGTATACAGAATAGTTATCTCTCAGTTCCCTACTCCCCATCAGACATAGAATAGAAGTATACAGAATAGTTATCTCTCAGTTCCCTACTCCCCATCAGACATAGAATAGTTATCTCTCAGTTCCCTACTCCCCATCAGACATAGAATAGTAGTATACAGAATAGTTATCTCTCAGTTCCCTACTCCCCATCAGACATAGAATAGAAGTATACAGAATAGTTATCTCTCAGTTCCCTACTCCCCATCAGACATAGAATAGTTATCTCTCAGTTCCCTACTCCCCATCAGACATAGAATAGTAGTATACAGAATACTTTTTCTGTTGATTAAGTCCTTGTAACATACATTAGTTAGCTATCAGTTACCTCCCCTGTATCAGATATAAAACCAAATTATACTACCTCCCATGTATCAGACATCCAATAGAAGTATACACATATATTACCTATCATTTAACTCCTCCATATCAGACAATTTTAACAACATGCCAATTACCTCTACTGATCAGACATGCAAGAGATCCAAGGGCCTTACTAGGCACCTGAGTTTCGGTGTTTCTTGTAACATGTCTGAGCAGATAACTACATTGTACTTATACTGTAAATGTAAACTGTGCAAAACAGTAACTGCTTTCCCATACTAAGGCTTCGAACCAAGTTTGAATTAAAAGAAATGAAACTCAAAAATTGAATTTTCCTATATAAAATCTTTCCTCTATGAACAGTAGAACATCTTTGAAATATCAGTCAATTTGACTCATTTTTGGCCCTGTCCATCAGTCCCTCAAAGTCAGCCAAGGTCAAAATGTGCATCTCCATGAATTTTCAGCTTATACTAAAAATTCTAAGCAAGTTTGAACTATTTCTGAAAGAAAATAAACAAATTATGCCAAACAAAACGGCCAATGGGCCTTAACAGTCATCTGACTGTAAAGACTTATATATCCAAGAGGCCAAATAGGCCTAAAAATTGCACAACTTCTCTATAGCTTACAAGAAGACATAGTTGGATCATAAAAACTTTTTCTGCATCCTCATATTCTTACAAGAGCTCCATAGGGCCTATATTGCTCAACTGATTTAGTTTGTTGAAACTGATTTATTTAAACTAAGGGAAAAGTATTTAAAACACTTGTATCTATTTCTCAGTAATAGACTTGGCACTCCTCCAAAAGGGGATTAGATGCAGCTGTTGTTGATAACTAAATTCTCTATATCAAGAATGTCTTTGGTTCCAATGTGATAAAAAATTTTAAGAATTTGCTCTGCGTCCACTATTTGGCCCCAGCCCTCTTGTCCCAATGGACTGAAACCCATTGTTCATACAAAATTTGATCCCTTCTTCCCAAGCATGTCTCACACCAAATTGGAATTGAATCAAAGCATTTTTACAAAAGAATGAGATAGATTTTGAAGAAATTGATAGATTTTCCCTATTGGGCCCTGCCACTCTTGCCCCTGGGGACAAAGACCTATCATTTATACAAAACTGGTTTTCCTTCACCCAAGCATGCTTAAGACCAAATTAGGTCAATATCCTGCAATTCCAAAAGAACAAAATAGATTTTAAAGAAATTGACATTTTTGCTATTTTCACCTAAGCATGCTGGAGACCATGAGACATGCTTTGTTCCAATATCCAACATGAAGAGAGAAAAAATCAATATCTTAACAGTTGAACATGTAAGTGTTTCAAAAGATGATAAAATTATAAATCACATCTCTTTGCCGATTGTTTGTTTTCTGTCTAGTTTCTATCATGTTTCAAACACTATGTCTAGGTTTTACATGATACTCACTTGAATACTTTGCATTGATATATACAATAATTATCTTATCATTTTCATTGATGAATAAATCGTCGAACAATTTTTGTGTCAGTTCAAAGTACCTGACAAGCAATGATTGCTGTCCTACAGAATTTTTTTAATTATCCACAAAGAAAAACCTTGAAAATCCTATAGCTACATAATGTGTGCATCCCAAACTTTGCACATTTATTTTTCTGAAAGAAAAACAGCACACATTACATGGGTTTTTACGTTAACAAACTTTGTCAGACATACAAGAGATCCCAGAGGAATTATGGTGCCCAACATTGTTTGATCTTTATAAGCTCTTTGAAAGTTGGATCCTTTCTCTTTTCTTCTCTGTTTTTGCTCTTAATGATAAGACATTTGAACATTCCTTTGCAGAAATAGCGATGATAATCTTTACCTGACGAATCCTAAATGGCCACCTGGAAGTTATTTTTTTTTCTAATCGGTCCAAAACTCAAACAGGCACAACTAGGGACCAAAAGGAACCTATACATAAAATCTGAGAAAGATCTATACAGATCTATACTCAAGAAGTAGTGATAACAAACTTGCAAAAGTCAAAATCCAAGATGACGCCTTTAGGCAATTTTGTTTTTCTGATCAAAGCCAAAATTAAATGGGCTCAATTATGGACAATGAGGAACTTACATATGAAATTTGAGAGAGATCCATCAAGTACTGATTAAGAAATAGCAATAACAAACTTTATAAGTTAAAATACACAAAATGGCCACCTCTCGGCCATCTTGTTTTTTCAATCAGACGCAAAATAAAACAGGCAAATGTAAAATCCAAGATGGCCGCCTCTTTGGCCATTTTGTTTTTCTGATAAGTCCCAGAATTACATGGGCACAACTAGAGACCAAGGGGAACCTACACATGCAATTTGAAATCACAGACGACAGACACAGAGCAATTTAAATAGCGATTCGAAAAAACAGAAGTATTCTCGCTATTACTTGTCAGTTACTATTTCTGCATAAGATCAAATAAAGAAAAAAGCACACTAGTTACTTATCAGTTACCTTCTGTGTGTCAGACATAAAACACAACATAAAACTTAGACATAAAGGATAAAACAGAAAGATGTACAGTTACCTGTCAGTTACCTTCTGAACATCAGACATAGTACACAAGTATAACAAAAGATTACTTGTCAGTTACTTAAGTGTTACCTCACCTGAATCAAACAAAACAGAAGTATAGACACACGTTACATGTCAGTTACCTCCCCTGCCTCAGAGGAAAGACTTAAGTATACATACTAGTTTTCTCTCAGTTACCTCCCCTGCTTAATACTTAAAACAGATAAATATAGCACTAGTTACCTAGAAGTAACTTCCTCTGTGCCAGACATAAAACATAAGCATACACATTAGTTACCTGTCATATAAGACTGGGATTAAATATATTGAAAAGTACGTATTTCTTACCTTTCCTGTATCAGGCTGATAGAGAAAGTTTGACCAGTTTGGATCAGTCTGCATGAATCGATAGACATATAGCTCCTTCAGACATAGCTTTAAGATATCTGAACCAATCTGAAAAACATTAAGATTTCTTATGGTAGGATAAACTATTCTGATTTAGCAATCATTGACTGAGCATACTGAAAAGTGCAGATACATTTTAAGTCCAGCTCACCAATCCAATGATGAACAACCTTCTGTACAGGAAGCATTGTACAAATGTTACTAATAATATAGAAGATTTGCTCAGTAAATTTCAATACAAAAATCTGTACTTGTCACCCTTCATTATGAAGAATAACAGAAGAAAATGCAGTTACATTTGAACTGAAGGAAAAGTATTTTAAACACTTGTATCAATCTCCCAATAATAGACTCCTCCCTCCTCCAAAAGGGAGTAAGATACACTGATTGTATAAAATTAAGTTTTTTTCAACAAGGACAGCTTCAGTTTCAACAGGAGAAAGATTTTAAAGAATTTGTCCTACTTGGACTATTTGGCCCTGCCCTTCCCATCACAAGGGGCAGGAGACCCACTGTTCATACAAAATTTATCACCCAAGGCATTCCTACATAAGTAGAATGCCTTGAAAGGACCTCCTCTATTAGGCCCCAACCCTACCACCCTAGGGCGCTGAGTTCCATTGTCTATACAAAACTGATTCCCCTTCACACAAGCATGCTTCAAGCCAAATATCCAGGTATTCCTACAGAAGAAGGATTTCAAAGAATTTGCTCTATTTTCCTTTGTGGGCCCAACTCCTCCTGCACCAAGAGGCCAAAATCTACTGTTGATACAAAAATGATTCTCCTTCAACCAAGAATACCTCAGAGCAGACCTGGGCAAAATCAAACCATTCCTACAGGAGGAGTAGGATTTTCTATAATCAAACCTACTTCCCCTATTAGGCCCCATCTCTCTCACCCCAGGGGTTCAAAACAAAATGGTTATACAAAACAGATTCCCCTTAATTCAAGAATGCCTCAGACAACACTTGGGCAAAATATATCATTCCTACAGAAATAGATTTCCAAGCATGCTTCAAACCAAATTTGGACATTATTCCGCAATTCCAAAAGAACAAGACAGATTTTAAAGAAATTGATGAATTTTCCTCAAAAGGTCCCACCCCTATCTCCCAAGTCGTCCAGACCCACACAAAACTGGCTTCCCTTCTCCTAAGCATTCAGACCAAATTTGGACAATACCCTGCATTTCCAGCAGAACAAGATCAACTTTAAACGTTATTAGACTTTCCCCAATGGGCCCCATCCCTCTGAATTGAGAAGTGAAGTGTCTATCAGAGGTCACTAACTAAGGAAGTTTATGATGATCAGACAGGATTTGATAGCAATGACAGGAAATCGAATGGTTTTTCTAAACAGAATATGCATAATGTTACAATGTCGTTTCTATGTTCTAACTAAGTTTAATATTATTTCTGATGGTAATTCGACAGAATGTATTAATGCCTTCAATTCATACTAAAATTGTATCAAAATCAACCCTTTCCTTCTAAGGAAATGCAATACTTTGGTATTATAAAATTTACAACTTTAGTCAGTAAGACTTTCCATCTAAGTGAATCATTTACTTCTACCACGTCTAGGTTTCAGAATGGAAATTTATAGTGAGCACTTTATGGTATTGTGAGAGATAATTCAAAATTCACAAGCTTAAGGTGCCCATACATTCAACTTTAAACAGAAGTGTGACTGGAACTTCATTACCCACGATTCACTTACTGTAGCACCAAATGAGAACAGTTAACCAATTATATGGATTAAAAACAATTTTTACAGAGAAAAAAGAATCTTTTCAAGCATTCATGTGAAAGTGAATCATACTAAAAGTCTTAAATAATTCAAATACATTTAACACACATTATACATTAATGATTTGTAATGTATGTAACCAAAATCCGGATAAAAAACAAGCTTACAGTTAGTATTGTATGCAACACATGTCCCCTGCCGTAAATTACTGTATTTATCAGCAAATAAGCCCATGTCTGCTAATATGTGATAATAATTTCTATTTTCAGTAACAGTAACCTTTGTTGTAAACTTGACCCAAATGAAACTGTATTATTACCTCATAAGCTTCCAGTGTATCAAGTTTCAACCAAATCCATCAATCCGTTCTCAAATTATTGTCTGAAAACTAAATTGTGACAAGATTCTATTTTTAGTAACAGTGACCTTTGTAGTCGATCTTTTGACCCCAAACAAAATCCCACACTATATTGCCTTATAAACTACCATTGTATGAAGTTTCATCCAAATCCATTCATCCATTCTCAAGTTATTGTCCGGAAACTAAAATGTGACAACTGCAATCCTAAAATACAGTATAAGTTTATAGTTGTAGTTTTCATTATATCAATTTCATTTCTCTGACATGGTTGTGGCAACTTCCCTCCGAACTATGGGAGGAAAACCATAATCTCTTCAGGGAATCAAACCCTGTACAGCTATGTGAAAGACAAGTGTGTTGCAACTGCGTCACCCAACCACCACCTCATGATGACGATGCATTGTTTTCTAGAAGAATAAGAGATGATAATGATGTTGCCTCGGTACATGTGTATGTGCTGTGTTTTGTTAAAAATAAACAACTTTAAACAACATGCTTCAGCACGACATGAATCAGGCAGTTCAAAATGTGCATCTTATTGATTAACATGCATTCGCTTTTAGGCAGTGGCTATTTCATTTCATTTCCTATATACACTATTGTTAAGTTTGCCTGCATCAAAGAGGGAAATGTGAGATCGTTGGTCAAGTAATTCAAAATTTTTTTTTGGTGAAAAAGCACCATACCATCCTTTCATCTATGAAGAGTACTAGATTCTACCAAATGTTTTAATCTAAAGAGGATTTTTGAAATTTACGTCAATTTCACCCATAATTTAGTTGTGCTTAGTCAGGGTTCTGTCTGTCAGCCAGGATCAATAGATTCCCACCATCCAATACCATTTCAAACTTATGTAAGTCTACCTTAGTTTGAGTCCATTACTGATGAAAACTCTTAACAAGAGATTCCAGAAGAATCATGGCTCCCATCACTATGTTTGGTCTTTATTAAATCTTTAAAAGCTCTCAATTATATGAAATTTGAAAATTCCTCTAAGAAAAAGCACTAATAATTTTAAATTGTCAAATCTGAGATGTCACCTGTCAATCACTTTGCTTTTTTCTGATCAGTTCGAAAATTAAAAGGATACAACTAGGGACCAAGGGGAATCTACATACCAAACATGTGAAGATCTATCCAGTACCTCTCAAAATAGAGCAATAACAAAAATTGTCAAAATCAAAAATGACTGCCTGCCAGCAATCTATTTTACTGGAATAGTCCTATATTTAAACGGCACAACATGATTCAGATTACAGTAAGAATGAACAGCCTACCTTTTGATAAGGGAGGAATCAGAATTTCTGAAGAGGTCATGAAATTCACAATTTTGGTTAAGCACCTAAATATCCTTCCATCCATGAGGAGTACATGTATTTGGTTCTACCATAGCATGATCTGTTTCATAAGAAGATTTTGAAAATATGAGTCAATTGACCCGTTTTGGCGTTACACGTCAGACCCTTGGGGGTTGGGAACCATATTAATCATAGTGTGGGTTAAATTTTGGTCACTGAAGCTTTTTATAAAAAAAAAAAATTGTTTCAGATTTCTAGAGAAGTGGAAACAAGACGCAGATAGGTCCTGTATCACTCACCTGAATTTACTGAAATTGCAACATTAAAAAAACAGGAAAAGGAATTTTTAATAAAATCCAACCACACAACACAAACAAGAGGCCCATATGGCCTGTATTGATGTATTGCATCTTAAAGGCCAGCAATGTTTTACATGCCTGTAGGGTGGATATTTCAAATATTTCCAAATTAATGCTCAGTCACTTAATTTCTTTGATGGGGCAAAACCAATGAGTAATTCTTATATCATTACTGTCTTTCTCTTTTGATTCCCAGTAAGAGTTTATATGGTTATCGGGTTGGTATCTCAACTATGTCAACAATATGACCCAGAAATAATGTCCCTTGAGGTAAGCCACACGCAAGGGTCAATTCTTACATAACAAAAGTGTCTTGATGATAAGCAATTCTATATATATATATATATATAAATATGGGATAGAGATATCAACTCTTTCAAAGATAATCTGAAATTAAGTCCATATGGGGCCACACTCAAGGGCCAGTTCTTACATTGTGATTGAGTTTATTTCTTGAAGCCTAGCATTGCCATATATGGTTTAGGGGTGGGAATCTCAACTGTTTCAAAGATATTACCATGAAACTGAGCCCCTAGGAGTGGGGCCAGACCCCAGGGCCAATTCTTAAATCATATAATACATGGGCATGGAATGGGGATCTTAACTGTTGTCAAATACATTTCCCCAAATGAGCCCCTCCCCTCTTGCCTTAGGGGACCGAAATCCACCATTTAAACAACTGTGATTCCACTTCATCAAAACATGATTCACAGCAAATTTGGTCACAATCCAATCATTCCTACAGGAGTAGTAGGATTTTAAAGAATTTGTTCTATTTCCCATATTGGGCACAGCCCCTCCCACCCCAGTCTGCCAAGACCCAACATTTATACAAATGTGTTCCCCTTCCTCCAAAGATCCTTGTGACAAAATTTGGTAAAATCCCTATCAGTTGTTCATGACTAGTAGCAATTTCAGGAAAAAGTTGACGGATGGATGGACAGATAGGTGCTGCAGTATGCCAATAACTCACTTTGCCCTTTGGGCCAGGTGAGCTAAAAATCAATTGTTTACAGGTTGATGACAAATTACTCACAAACATGTCATATTAAATATATGAAAAATTATTAAGTGATGAGCTTAGTATTGAAACACCTTTCTATCAGCCTTTATAGCATCATAATAAATTATAGATGTCAAAACACTTACTTTTTTATTGTTGAAGACAGGTCACACTTGATAATAACTTGCATGTCATTGTAGTCCCTACAGACTTATCTATGGCATTTGATTGCTTACTTCATGATAAAGTAGTTTTGAAACTTGAAACATATGGGTTATCTTAGCCCTCAACTGATCTTCAGATATAGGCACTAACAAGTTAAAATTGGAAACAAACCAGTTCATGATGAGAGATCATTTAAAAGATGTACCACATAGTTCTCTATTGGGGACCGTTCTTATTTAACTTATTTATTCATGACATTTTCTACTTTGTGAAAAAATCAACAATCGATAGTTACACTAATGACAACTAAATCTCCTACAGTAACAAAAACATCCCAAAAATAAGCTAGAGAGCTGAAGTTAGATCCTAATTGACTGGTTCACAACTAATCAGACTAACCATATGATGTTGCTAAGCTAAGATCTCATCCAATGTGCAAAGTCAAATTGTGTGATAAATCTACAGTTACTCCTACAAACACTTAGACATGGAATACATCTCACTTTACCTACAGTCTAGTGGCGTAGTAAATTGGTACAGACCCTTTAGAACACCAATGTCCAGTGGTGGGGAAAACCTGATCTCCTACACACATGTTGCACACAAGCCACTGGTGTGGCAGTGGAGAAAACCCATCACTATTATGTTATAATACAGAAAATAAATTTGGTTCAATCCAAGCCTAAAAGCAACTAATTTCAAGTTTTTAATTTGATGTGATAAAAGCTGGATTGAATAAGAGATATGACAAAACCATAGGAAAATAAAGTGATTGGCATTTATCAACATGCTGTCATGGGATATTAACTAGTTGTATAAAATAGCTTTAAAATAACAAAATGTCTTTAATGTATAACAAAATAGCAAGGGAGATATTCACATTAACAAAATTACATTCAGAACCTATATACTGTAGTAAATTCTCTAATGACGTAAAGGGAGGTTGTGTAAATCTCTTCCAGGCAATTTTTTTTATGCAATACAAAACTTTAATATCCATGCAGGCGATGTGGATGGAGCACTGCACTCATAAAACAGGATGGATTCAGTTATCAGAAATTCTTATCTGAGAATGTTTTATGCTTTAAAGACCGACACAGATCTACAGGATGTAAGAGTAGGTGCTGGCTAGAGACTTCATGACTTAACGTTCATTCTCTAGTAGTGCAAACATATGGAATTTTAATTTCATTTTCATATGGAAATGTTCCTGACTGAATTATTACTGCCATGAAGTTAACAAAGAAGCAGGATAGAGTCACATAATAATAAATGAAACCAGCGAACATGGCTCATGGACTGTAAAAAATACCCTCAAAATGTTCAAGATGTGATAGAAATTGACAACACAATACAAATACACATGTAGTGAAAGTTGAGTCAGGGAAACAAGTCAGCAGTAGATTTCAGGATCAATTAAACTGGATTTAACCACATGTGTGATGTTTAGTACGTGACCCTGTAATGAACCGACCGGAAAATATCCTCAGATGGGTAAAACACACGGAAAATACACAATCCGGGTCTAGTCAAATGCAGTGAGTGAGTTACCCATCATCTGTAGAATTTCTAGCAATGAGGTGTAAGAACAGGACTCTGTATAATTTACAGCTTTACTAAAAACATTCAGTGAAGAGAATGAAAATATAAGTGTTAACTTGGATGAGATTTGTATCATCAGTTAAGTAGACAAGGAGCACTTAAACCAGTATCACTGACCTAGTGATGCACAGAGGCTGGATGATAAAAGGAAACATCTTTGTAAGTGGTGTTACTTTTGATTACTGGTACTCATGGACATTAATATTTGTGCATGTATCATCTACAAATATTACATAGCATATTAAACAAGTGGTCAAAAGTCTGGCTTATACAAATTCCTGGGAAACAGAAACAAGGCTTTAACTGAGCTGGATCATGACTTCTGACTGAACCTAATTATCAAAATGTTTACTGTAATCCTGGTGACAGCATTATTTAACCTCCAAATTATCACCTATATAAGCAGAATAACTCGTTCTGTATTGGGTAAGTAATTATAATGAGCCATAAAGTTGTGTTTAGTAGGTCTGAAAGAGCAGGCAACATATTGTGTCCTATCTATACATATTTCGCACCTTTAAAACCTCAAAATTCATCATATTTGTTACAACTAACCTATTAATTATTCCTGTCAAATAGTCATTTCTATCAACTTGACATCACTTATTTTAATCTCAAGCCAATGTTGTTGTTTACACCATCACAGACTTCAAAACAAGAGTTTTTACCAAAACAGTCGATATTATGCTAAACAACACATTTCCATTATTGACTAAGTATAGGGCTATAACTAAACACATTTAAATACACATGTATCTAAAGTAGACAGACACTTTAAGTCTCTACTTCTGCAATTTCTCTTACTGTTGTCAATACTATAGTAATATTTGGCATCTTTCAACAATGAGATATTAATGGGCCTTTATAACTGTTTGTCCATAGTTGTCTCTGACTATCCCAGCAAATATATAAGCACATTGACATATACAACACATTACTAGCCCCTTGAGGCCTTTATTTTATATATATATATCAATGTTTTATTGATACAACTGTAATAGGATTGTTATTTTCCCTTTTTTTCTTGCAGAAGAGAAACTGCTGTAGGCTTTGTTTTGCATCAGAAGCCCCTGATACTGAAGGGGTATAGTCTGTTTTTAATGGATATCATAACCAACTTAGTGCCAGCAATGGAAAATCAATTCAAAACCCACGTTGCAAAATAAATGATATGCAATACAAAACTGAAACCTGGTCGGAAGTGAAATAGTACGAGAATTTCATACTTCTTCCCATCTAACATTATAGGAAGAGGATAACCAATACATCCAATATGTCGGATTTTGACAACAGTACGGTGTCAGAGAGCACGGGCGGAAAATTCAAGGATTTCAGGGATGTTGCTGAGTTAGTCCTTGGTGTTCTATGTGTGGTGCTGATTCCTTGTATATGCTTCGGAAACTTCTTGGTGCTCATCTCACTGGTGAAGTTTCGACGGTTACGTACCATTACCTACACCTTGGTTGGGAGCTTATCTGTTGCTGATTCTCTACTAGCAGTCCTCACACTTCCAATTTATTCCATGTTTTATTTCAATTTAACATTTGTGCAATCTGTAAAGTATTTATGTCTATTCAAGTTTTCCTCTGTCTGCGCTTCAATGAGTGCATCACTCATCAACCTGGTTGCCATTGGTTTCGACAGGTATATTGCCATTTTGCATCCACTCAAGTACAAGGTGATATTGACTCACAAGAGAGTCAGGATTTTCATCATATGTATGTGGATCTACCTCGTGCCTGTGTGTGCTCTACCTCTTGTGTGGAATTATTATGATGACATAAAGATGTGTGACTACTTCAAAATTCTACCACTTCCCTACACCCTATACGCTGCATTCTTCTCGATTGCAATCAGCCTGATGATATCCCTCTATCTGTACATCAGAATATTTCTTGTTGCCCGGCAACAGCAGAAGCAGATACGTAAGGACAGTTTACGAGGAAACAATGCAAGGGATCCGCAGATGGAAAAGGACACCAAGTCTGCAAAAGTTATGGCCCTTGTTCTGTTCTTGTTTTATATATTCTGGGTACCCTTTACCATAATAGGACCAATCAAATACAGTGTTAAAATAGATAATGACTTGGCTGAAACGATGAAGAACATAACACTATTCCTGGCCATGAGCAACTCCATGATAAATCCTATCATATACTGTTGGCTCCGTAGGGACTTCCGAGAGGCTTTCTGTGCCATTTGTTTCCATTCATGTAGTTATAGTTCAAGAGAACACCAGAATGAACATCATGGAAATTCACTACTATTTAACAGTATCAGTACAGAGCATAAAGAGGATGTTAAACCAAACATGACATTGTGATAGACCAAACCAACTATGGCCATGTGACAAGCCAATTAGATAACTGTCTTGTGACACACTAAACCAATCTGGCCAGTGACAGCTAAACAAATCTTGGCCGTGAGACAGATCAAAACAAGAGGCCAAATGGGCCTGCATTCCTCACCAGGTATTCAATTTTCGTTGAAAACAGAATCGGTGTTAAAACCACAAATATAATGACATATACACAATTAGCTTTCAAAGTTGGCACATCCAATCAACTTTAACCAATTTTCATAATCCGCTCTATAACAGTTATAATCTCAATTTAATGTCATTTATATTTTCTTTTTTTAAATTTATCGGGCTATTACCTAGAAACATCTTTATCCTAGGAACCTCTCAGTCAAATACTTGTGTACCAAGTGGTTAGTCAGAAGAAGTTGTTTACTTTTTTAAAAATAAATTTGACCCCTGTGACCTAGAATAATATATATAAAGGTAATTTCTTCCCACAAATTTTGTTGGGCTTTATCCTAAAATACTATCACCCAAATATCATGCTTCTCGCCTTTTGGTTATTCAGAAGAAGTTGTTTAAATGATCTAACAAATTTGGCCATTGTGACCTTGTATAAGGGTCAAGGTCATTTCATAAACTTTGTCGGGCTTTATCCTAGCAACCCACCAGCAAAATACCATGACATTTAGTCTGCTGGTCATTGTGAAGAAGTTTAAATGGAAAAGTTGATGCCAGATGGCTGACGGACAACAGATGACAGACAACAGACCAAAGCATATAATTCATGGCAATGTGACAAATGAAATAAACTACGGTCTTAATTGTGACAAGCCAAACAAATCATTGTCTTGTGACAGGCAAAACAAATCATTGTCTTGTGACAGACAAAACAAATCATTGTCTTGTGACAGGCCAAACAAGTCATTGTCTTGTGACAGGCCAAACAAGTCATTGTCTTGTGACAGGCCAAACAAATCATTGTCTTGTGACAGGCCAAACAAGTCATTGTCTTGTGACAGGCCAAACAAGTCATTGTCTTGTGACAGGCCAAACAAATCATTGTCTTGTGACAGGCCAAACAAGTCATTGTCTTGTGACAGGCCAAACAAATCATTGTCTTGTGACAGGCCAAACAAGTCATTGTCTTTTGACAGGCCAAACAAGTCATTGTCTTGTGACAGGCCAAACAAATCATTGTCTTGTGACAGGCCAAACAAGTCATTGTCTTGTGACAGACCAAACAAATCATTGTCTTGTGACTGGCCAAACAAGTCATTGTCTTGTGACAGGCCAAACAAATCATTGTCTTGTGACAGGCCAAACAAATCATTGTCTTGTGACAGGCCAAACAAACCCTAGTCATGTGACAATTCAAACAAATAAATATCTTGTGACAGACATAACAAATAATGGTCGTGTGATAGATTATATAAACCACTGTTCTGTAGCAGTCCAAACAAATAATGGTCGTGTGATAGATTATATAAACCACTGTTCTGTAACAGTCCAAACAATTAATGGTCGTGTGATAGATTATATAAACCACTGTTCTGTAACAGTCCAAACAAATAATGGTCGTGTGATAGATTATATAAACCACTGTTCTGTAACAGTCCAAACAAATAATGGTCGTGTGATAGATTATATAAACCACTGTTCTGTAACAGTCCAAACAAATAATGGTCCAGTGATCTTACATAAGAACACCTGTTATCAAATATCTTCATGTCATACTTGGGAATGAGCATTACCACTGTAGTGCACTTGAGCTAACCTTTTTTTCCACAATTGTTTTATCATTTTGGCCTTATCAACTAGGGACGACTTGGCAATGAACCGGGTGTGACATCAGAAGACACAGTCAAGGACGCTCATTACATTGATAAGAAATTTTGTTGTGATTCATTCAGTGTATACAGTTTCAATCTATCAACCAGTTGTCCAAAGATCCCGTACGGCTCACCTTGTATTTAATGTTTGTCAAAACCAGAATCAAAACTTTCCTAAACGATTCATCTTAATTCTCTCTTCAAACTTGACTAAAAAAAATTTCTGAATTCATTAACAGCTCATTAGGACTTCTCTACTCAATATGTCTTCTCAATTAGGTTTTCACACACAAATACTGACATTGACTTCCTTATATGAAAAACTAAACATTCTCAATGCATATAGAACAAGATGAAAGTATGGAGTACTTCAAAGATCTCAGCACCATTAGTGAGATAATGTCAGATACTGATCAACCAAATATATTGTAGCCACAAAATTTATGTAAATGAAGTTTCTGCAAAACACTTGACATTAAATCATTCCTTGTGGTGCTGTTAATGGCCTTCCTTTTTTCTCATTTTTGTATGTAATTAAGTGTTTCCAATAGACAGAATAATCAATAATGGGTTTCATTACAAATTATGCTATGTTTCTGATGCTGTCACCTTTCATTATTTATAAGGAGACATTAATGTATTCAACAACATGAGTACCAAAGGGTGTAACAATAAACACACATGCAATGCATAAGAACAACATATGATAACATTGAAATGAATAGAAACATGGAAATGAAACAGTAGTTGTCTAATCCATAGCTTCTAAGAAAGCTCAACTTCACGTCTTCAAAGTCTGAAAGAACAATTGGCTAGAAGTCCATAAAGCCTGTATCATTGACCTGGATCTTAAAGTCTAGCAATGGTATACATGCCTATAGGTTGGGTATTACAAATATTTCCAAATGGTAGGACAAAACCGATGGGAAAGTTCCCTAGAGGTATGTCACAACCAAGGGTCAACTCTTTTATCATGAATGTGTTTATTTCTTGATACAAAGAAATTCTACATACAATTATGGGGTGGGGGTCACAATTGTTTGATGTTCATCATTGCTTTATATGGTTATGGGGTGGGGATTGCCATGGCTTCAAAGATATAACAAAAGGCCCAAAGGGCCTGTATTGCTCACCTATCTTTGCTTTGCTGAAACTGCTTCATTCAAAAATTAAAAGGGAAAGGACAACAAAATGTCTAAGCACACAACACAAAAAATATCTGTTTTCCTTTTGGACCCTAACTCTCTGTCCTTAGGAGGTCAGTAAAACCATTCATACTTCTGTTTTCCTTTTGGACCCTAACTCTCTGTCCTTAGGAGGTCAGTAAAACCATTCATACTTCTGTTTTCCTTTTGGACCCTAACTCTCTGTCCTTAGGAGGTCAGTAAAACCATTCATACTTCTGTTTTCCTTTTGGACCCTAACTCTCTGTCCTTAGGAGGTCAGTAAAACCATTCATACTTCTGTTTTCCTTTTGGACCCTAACTCTCTGTCCTTAGGAGGTCAGTAAAACCATTCATACTTCTGTTTTCCTTTTGGACCCTAACTCTCTGTCCTTAGGAGGTCAGTAAAACCATTCATACTTCTGTTTTCCTTTTGGACCCTAACTCTCTGTCCTTAGGAGGTCAGTAAAACCATTCATACTTCTGTTTTCCTTTTGGACCCTAACTCTCTGTCCTTAGGAGGTCAGTAAAACCATTCATACTTCTGTTTTCCTTTTGGACCCTAACTCTCTGTCCTTAGGAGGTCAGTAAAACCATTCATACTTCTGTTTTCCTTTTGGACCCTAACTCTCTGTCCTTAGGAGGTCAGTAAAACCATTCATACTTCTGTTTTCCTTTTGGACCCTAACTCTCTGTCCTTAGGAGGTCAGTAAAACCATTCATACTTCTGTTTTCCTTTTGGACCCTAACTCTCTGTCCTTAGGAGGTCAGTAAAACCATTCATACTTCTGTTTTCCTTTTGGACCCTAACTCTCTGTCCTTAGGAGGTCAGTAAAACCATTCATACTTCTGTTTTCCTTTTGGACCCTAACTCTCTGTCCTTAGGAGGTCAGTAAAACCATTCATACTTCTGTTTTCCTTTTGGACCCTAACTCTCTGTCCTTAGGAGGTCAGTAAAACCATTCATACTTCTGTTTTCCTTTTGGACCCTAACTCTCTGTCCTTAGGAGGTCAGTAAAACCATTCATACTTCTGTTTTCCTTTTGGACCCTAACTCTCTGTCCTTAGGAGGTCAGTAAAACCATTCATACTTCTGTTTTCCTTTTGGACCCTAACTCTCTGTCCTTAGGAGGTCAGTAAAACCATTCATACTTCTGTTTTCCTTTTGGACCCTAACTCTCTGTCCTTAGGAGGTCAGTAAAACCATTCATATTTCTTTTTTCCTTTTGGACCCTAACTCTCTGTCCTTAGGAGGTCAGTAAAACCATTCATACTTCTGTTTTCCTTTTGGACCCTAACTCTCTGTCCTTAGGAGGTCAGTAAAACCATTCATACTTCTGTTTTCCTTTTGGACCCTAACTCTCTGTCCTTAGGAGGTCAGTAAAACCATTCATACTTCTGTTTTCCTTTTGGACCCTAACTCTCTGTCCTTAGGAGGTCAGTAAAACCATTCATACTTCTGTTTTCCTTTTGGACCCTAACTCTCTGTCCTTAGGAGGTCAGTAAAACCATTCATACTTCTGTTTTCCTTTTGGACCCTAACTCTCTGTCCTTAGGAGGTCAGTAAAACCATTCATACTTCTGTTTTCCTTTTGGACCCTAACTCTCTGTCCTTAGGAGGTCAGTAAAACCATTCATACTTCTGTTTTCCTTTTGGACCCTAACTCTCTGTCCTTAGGAGGTCAGTAAAACCATTCATACTTCTAACCAATGCATGCCTACAGCAGTAGGATTTTAAAGCATTTTCCCTATTACCAATATTTCTAATATTGGATTATTTGTGCTATTGGGCAATTTCCAATATTGGGCTTGGCACCCACCCTAGGGGGCAGAGATCAACTATTTATACAAAATTGATTCAACTACATCCAATAATGCATCTGACAAGATTTGGACAAAATCCAGTTTTAAAGAATTTGTTCTATTACCCCTATTGAGCCCCATCCCTCCTGCCCCAGGTGGCTGAGACCCACCATTTTTCCAGAATTGATTATCCTTCACCCAACAATGCTTAAGACTGAATTTGGGCTAAATCCAATCATTCCTACAGGAGTAGAATTTTGAAGAATTTGATCTATCACCCTTATTGGGCCCCACCCCAAGTGGCCTAAGACCCAATGTTTATACAAAATTGATTATCCTTCACCCAACAATGCTTAAGACTGAATTTGGGCAAAATCCAATCATTCCTACAGGAGTAGAATTTTGAAGAATTTGATCTATCACCCTTATTGGGCCCCACCCCAAGTGGCCTAAGACCCACTGTTTATACAAAATTGATTATCCTTCACCCAACAATGCTTCAAACCAAATTTGGGCAAAATCCATTTATTCCTACAGAAGGAGTAGGATTTTCCAATTTCCCGATTTGGGCCCCGTTCTTTGGAACAGGATTTGTCATTTATAAAATATTTGTTCATGATATAATTGTTCAAAATATGGACATGACTAATACAGAGGAGATGATTAGGTCTTTTTAAAATTTTTGACTGGAAAACAGTCTAGATTCATTAATACAAAGTGACATATACTAGAGAAATGGAGCCCGGTCTAGAGGCAGAGACACAGGCAAGGGCTGATTCAATGATTGTAGTACGGTTGTACACTAATTGTAATTTATTTCCAGAACACATTGTTTGATTTACATGAAATTTTCACATCACAAGTGAATAAATTACAGATTAACTGACATGTTATTTACACTTTTGACTACATGTAATATCATTGAGAATTTGTAGTTTTTGCCTGTACCCTCAGATTTCCTACTCAATACTCTAATATTTCAATGGACGGGTACACTCACACGTAATGTGCCCCTAACAAACAGAAGTAAAAATTCATAGTGTATTGGTATTTATATGGATGTCCTATATCAATATCTTGTAGATTAGAACAATTCATTTCCCAGCTGAAGACGCCTCCTCCAAGACCCATGATGCTTCAGAGATAAACACAGTAAAGTTCGGACTCACCATTTATCAAAGGACACACGCATAAAAAGTGCCATGGATTATCGCATATTGAGATGAATTCTATATTTTTATTACTGATTTCATTCCCCGTTTCATCAACCAAAAAAACCTTAAACGTTTCTTTGACCGTTAATTAGCACTTAGGTATATGTCACATCTTGGAGAAATAACATGAAACCAAACCAATGTCAGTTCATGTCTGACCCTAATCTCAGTGTTAATGGTGTAAGAACACTAAGAAAGCCAATTTGGGTAAACGTTTAGTATTATTCTTGTTCATTTCATAGAAACCATAATTAATAATGACAAGAAATTTGGAGCTGATCACTGTCTTGAAAGATGGTGGCTTTATTTACAGTATGTGATGCAACTTAGACGACTTAGTGACATGAAAAACACAGCTAGTTTGTCAACATTAAACCTGCTAGTTGATAAACACAGCTAGTTTGTCAACATTAAACCTGCTAGTTGATAAACACAGCTAGTTTGTCAACATTAAACCTGCTAGTTGATAAACACAGCTAGTTTGTCAACATTAAACCTGCTACTTGAAAAACACAGCTAGTTTGTCAACATTAAACCTGATAGTTGATAAACACAGCTAGTTTGTCAACATTAAACCTGATAGTTGATAAACACAGCTAGTTTGTCAACATTAAACCTGCTAGTTGATAAACACAGCTAGTTTGTCAACATTAAACCTGCTACTTGAAAAACACAGCTAGTTTGTCAACATTAAACCTGATAGTTGATAAACACAGCTAGTTTGTCAACATTAAACCTGCTAGTTGATAAACACAGCTAGTTTGTCAACATTAAACTTGCTAGTTGATAAACACAGCTAGTTTGTCAACATTAAACCAGCTAGTTGATAAACACAGCTAGTTTGTCAACATTAAACCTGCTAGTTGATAAACACAGCTTGTTTGTCAACATTAAACCTGCTAGTTGATAAACACAGCTAGTTTGTCAACATTAAACCTGCTAGTTGATAAACACAGCTTGTTTGTCAACATTAAACCTGCTACTTGAAAAACATAGCTAGTTTGTTAACATCAGACATGCTTGTGAAGCAAACCTGCTTGTCAACATTAAAACCAGTTTTTCAACACGAGACATCTTTTTGACACCAGACCTGCTTGTTAACAATATTGCTAGTTTGTTGACATCAAACTTTCTTGTTAAACAAACATGCTTATCAACAATAAAACCAGTTTCAGCATGAAACCTATTTTTCAACAACATCAACTTGTTTGTCAATATCTATCCTGTTGGTTGACAAAAAAATAGTAAACCTTTGACATCAAACCTGCCCGTCAACATCAAGCTTGTTCCTTATAACAAGATGCCCAAGGGCCTTAACGGTCACCTGAGTCACAATGCTTCTTTTCATAACATGTCATAGAAATGATTTCTTAAAAAAAAGTAATATAACTTTAAGTCCATTGTACACATAATGTAAATGTAAATTGTGTATACATTAACTGCTGTCCTTTGCTAAGGCATCTAACCAAGTTTGAACTAAGAGAAATTACACTCAAGATTTGAATTTTCCTATATAAAATCTCCCATCCAGGAACAGTAGAACATCTTTGAAATATCAGTCAATTTGACACTTTATTGGCCCCGCCCATCAGCTCCTAGAGGTCAGTTAAGGTCAATATGTGCATTTCATCAAACAGTCAGCTTATACTATTAAAAAGTAAATTCAAACCAAGTTTGAACTATTTCTAAAAGAAAACAAAGTATGCTCAAAAATCCATTTTTCCTATATAAATTATATAGTAAATCTTACCTCTTCCCAAAGGGGATATGCGAGACCATGAGGTCGTGAAATGCACAATTTTAGTAAAGCACCTTAAGATGCTTCCATTCATCAAGAGTATTTGATTCTACCATATCTGGGTCTTGAGAAGAAGATTTTGTAATCCAAGTCAATTTGACCCCTTTGGCCCCACCCTTCAGAACCCTAGGGGGTGGGGACTGTATAATTCACAACTTTGGTTCATCTTAGGCCAGGGAAGATTTCTGGAAACTTTCATTGAAATCGGATCAGGGGTTTAGAGAAGAAGTAAAAAATGTTAAATTGTTTACGGATGCACCACGCACGATGTTGGATGAAGGTGATCGCAATAAGTCACCATCAGACTTTGTCTTAGGTGACCTAATAAAACCATATGACATTTGGTGATGGTAACTGTAATATCTTACATCACAAATGATTTTCAACTTTGCCTGCTTCAGGAATTCAAATTAAATGGATCTGGTACTTTCCCATAAGTTTGTCTTACAAACTCAGTTTCAATTGTGGATTCAAACAAAAATGTAGATCATCTCATCATGCATTTCCTGATATCAGACTACTTTTCTCTACCTTGTTGCGTGTCTCCTGTGGAAGGTCCTCGCCCTGATCCAGTGGTATACCCTCCATATATTCTGAGGTAATTACCTCCCCTGTACTTAGCTCATCTATGACTTCAGGTACTAAGAAATGTGATTCGTTTTTCACCAGCTCTCTGGAATAGACAGAACAGACATATACATAGGTAATTAAATTTTATAACACTTCACCTTTCGTTAAGAAGTCAGTTCTATGATAGGGCCTGCATCACTCACTTCGACAAAAAGCACTCCTGCACATTGTTTAAACATGACTTTAAGAAAAGCCAAGAGGCTAAAAATCATAGTGATGAGGCCCAAGGGCCTTAACCATCACCTGAGTCACAATGCTTCTTGTAATATGTCAAAGAAATGATTTTGTTAAAAAAAAGTAAAATAACTTTACTTATATTGTATACATAATGTAAATGCAAACTGTGTATAACATTAACTGCTGTTCCATGTTAAGGCTTCTAATCAAGTTTGAATTACAAGAAACTACACTAAATGATTGAACATTACAATATCATATTTTCAATCCAGGTACAGTAAAATATCTTTAAAATTTCAGTCAATTTGACCTATTTTTGGCCCCCCCTATCAGCCCCTTGGGATCAGCCGTAGTCAATATGTGCATCTCATTAAAACTGTCTGCTCATACTAATATATCTAACAGTCTGAACTATTTCCAATAGAAAATAAACAAACAGTGCTCAAAAATTTTATTTTACTATATCAAAATATAGTAAAATTACACCTTACCCCGGGGAAAATGTGAGACCATGGGGTCATGAAATTTACAATTTTGATAAAGCATCTGAAGACCTTTCCATCCATGAAGAGTGCTTGACTCTATCATAACTTGGATTTGAGAAGTATATTTTTGTAGTTTCAATCAATTTGACCCATTTTGGCCTTGCCCCTCAGGCCCCTGGGTGTTGGGGAACATGAAATTTACAATTTTGTTGAACCTTTAGCCATGGAAAGTTTTTATCAAATTTCACTGAATTGGGTAAAGAGTTCTCCAGAAAAAATCAAAAATATGTCAAAAGTATACAACACAAGACATACAACAAGGGACAAAAGGAGATCACAATAGGTCACCCTGAGATCTTTGTCTCAGGTGATCTAACATAATCAAGAAAAGATAAAAAAAATAATGGAATTTTATTTATCAATTTGGAGGTTGAAATATTAATTGTACAACTTTCAATTTGTCTGCCATGAATGGTACATGTATATGTATGTGATGTATAAAAAACATCATAATGATTATATTGAATATAATGTCCTAGAATGATATATACTCATGTAAGAACATGTTGTATAGATTTATGTATAAAGAAAAAAAAATTGACACTGAGGACATGTACATGTCACTGATGAAATTAAATCAAGTCTTGTTCTTGATGTCAATGTAAATACATTCCATAGCTACATCACTAATTGTAAAAGAGAAATAAAATTGGCGTAAATTAAAAACAAATCTCAAAATTAATGACTTGTGGAAACCATGACTACCAACCAAAAACTGCAAAAAATATGAAAATATTGTATATCTTATTATCTTAACTAAAAATCATGATAAAAGAATCAACTCTTAGGTTGGGGTCCACTCATCCGACCTCTAGGGATTTGATTCCTAACTTAAAGCCATAACTGTTAAATAGATGAGTTCTCCACCTCATAACCTTAGGTAACTTACCACCCAATGCTGAACATAGAAAGACAAACACAATTATGATTCAAGAATTGAGTCTGGGGTGTGACCACATCCCAGAGGCCTACATCCTGGGCAATGATTTTGAAACTTTTCAGAACCTAACCTGATAACCATGTAAACCATTACTGGGCATCAAAAGACAAACACTACTATGATATGAAAATTGATCGTGGGATCTGGTCCAATTCATAAGAAGTAAATCTATTTGTCATAGCTTTGTAACAGTTAAGATCCCTACCCTATAATCATGACTTTGAAATGGTTGTGATTGCAAACTTATAGCTATATAGCTGTATATATACATAAAAATTCAGGAAAGCAGTTTAGGCCCTCATTGCCGTGGTTCAAGATTATTCAGGTTAAGACATTTAAAGACAATGTGACCACAGATCATATGCGTCCAATCTTGTGTATGTTGGTCAGTGTGGTAGCCACCAGTTAATATAAAGAGATTCTGCCACAAAATGACCCTGACTGATGACAGGACAATATTTGAAAACCTGTAAACCTGGAGGTTGCCAATTCCAAGATATGATAGAATTAAATACACTCAGTAGAGATCTTTAGGTGTGTTACCAAATTGATAGATTTCATGACCCTAAAGTCTTCCTTTGGGAAGCAGTAAAGGTTGCTTTCATAGTTAATATGAACCAATTACATGTGCGGGCATAATTTGTTTAATTTTAATTGGAAATAATTGAAACTTCTTTAAAATTCTGCATTTTCAAATTGATGCTTGTCAGACCTAGGGGCCTGATAAGTGGAGCCAAACTAAAAGGTAAAAGGAGTGAAAGGTGAACTTATATTAGTGTCAAAGGTGAACTTATACTGGTGTCAAAGGTAAACTTATGTTAGTGTCAAAGGTGAACTTATATTAGTGTCAAAGGTGAACTTAAATTAGAATCAAAAGTGAACTATATTGGTGTCAAAGGTGAACTTATGTTAGTGTCAAAGGTGAACTTATATTGGTATCAAAAGTTAACTTATGTTAGTGTTAAAGATGAACTTATATTAGTGTCAAAGGTGAACTTATTTTGGTATCAAAGGTGAACTTATGTTAGTGTCAAAGGTGAACTTATATTAGTGTCAAAGGTGAACTTATATTAGTGTCAAAGGTGAACTTATTTTGGTATCAAAGGTGAACTTATGTTAGTGTCAAAGGTGAACTTATATTAGTGTCAAAGGTGAACTTAAATTAGTGTCAAAGATGAACTTATGTTAGTGTCAAAGGTGAACTTATATTAGTGTAAAAGGTGAACTTAAATTAGTGTCAAAGGTGAACCTGTGAACTTATATTAGTATCAAAGGTGAACTTATGTTAGTGTCAAAGGTGAACTTAAATTAGTGTCAAAGGTGAACCTGTGAACTTATATTAGTGTCAAAGGTGAACTTATGTTAGTGTCAAAGGTGAACTTATGTTTGTGTCAAAGGTAAACTTAAATTAGTGTCAAAGGTGAACCTGTGAACTTATATTAGTGTCAAAGGTGAACCTGTGAACTTATATTGGTGTCAAAGGTGAACTTATGTTAGTGTCAAAGGTGAACATAAATTAGTGTCAAAGGTGAACCTGTAAACTTATATTAGTGTCAAAGGTGAACTTATGTTAGTGTCAAAGGTGAACTTAAATTAGTGTCAAAGGTGAACTTATATTAGTGTCAAAGGTGAACTGATATTAGTGTCAAAGGTGAACTTATGTTAGTGTCAAAGGTGAACTTATGTTAGTGTCAAAGGTGAACCTATATTAGTGTCAAAGGTGAACTTATGTTAGTGTCAAAGGTGAACTTATATTAGTGTCAAAGGTGAACTTATGTTAGTGTCAAAGGTGAACTTATATTAGTGTCAAAGGTGAACTTATGTTAGTGTCAAAGGTGAACTTAAATTAGTGTCAAAGGTGAACTTAAGTTAGTGTCAAAGGTGAACTTATATTAGTGTCAAAGGAGAACTTATGTTAGTGTCAAAGGTGAACTTATGTTAGTGTCAAAGGTGAACTTAAATTAGTGTCAAAGGTGAACTTATGTTAGTGTCAAAGGTGAACTTATATTAGTGTCAAAGGTGAACTTATTTTGGTATCAAAGGTGAACTTATGTTAGTGTCAAAGGTGAACTTATATTAGTGTAAAAGGTGAACTTATGTTAGTGTTAAAGAGTATGGTAATCAATGTTTGGTGTGATAGATGTATATTTTGTAAAGTGATGTATTTGTTCTGTACATTTCTCTGTGATAATGGATTTATACCTAGATAACACTTGATATTTCTGTATTACAGTGAATTTACTTAGCTGCAGTGATTATAATGAATTACCCTCCTTTTCTTATGAAAAAATTAGAATTGATACAAACTTTGATCAAAAACATGTTTAACATTTTGTTTTGTTTGTTTAGTGTATGGATATATATACATATTCAATATTAAGATACTGGTATTAGATATTGGAGAGTTTTTTATACTAAACATTCTTGTTAACACAGTTTTACAAACATGCTAAAGAGTATGGATTAACCATTCTCACATCCAATATAAACAGTAAACAATACAATCAATCATATTACATCTATGGGTCTATTTATCTACAGTTATCAGAAATAATGCCATTGCTTTCAGAAATAATTCCATCGTTTTCAGAAACAATGCCACTGAGTCTTGATGCTTGTTTGTAGCTATTTTTGGATGGAAATCTATTTGTATTATGCATCACGTGTGACGCCATTTCCATATCATTGAAAGCAAAGTTATAAAGATGAAATTTTCAGGATTGTTTATGCAATGAGGTATTTTACATTTACAAGGGTATGCTCTGCATAAAATCTGCATTCTCTTCAAATTCTTGTTTAGTCGATATTCTAGCAACATCTCTGACAAACTACAACATTCAAGGATGGGCTAACCAATCTTTTAACTTGACCAACAGTCATACTGTAGGAAACGGAGATAAATTATCAACCAATTGTGGTAATACCCCCGCACCTAGTGCAAACATGCAACAACACTATTTTTTGTCTTATTGGTGAATAAATCGGTGACTTTAACATTGAATGTTTACATGACATGTCATAGTAACCAGTCAGAATCAGGAGTAGAACACTTGTTCATAATGTTAGTGGATTATTGATGATCTAGAAACAGTAAACTCCTGACATTTAATAAAACTCTCTCTCTTCTTATACACTATAAACTAATCATCATGCTGCCAGGATCAAAATGATATCCCGAGCATGGCCAAGCCCATACCTAGAGGGATCTTCATGCCCACCATTGTCTGATCTTTATTTGTTATTTAAATTTAGATCTTTTCCCTTCTTTTCTCTTTTCTTCTCTGTTTTTGTCTGTTTTTGTTCTTCATTAACAGAAATTTGAACATTAATACTTTGCAGAAATAGCGATGATAATCTTTAACTACCAATCAAAGATGGTTACCTGAAAACCATTTTGTTTTTTCTGATCAGATCCCAAATTCAAACTGGCACACCTAAGGACCAAGAGGAACCTACATATGAAATTTAAGAAAGATTCATCTCATACTCCCCAAGAAAACAAATCTTCACTGAAAAAGACCAAGATGGCTGCATGTGGTCATTTTGTTTTTTTGATCAGTCCCAAAATCAAAAGGTCACAACTAGGGACCAAGGGGAAGCTACATATGAAATTTGAGAGAGATCCATTGAGTTCTTCTCAAGAAATAACAATAACAAACTTTACAAGGTGAAATCTAATGAAGGCTGTCTGCAGGCAATTTTGTTTCTCAGACCCAAAATTAAACTGACACAACTAGGGACCAAGGGGAATCTACATATGAAATTTGAGAAAGATCAATCAAGCACTATGCAAGAAATAGCAATTACAAACTTCATTTAAAAATTCAAAATGGCTGACTGTGGACAATTTTGTTTTTCTGATCAGTCCAAAAATCAAATGGGCACAACCCGGGATTAAGGAAAACCTTCTTATGAAATTTGAGAAAGATCCATCCAGAGAAACACTGATATACATCACATGTACCTACCTAAATCTGCGAGCACACCTGGCTTCTCGGAGGTAATCCACTTCCCATTTCAATTCTGTTCTTGCTACAGCGATTACACTGTCTATATATACACCTGTTAAACAGAACATCGTAAAATCCATAAAACAGAAAATATGAAAACACACAATAGTACTTTTCTTGCCACACATCCTACTTTTTCAGCAAAAAACCTTGTCTTAATTTCCCATTAAATCTTTACTTTCACTCACAACAATTACTACCATGCCTTAACAACAGCCACACCCTCATCATTAATGCCGCACCCCCACCTTTGTTGCAGCACCCTCATCTTTATTGATACTCCCTACCTTACCTGCAATACCCTTACCTCACTTTACTGCCACACCCTCATCAATAATGCCACATCCCCACCTTTGTTGCAGCACCCTCATCTTTATTGATACTCCCTACCTTACCTGCAATACCCTTACCTCACTTTACTGCCACACCCCTACCCTGTCATGCTACAAAGCAGTAAGTGAACACTTCCATATACATCTATTAATTGAAAGTAATTACCAAGGGAGAAAATAAAAACATTAATTTGTAAATAATAAACAATAACCCAAAGGGTTCATATGTGATTCCTCCGTAAAACCAGAGGTGAATACAGAATTCTAATAAAACTTTCAGGTAAGTATCGATGATGAAAAATATTGCTTCAGTAATTAATTAATTCTACTTGACACAATATTCTATACAAAATCTCTACAAAAAGGGGCATATACTTTACCAAATTTATTGGGGTGTTGTCTGTTGATAATTTTCATGTAATGAATAAGCATGTACTTACTTATGTATAAGTATATTTATTCAGTTTCCAAATCTTATAATCAAATTTTATGTATTTTTCTTAATTGTTACAACTGAATTAAGTTCTTCACTAATCATCTTTTAATCGTTAAGTATTCCATTAGTATATGTCTGGTTGCTGACATTGTGTTTACTTACTAATTCAAGGGTAAATATTTATTTTATATCAACGAGACAGACAGTATATTCCTAACATTGGGACAGCGATGTTAGTGTGAGGGTGTGTATGTATGTGTGTAAATCATATCATAAAATTCAAGTTCTAAGTGAATTATCTTTTGATTATTGAATTAGTATATGTATTGACTTTGATATACTTGATTAAAGGGAATACTTTATCTTATATTACATGTGTATAACAATGGAATAGACAGTACAGTCCTAACAGTGGGATAGAGAAGGTGTGTGTATATGTATTTGAGTAAATGATTTACTGAAATTCAAGTAAATTTCAATGTATACACAATGAATGTTTGTCATTGCCATCTCTAACAGTACAGTGCCTTATAAGATTCTTGTATGTGTTGTATATGTATGTTAGATAGTAAATTTCCAATGTTATGTATATCTGTACCTGATTGAATGTTAGAATTTGTTTATGATTTATCATTTGGGAGGGTCGTGTGGAAGATTAGTATGCTTGTACTAAACATGTTACCCTCTGAAAAGGTTTCATACAGCTGCACTTCTTTAACCTCACCTTTCTCCTTTACTTTCTCATCTTTCAATTTTAGCCACACCCCTACATATCACAGCCAGATACCTGCCCAACCTTTTTAACCTCAACATCCATTCACACACATACTGTCACATCACTTCTTTATCAGCCACACCCCTGCATTTTCACAGCCAGATACCTGCCCAGCCCTTTTAACCTCAACATTCATTCACACACATACTGTCTCATCACTTCTTTATCAGCCACACCCTTGCATTATTGCAGACAAGTCCCTGTCCAGTCCCTTTAGCATCCACTCTCATTCATTACTGGCACATATTCACTGTTACTACCACACCTTGTTACTTCCATTGTAACATGCATTATATTTACAGCCACATTCAACACTTCAACTACCTGTCCCTTGAAAACAACATGTCCCTAGAGCACATTGTTTCTCTTTTACTATAAAGTACCATCATTTTAGCAGTCACATCCTATTAGCTTTGTAGCCACCACTCTCAGTCTTTAATAAATCACAACTAGCACACTTTAATAATAAGACCCATTCACCTTTTACTCCACAGTCTATAATTTTCCTATCATTTTCCTCACCTTTGGGAATGATGTTGAACATGTTGAGTACACCCATCAAGGATCGGATATCACTGTCTATACACTGGGCAACACCTGGGAACTGTCAACAAGGCATACCAAAGAAATTTAAAAAAATCTAGGTATCATTATAAACAAGGGAAAAATATCTACAGCTTTTATAGTGTTGACTAGGGACTCCTTCTGCTGAAATTTAAGAACAATCTATCAAAAATTTCTCCTGAAATATACAGCAGTAACAACATTCAATGATCTCAGAGATCCTGCCGAGATCTTGGCACCTCCCAATGCTGGATCTTCATGATTTTTATTACAGCTGAACTTCTCCCCTTCTGTTCTCTTTTTTTTTCCGTTTTTGCTTTTAATACATCTCTGTATCAAATATGAAAATTCCTCTTTAGAAATAGCAATTATAATCTTACACTGTCAGAATCTTCTTTTGGACTGATCATCAATTTCGTTTTTTTGATCAATCAAAAATTCAAATGGACACAACTTCAGGAGAAAATGTAACCTATGCATAAAATTTGAGATCCATCCGTTTTTCACAGAAATAGTAAATAACTTCCTTGTGGAAACCACAACAGCTACAAACCAGCCATATCACATGTTGATAATATATATATTTACAACTATAAATGTGTCGAGATATAATCTATCACACACAAAACACTTTGTCAAGGCCTTACATGCCATGAGGCACAAAGAGGATAGGTAACAGGTAACATACAAAGCAATCAAACACTTTTATTTTGACCACTCCATGCTGTTATATTTTGACCACTCCATACTGTGATATTTGACCACTCCATACTGTTATATTTTGACCACTCTATACAGCTGATATTTTGACCACTCTATACAGCTGATATTTTGACCACTCTAAACAGCTGATATTTTGACCACTATATACAGCTGATATTTTGACCACTCTATACAGCTGATATTTTGACCACTCTATACAGCTGATATTTTGACCACTCTATACAGCTAATATTTTGACCACTATATACAGCTGATATTTTGACCACTCTATACAGCTGGTATTTTGACCACTATATACAGCTGATATTTTGACCACTCTATGCAGCTGATATTTTGAACACTCTATACAGCTGATATTTTGAACACTCTATACAGCTGGTATTTTGACCACTATATACAGCTGATATTTTGACCACTTTATGCAGCTGATATTTTGAACGCTCTATACAGCTGATATTTTGAACACTCTAAACAGCTGATATTTTGACCACTATATACAGCTGATATTTTGACCACTCTATACAGCTAATATTTTGACGACTACATACAGCTGATATTTTGACCACTCTATACAGCTGATATTTTGACCACTATATACAGCTGATATTTTGACCACTCTATGCAGCTGATATTTTGAACACTCTATACAGCTTATATTTTGACCACTATATACAGCTGATATTTTGACCACTCTATGCAGCTGATATTTTGACCACTCTATACAGCTGGTATTTTGACCACTATATACAGCTGATATTTTGACCACTCTATGCAGCTGATATTTTGAACACTCTATACAGCTGGTATTTTGACCACTATATACAGCTGATATTTTGACCACTCTATGCAGCTGATATTTTGATCACTCCATACTGTGATATTTGACCACTCCATACTGTTATATTTTGACCACTCTATACAGCTGATATTTTGACCAGTCTATACAGCTGATATTTTGACCACTATATACAGCTGATATTTTGACCACTCTATACAGCTGATATTTTGACCACTCTATACAGCTAATATTTTGACGACTATATACAGCTGATATTTTGACCACTCTATACAGCTGGTATTTTGACCACTATATACAGCTGATATTTTGACCACTCTATGCAGCTGATATTTTGAACACTCTATACAGCTGGTATTTTGACCACTATATACAGCTGATACCACTATGTTACCTGATTTTTACTACCATACAGATCTTTTTAATGTTACAACCACTGTAGATACGTAGAGTTTATATCACCATGGCTACCAGATATTACTTTCATCACTACCTGAACTTTCATGGCAACTTTTCTGCCATCCTTCATCAAACCGCGGTGGACTTGGCCTATGGAAGCAGACGCAAAAGGTTTCTCTTCCAGGTCAACTAAATCTTGCCAGTCTTTACCCAAGTTCTTTGTGACTGCTTTCTGTAAAAATATTGAATGTTCAGAGAAGATTAGTTACAGATATATTTATAGGTAAAATGGAATGATGACTGATGACATAACATCACCTTGATGGATGTCATGACAGTGACACTGGGACGGATGTCATCACAGTGACACTGGGACGGATGTCATGACAGTGACACTGGGACGGATGTCATCACAGTGACACTGGGATGGATGTCATCACAGTGACACTGGGACGGATGTCATGACAGTGACACTGGGACGGATGTCATCACAGTGACACTGGGACGGATGTCATGACAGTGACACTGGGACGGATGTCATGACAGTGACACTGGGACGGATGTCATGACAGTGACACTGGGACGGATGTCATCACAGTGACACTGGGACGGATGTCATCACAGTGACACTGGGACGGATGCCATGACAGTGACACTGGGACAAATGTCATGACAGTGACACTCATGACAGTGACACTGGGACGGATGTCATGACAGTGACACTGGGACGGATGTCATGACAGTGACACTGGGATGGATGTCATGACAGTGACACTGGGATGGATGTTATCAGAGTGACAATTGAATGGATGTTACCATGGTGATATTGGGAATATAATAATAATGTTATGATAATATCACTGGGATGGGTGTTACCATGGTGATATTGGGAAAATGTTATGATGATATCACTGTGATGGATGTTAATATAATGACACTGGAATTTGCTTTTCTATAACAAACATGTTGATGAAACAGAAAGTGCAACTTATTATGCAAGGACTTCTATCTACTTGGTATTTGATGGATCAAATCAACCTCAGAACAGAGCTTTTCACAAGTGATGATCTGTTTTGCAGAGATGAATCTTTATCTCCAAAATAGGTATTTATTTTATATGATCGTCAACAAAGACAGAAACCAAATACAAAATAAAATATCAAGAAATTTCATATCTTACAAATGTCAAGAATTCGAAAATTCATAAATGTCAGCCTCAGGATTTACCTATACTATCAAAGTCATCCAACCTTCAAAATCCCAAGCATTTTACCAATTTTTCTAGATTTTAATATTCCGATTGCTGTAGTATGTTAAAACTGCCAATGACTAAATCAGAGGACTCCTCACCATCATTTGTGCTGAAGGCATTATGTCTGCCCCTTGTCTGACTCTATCAAATATCTTCTGTATCTCTGGAGGAACAACTGCTGAGTCTATAAAATAAACAATAGTTTTGGTCAATGGAGATTCTTCTCCTTATTTTATGTTGCATTACATGAAACAAGAGGCCCATGGGCTTTAAGGTCACCTGAGGTCACCAGGTCTCTGGATAGTTTTAGAACCTGTCCATCAGTCCCAGCATAAGGGCAAACAGAACAGAACTATGTATGCATACTTACAAAGTTTTTATAGTTTCTAAGTTTGATGGCCTAATTTTCCCCTATTGGGCCATGCCCTTTCCACACCACGTGATTGAGTTCCACCCTTTATACAAAATTAATTCCCACTTCAACCAAGAATGCTTGAGACCAAAGTCAGGCAAAATCCAATCATTCCAACAAAAGGAGTATGGTTGTTAAGAATTTACTCTGCTTCCCCTGTTGAGACCTATTAAATATCCCAGGGAGGCGAGACCCATTCCAAACAGTGTATTAAGACATGAAGACCTACCTTGTATACTAATCATCTGTCCCAGTATGACAGCAGCACCTCTAGCCCCACATAGTGTATTGCAATAGGAATACCTACCTTGTACACTAATCATCTGTCACAGCTTGAGAGCAGCACCTCTAGCCCAACACAGTGTACTGTAATAGGAATACCTACCTTGTACACTAATCATCTGTCCCAGTATGACAGCAGCACCTCTAGCCCAACACAGTGTACTGTAATAGGAATACCTACCTTGTACACTAATCATCTGTCCCAGTATGACAGCAGCACCTCTAGCCCAACACAGTGTACTGTAATAGGAATACCTACCTTGTACACTAATCATCTGTCCCAGTATGACAGCAGCACCTCAGCCCAACACAGTGTACTGTAATAGGAATACCTACCTTGTACACAGTGTACTGCAGCACCTCTAGCCCGACACAGTGTACTGTAATAGAAATACCTACCTTGTACACTAATCATCTGTCCCAGCTTGAGAGCAGCACCTCTAGCCCGACACAGTGTACTGTAATAGGAATACCTACCTTGTACACTAATCATCTGTCCCAGTATGACAGCAGCACCTCTAGCCCCACATAGTGTATTGCAATAGGAATGCCTACCTTGTACACTAATCATTTGTCCCAGCTTGAGAGCAGCACCCCTAGCCCGACATAGTGTATTGACTACCCTCTCAGCATTGGCTTCATTTATGAAGATGCTAGCAGTACTCAGGGTTTCTGAAAATGTTAATTATCTTCATCAATTGTTACAGCTTTTAACGTATCTTAGGAGCTCAAATTTGTCATGTTGTTTAATTTCATACTTCATACTGTTGCTTATCAATGAGATTTTAAATTTTCACTGACATCAGTGTTCAAGGAGTATCTGCACTGACTGACACGTTTGCCTTATTTTGTGTTTTCAATGCAATGGCCTGTTTGATTATGTTGAAATTGGTTTGATGTTATCAACAAAAATCAAACAATTCAAACAGACATGTTCTTGAAATACTGCATTTTTCACAAAATACAGCAACTTCCATTTTGCTGATATCAGTTGTGTATATCAGAAATGGCAACTTTGAGAACATTATATTTATTACAACAATCACCTATTTTTGGAACACTGCTAAATGTTGTCAAAACATGCATTTTTGTAATAAAAGCACAAATCGGTGAACCAGTCAGAACCATTACTAGTGGCTTTATGAAAAAAATTTTATTGCTAGGTTTTTTTCAAGATGGCAGCATTAGTATTGTAAAGCCCTAATATTTTTTACCTATCATCAAGTTTAACAATGCATGTATTTTCAATATTGATGTTTTAAACAGACATATATCCTCAACATACTTTCAATGATTAATTCATAAGACAGCAAAGTCTCGCTAAAGGATGGTAAAGTGTATCTGAAATCCAAATTCCCTCAAGATCCAATGACATTTAGCAAAGTTACCGCATGGAAACTGGTTGGCCAATCAGAAGTGAAGTTCCTAAAGAATTATTGTTTAACATCGACAAACTCAAAAGATGATAATCAAACATGAACTGAAGGATAATAAGTTACCTACAAACCAAATTTGATTTTAATCCATTCACAATTCCAAATGTTATAAATGGAAACCAATTGGCAAATCAGAATTCAATTAATTATTCATAAATGTCTTCAAATGACCTATGTAGTTGAACTTGGGCTGAAGGATAAAAGTAAGATACACCTGAATCCAAATTTAATCAAAATTCATTTACATTTAGTTGAAATCCATATGACTTTCATGTTTACAAAACTTAATACAAGAGCTTACCACCTACATTTGAAAATCGTAACTAGCTAATTGGCTAACTATTCATCACAATTCCTCATCCCAGAGACAATTAAGTTAGGTAACTATTGATCAGTGCTATTAATCCTTATGAAAGTTAATTTCTGTAAATATTAATCGATTCTCCTTCTTACTTAGAAAGTCATTTTCTGTAGATATTGATCACAGCTCCTTATCCCCCAGAAACATAAGTTCTGTAGATATTGATCACAGCTCCTTATCCCCCAGAAACATAAGTTCTGTAGATATTGATCACAGCTCCTCATCCCCCAGAAACATAAGTTCTGTAGATATTGATCACAGCTCCTCATCCCCCAGAAAGGTATTTTTGTTTTGATTTTATTTGCTGTATTGAAAAAAACCGTTTCTCCTGAAAAATCTATTAATTTCATATAACCAACTTAAACATTTAAAGGCAAAAGAAGAATGACTACAGACTTTGCATTTAATTTCTAACATTTGAAGAAATGTTTGTATACTAACCCTCTGGTTTAGATAGCCCAAGCTTTCTCTTGCTTACTTCTCCTATAGTGCCAGCCAGTAGTCCCACAGCCAGTCCTGTCAAAAGTATTCAGACATATCAAAAGGGGGAACAATCCAGCTTAAAGATAGACAATACTTACAGTGAAAAGTTATCTACAGTTTCCAAATTAAAGGGAAAGCAGCTTTCTGACGTGTCCTAAGTGATTCTGGTGTGAGAAAAATACATTTTCTTTGAAACATACAAACAATTAATCTTGAAATAATCTAATAGTGCTAACACCTGACATCTCATTAATAAGAGGCCTAAGGGGCTTGTATCTCTCACATTGCTTATTTAGCTATTCAGCCATTTAATGAAAAATTTTCAAATAACAACAAATAATTTCTGACATAATTTCCCTATTGGGTTTAGCACTGTGGTTAAACAGATGTCAGATTCACTATTCATAATCAAAGTACTGTAAATGAACATTTTTGTAAAGTACAAGCTCATGTTTATTTAGAAATTTTATAATATGTAGTACTTATAATCAATGAAGCTCATGTCTTTTACATAATGCCAAATATGAATGAGAGATGTGAAAGTAAGCTTTAAAGATATTGTATCTTCCTTCATCTGGATTACACAACTAGCAACTTCCTAAACTTATATGTCCAGTCTTTAGATTAAGTATTTCAGTGAACTTATTACCAGGAATAGCTTTATTGATGGATAAATAAATGCAAATGGAATGCTGCCTGATATTGCCAAATTAAACATAAGTACTGACTGTCTAATTTGCTACTGACCTCCATAACTGGATAATCTGCTGACCATGGTTGCTGGTACTTTCCTCTCTCTAGCAGAGGCTCTCAGCTTAAAAACAATCAGAGTAACCACTTCATTTTCATATACATAGTGATTACCTGTAATATTGTTTGCTAGTTTACATATAGATTGTAATAATTTAAGAGGCCAGATAAGAATGAGCCTGCATCCCTCACCGTTGTTTACAAACATATTTTACAAATGAGATCTACACACTGGGTAATCAAATATATTTGACATATTTTTTTTTTAAGAAGATCTATGTTATTTTCTTCTTCAAACATTGTTTAACTTTTTTCCAATGAAGGTGAATATCAGTTTTTATGTCTTTTTGGTTAATAAGAAGTTGTTTGGTCATTAGACACCTGTGCCCTTGAAAGTAGGACTGTTATAGGTCATTCATTTAGTGGCCTTTCATCCAAGCATGCCTAACATGTAACTAGAATGATATCAGTACTCTGGGCCTGTTGGTTATTGAGATGTCAATTAAAAATTCAAAAACATTTTATGTGTGCAACCTTGAAATTTCATCAAAATCATTCATTTCAATACATCTTAGAAAAAATATTGTTTTAAGATTTTATCACATTTGATGCATGTGACCTTGAAACTGGATTATCAATGCTGAAACAGTCACTAAAGACCAGTAAAAGTTTATCAAACAGAGCTTTTTTCCTTAACAATTGTTCAAAGTATGTTGCCAATTTGACATTGTGCAGCTTTTTGCTACATGACAAGACAAGGATATGCTTAACAGTTGAGTCCAATTTTCAGATTTAATTCTCACACACCTCACCTTCTCACCCTCACACATCCACTTTCCTACATCCACCCTCATACATCCGCCCTTAGGCCATGTGGTCACATATTTGATTACTTCATTAAAAAAATCTGACTAAATATACAGTTAATTACAATTTAGCCATTTCTTTCAAATCATGAAGCTCTACCTTTTGTTCTGGTGTCTTCATACTCGGTTTCCTTTGAGCAGCTTTCTGTATGGGTATAGCCTCAGTATTTACAAGCTTTGGAGTTGGTGGAGTGAAACCTATGTCAGGGCTGGCTGTAGAACTATCAGTAATATTGTTTGTTGAGTTTGTAAATGTTTTTGAAGCAATTACATCTTCTACAGTATTCTGAAATGAATGAGTTGTTCTGTCAATATCTTCCCCTTTTTCCTGTACTGGACCAGCCATTGTGGAAGTATCCACATTTTTCTGAACTGTAGTATGTTTTGAGGCAACAGGTTGAAAGACTGCAGTGTTGTCCCCAAGCTTCATCCCATGGCTAGCCATCTCTTCCTCCAGCTGAGATGTACAAGTTTCATCAAATCCAACGGTTTCTGCATTTTCAGGAGTCTCAGGATCTAATTCAAAAGGGTAGGGATGTTCTGACCTTGGTATCTGGCTTTGGCTTCGTACTGTGTCAACCAAAATGGAAACCTGGCTTGCCATAAGCCTCACCTTGTTCTGCATCAAATTCTGTAACAATGTTTCAATTAAAGCTATATACAATGTATAAGAGATCCTAGAGGGATCTCAGGGCCCATTATCTTCTGATAGTGATTACTTCTATATAAGTTTAATCTTTTACCTTCTTTTCTCTTCCACATATTTAATTGCTGACTTAATTACCTGATAACAACAAATTACAAGGAAAACCTAAAAAAAAATTTCCAGTGCCTAAAAACATTTCCAATCTGCAAAATTCACTTATAGGATTATTTTCTCAGAACAAATAAAAAACTGAGCATGCAGAGCTGAGGAAAAATGGGAACCTTTAAATGAATGTTACGAAAATCCTTCAAGGACTTAATGAAAAAATAGCATTTTATTAAATATATGTCAAAGTGAACAACAGATATAGAATAAATAAATAGATTAAATCAATATACCAGTGTTGTGTTGTCATGTGAATGCTAATTACAAACCAAAACTTCACCAAAAAATAACAGTAAATAAAATATAACTGGCAAAATCCAAACTGGCCATCCAGTGGCCATTATCTTCTTCTTCTGTTATCAGTCCCAAAAAAACGAGGGACAAAGCTTAACCACCGAATGAAATTTGAGGATGATCCATCCAGGACTTCTCAAGAAATAGTAATAACACTAGAAATATGAAAATCCAAGATGGTCACAAAGCCATTTTGTTTCTAAAGTATCCCCAAACTGAACATTGCCCAACAGGAGTGCAGCAAAACTACCCAAAATCAAGATGGCACTCTGTCAATCTTTGGCTTTTCCAATCAGCCCTTAACTAAACAATTTACAACAAGGGACCGAGGTAAACTTAAGCACGAAATATAAGAGTAAGCCATCTAGTACATCGCAAAAAAAACAATCTATAACTGCCAAAATCCAACATGGCTGCCGGTCAGCCATTTTATTTTCTGATCAGTCTGGAAAGGGCAATTTACAACAAGGGACCTAGAGGAATCTACATATGATTTAAGAATTTGATATTGACACATTTGATCATTTCCAAAGAACAAAATGTAACAAATAGCTGTCAAAATCCAAGATGGACGAAGGAAAACCCAAATATGAAATGTTGAAGTATGAGAATGATCCATTCGAAACTTCTCTCCAGAAATAGTAACTAAAATTGAACAATGGATAAAGGACAATTTGCAGCTAACCATCTGATGATGGTAAGATAAATATACTGTCAAAAACTAAGATAGCTGCCACTCTGTCATTTTGTTTTATTCAATCAGCCATATAAATCAATGCACAACTAGGAACTGAGGGTTACCTTCCATTAAAGTGAAAGATGATCTGATCAGTACTTCTGATGAAGAAGCAATAATAAACTTTTCCTATCAAAATCCAATGCAAATATGAACATTGAACAACTAAAGATCTACCTACACATGAAATTTAAGAAAGACAGTTGAAACAGATCTGGCAGTAAGCTAAAACTTCAGTTCCTAGTGGTTCTATTCCTGTGTGTAGTATGAAGTGATACAAGATTTCATGGAAATGTTAAACAAAGAATATAGAATATATGAAATATATAAAAAATAATGTAATATGTGTAAAATTTGATCAAAAACCCTCAGAAGGAAGTGTTGATTCACAACAGAATGTTATTGGACACAACAGACAGAAAGTGTGAGAGTGGTGCAATATTCCCAAAAGCCCATCAAATATTGAGGTCATAAATCAGAAATATTGTAGGACTGAGACAGAAAAGATGACCTATCTCTGTAAACTTGTTGTTATAGCTATACATTGATGAATAGATTACTTACCTGAAACTCATCAGACCTGGTCTCACTGACTTGGTCCTCAATTTTACTAACCACTTGACCAGCTGCAGATCTAACAGAGGAATTTTTCCACGCCTGCTGCCACTTTGACTGCTGAGTGGCAGTCATTGCCTGGCCTATCTTTTCCATCCCTCGCAAGAACCCAACAAAGTCTCGCGACATGATGACTGGTCTTCACCTGTAATTGATCAAACTATGTCATAACATTTCTGGGCCATTGAAAAAGGAAGTTTTACTTATCATACTGCCGGTGTCTATTTAACAAGTTTTACATCTGCTATTACAATCGTTTGGTAGATGAGAAAAGATTGGTAGATTTGTTTGCTGGGTTATGCTTAATCGCCCTGTGAACAGCCAGGATCATTCTGATATGAAATCTCCTTGTTAGAGATGACAGTTACTTCAATGAAAACATATGGGAGTCATACCACACGCAATCCAGAACAATTGGAATGAAGTGTCTTGCCAAAGGACACTCCTACTACAGCTCAGATTTAGACTGGTCCATTTTTAAGCTTCCTGAGAAATCAACCACCATGCATTGAAAACATCAAACCACACACACCTTTGTTCTTCACAAGAGGTTGTGCAGACAAATGTTCCACCAACTGAACTATTGCAGCCCCTGAGAGGAGATAAGAAAGAGTTATCCCAGAAAGGATACCAAACTTACAGTTTTCCATAAAAAGCAGGAAAATAAGATTTTTATGAATTAAAAGAAAAATTCCAAGAAAAACTCCAATCTGAAGTTAGCATTTGTAGTTTAGTAAATGGAAACTTTAAAAACAACACAACTGAAAGTAACAAGGAAAATAGGTATTATCATATTTTCCAGCCAATTAACTGCACCTGAGTATTAGCCGCAGGGCTGGTTTTTAGCAATTTTTTCGATCTTATCCACATACAATACACAATGGAATATAAACCACACCTTTCTTATGATGTGATAACAATTATGTTGACCAAAGTTTGTTGATATAACAGACAAGGGAAGTCAATTTATCAAGATCATCAGTGAAACATTTAACATCAGTTTGCAAATGAATTATACACAGATAATCCTTTATTTTGAATGTAAAATAGCAATTATCGAACTCCTTTGGCTTGGGAGCCTTTAAAGATTTCTATGCACAGAAATAGGGCCTGACGTTACGTATAGTTTACTTAACAATATCTCAATCAGTGTCTGTAATTTTAACTATTAACATAGGCCCTTGCTGACAAAATTCTTATGGTCCCATATTATTTCTTGTAAATTACATGAAGCTGTTCTTATCGTAAACAAGCATGGCAGTCTTTCTAGAATTTTACCCAATGACCTATTGATCCCAGGATGCAACAGGCTATTGTACACTTCCATAATGACTTCTGAAGTAACCACAAAAGTTCAGAAGATATTATTGTGATTCCTATTAAAAGGCATGATTAATTAAACCCATGAGAATGTTATTTTCATTTCAAACTTAAAATCATCCTGTAAACAATTACAAATGACAGTTCTAGACAAACTGTTTCAGTCACAAACACATGATGGACAGGTACTCGTAAAAACTTGGTACCGACATCTCGTACTGGTATACTGGTATCCTTGGTTTAAATCACTATTTTTAATTCTTTCTGGAAGCCTGACATGTTACAGCAACCCAAAACTATCAGGTGTGAGGTCACAAAGGTCAATTGTTTGTTGTTAAAGAAAGAATCAGAAATATATCTTTTACTTCAAATATACAATGCTCCTTGTAATCATTATTCATACTAAATTTACCAGGATGTTGTCTGTTAATATTTGTTAAACAGGTCATGTAACAAATAAACACGTATCTAACTTATGTATAAGTAAATTTATTTAGTTTCAAAATTTTATGTATTCTTAATTAGTGTTATAACTGAATCAAGTTCTTGGTTAATTATATTCTTTTATTTATTTTTCTATAATATGTATTGTTGTTGACTTTGATATACTTGATTAAAGGGTAATACTTTATCTTATATTACATGTGTATAACAATGGAATAGACAGTACAGTCCTAACAGTGGGATAGAGAAGGTGTGTGTATATGTATTTGAGTAAATGATTTACTGAAATTCAAGTGAATTTCAATGTATGCACAATGAATGTTTGTTATTGCCATCTCTAACATTACAGTGCCTTATAAGATTCTTGTATGTGTTGTATATGTATGTTAGATAGTAAATTTCCAATGTTATGTATATCTGTACCTGATTGAATGTTAGAATTTGTTTATGATTTATCATTTGGGAGGGTCGTGTGGAAGATTAGTATGCTTGTACTAAACATGTTACCCTTTGAAAATCAAGAATTATTATCAATAGTTCATGTAATACAGCTGGACAAAATGGCTGTTCCGAAATACAGACTGGAACCAATGTATATTTTCATGAACAGAAAGTCTGAAGATATGTTCAAACCAGTCTGTATCGTTGAGACATTGGTTCCAGACCATTATGTATTTCAGAACAATTTGTCCAACCATATTACTTGAACAATTCACCTGCTTGACCTCACATCTGGATAATATTGGTTGCTATAACATGTTAGGCTTCCAGAAAGAATGAAAATATGTGTTAAAAACATCCACCATCATTTTTTTGCGAATTTATATTTTTCAGCAATAATTTTTCTTAATTCACATTTTTACATGCCAAACATCATCCCTTATATAATAAAATAACCAATCAATCCATCCTCGAATGCCAGTGTCTTGTAATTGTCCGTCCTGTGAATGAAAATTAATCAGGAATAATAGGCCATGCCATCCTCCAATTTTTTTGGTTACAAAAGTCCAAACAAGGATATTTTATATTGAAAAAGTAGTGATTTTTTAAGTTATCACTTTTGATGACTCATTCCAATTTGAATTAACTAGTGAATTGTTAAGTGACCAATGAAAAATCAACTTCATTTAAATAGTTTGTGTTATTAAAAAGAAGTTGGCAAAGAAATATGGCTCAAATAAAAAAAATTGATTTAACCTTTTACAAAAGGTGCACACATCATTATCTTATTTTTCCCCTTGTCATCTGAATGTCATTCCCGTTCAAATGGTGATTTTAGGTAATACATTTGTACTTCTCTGTCATTGGTAAGTTATCTTTAGTATCTCTGTGATTTAGTGATGTCATCAGAAACGGAATTGCAGCAACATGTCCGATAAACATGTCGATCATTTCATGTGAGCAAAATTGAGGTCGGATCTGTGGATATATATTTTCTTTTAGAAAAATACTGGTGTTTCACTGATCAGTTTTTAAATAAATCATAGATTATGAACACGTTTCATTTCATTTATGTATTTGTTTGGTGGCAATTTGTTGACATAGCGTAGCTAGCGAAAAAAAAATATTCCTAAGTTTTTAAGTTATCTTAAATTATTCCAAAGCTAATGCGCCAGTAATATTAATTACAACTTACCGTTATTATTTTTTTCTGTTGCGTACAATGATATAGTCTCTTTCAAATGCAAAATCGCTTCGATAACACGTTTCTCGCCATGTGCTGGTTAGGTAAGAATGTTTTTACAAACGACCTTGATAAACTCCTCCTAATACAAGGCGACTATAGGGCTACAATGATTACGATTGGATCCCCCAGTGTTTGTGAACGTAAAGAAAACCGGAAGTCTCATATGGGTTTGAGACAAATTTGCGTATTTTCATATTATTAGGTCTACTTTCATTTTAGCTAGGGTTACACAGACATAAAGAATCACTTCGATTTGGTATTATTACCAACCTATTAATTTGCGCTGTATGTCAGATGGAAGTGAAAATCATATGTGCATCGATATAGTTAATAATCAAATACGAAAAAATCGAAAATATTTATAATAAATGGAAATCGGTAGACTTACACAAGTCCGTCAAATAGACCCTAATGGTAGGTAACATGGCTCTAAACATATTGGTGCTTCTGGTCTGCTGTGGAACACTTTTATTTAATTTTGATGATTTGAACACTTAATTATTTCAATAAATTTGCGGTGAACTAACAGGTTGTTTAAATTAGACTCAAGAGAAACTGTCTGGCAATGCTAACGAATAGCATAATGACAATGGGCCTTGGAATTCTACAAAAAGTTAAGAAATGCAAAAAAATTGTAAATTTGTAATTTCAAATAAAGCTGCAACTGAATTACTCTTAAGGGATGCAGAAAACAGATTTGAATTGTGAATTTATTGCAAAAATTAAATATAGTATTATATTTTCCATATATATAGTGCAGCAAACTTAGATTTGTTGGCTAATTGCTCATATGTCTATACACTAATATGAAGTCTGTTAATGGTAGCCAGGCTAGTAGACTTGTCTCCTAAGCTGGACTCCCGTTGTAGCTGGGATTTGGTACCAGTTCTTTGAGTGTGAGAGTGTGCACAAACAAGTATGATAGTCACCTGTTTTTGTTCCATATCAAAAGGAGTGTGTTGATATACCATCTGGGTAATGTTTCGCCTGGATACATTTTGACCAAGTGATAAAAAAGTATAAAAGAGAGAGACTGAAGGACAGATCCACAAAAGAGTGAGACCCAATACGGAGTTTGAGATGTGGCTACATGTACTCTGGAATTGTACTGGATTATTTCATGTTGATGTACTTGAATACAGTTCTGGGACAGTGTAATCAGTGTTTTTGTTTTAACTCACCCAGGATTCAGGGTGTTCACAGCCCACAATTATCTTCTTAATAATTTGGGTATTGTAGCGTGTCCCGAGGGACTATGTGACTAATATAAATCCTAAGCTTCATCGCAGTTCACACCGAAATCAAAAATAAAAAACAATCAACAATATGTATATCTTATTGGAAAGTTAATTCATTATTTCAAATATCTATAATTTCAATCCATGCAGGTAAAATCATGTGTGAAATAAGTTCATGTACTTATAAAAGGTAATACAATCAGGTTTCAAATATACTGTCTGTGTATTGCCATGTGCATATGGTGTTGCTATACAAAGGTCAAATAAGTCCATATACAACATACATATGTAACCCTGGTAAAATACTAGCCGCAATATACCACTCAGCTAGAGAGAACGTCTCTTTAGCTTGATTGGTTGTGCGTCAGACTAGTAAGCCAGGGGTCCTGGGTTCGATTCCTAGTGCAGGCATTGAGATGAAAATGACCTCTGTTACACATACATGTAGTGTCAATTATGTCACATGTTGATAAGTTAACAAGTTAATTTCATTAATTTATGGAATCTACTTGATTCTGCTAGTGTCTTTGAATTCTGGGAACTGATCCTATGGAGTAATGTTTTTTATGATATTTATAATTAAAAGGTTATGTCAATTAAGTAATCCCCAGGAAACTATTATCATGTACATGTACGAGTGATGAATTTCCAGTTAATGTTGAATAATTAACTCTAAACCCAGGAATATTGATCCAATTATAAACCAATCATATCTTGTTTTGATTAGACCATTCTGAGGTCAAATCACAATGATCTTTACTGCTTTACTTTAGTGGAATAACTTTTTTAAACTGTCATACATAATGTAATATATACTCCATGTTTACCATGAACTTTCTTAAATAATACTCCTGGAATGTGCTTAGATAATTGAGCCATTCAACTAATGATACATGCTGTGATCTTCTAGTTTGGTATATATGCATCTCAGATTCACAAGAAATAAGACTGTTTTACTACCATTATTCCTGGTTAATAAGTTTGTACATACTAACATTTGATGTGGCTGAGCAAAATACCAATATTAATTCTGATTGGAAAATATTTCTTCAAAATATTGCTTGGTATTCTAAGGGCTGGCCAGACAATGTAAATTTTGTCAATGCTATTTTACTAGTACTATGCTTTATTCCCATATGCCATTAATGCTACAGTAAATACTAATGCTACATGTATATAAACTAACATGTATAGCATGGAACTAATTCTATACTAGTGCTTTACTAAATATTACACAATATCATACAGGTGTTGCATGGAGATGTACTTTGACCTTCCCATCCTATCTTAGCAATTGGCTGTATACAATATCTGACATTTACATTCAAAGACCTGTCGCATTATGAGGCAAGCCTTTTTCAAACACTTTAATTGTCCATTTCTATGTTATACAATCTTCTATATTTCAATTTTGATTTAAACTGATTCTACCTCCAACATCCAAACTGACCTACTAACTACTGACAACTGGCACTTTATAATACACTGTGGGTATTAAGGAAAGGTTAGCAATTCTGTTGCTATTCTAATCAAATCCTCCCTCAAAATTTCAAGTCTCTCGCTCAATATATTATTACTATACACCTCAAAACAGAGCAGTGTTCGATGTACTGAGTCTATACATCTACTTCTTGCATAATCCATTTTCAATTCCGTACAAAATGACATATTGTTTGCATTGGTATAGAATTCAAATAGTTAAATTCCTTTTCTCCGGTGGGTAGGTTTGTAAATTGTTTGTGAACAGAACATATCTCACTTTCTTTGCGAAGAATAGAAGTCCTGTTTATTACACAATATTAACCAGTAAGATGATAAATATACATGTATAGGCTTTGTATGTGACTTGTAATCTTATTCTCTGGTTAAATGATCAAAGCTTGTTGGTTATGTACTCTGTACATGTTTATATGTAAGTTTCAGCCTGATGCTTAAAAGGGTTGATACAATGTAGCTTAATTAAGGCTGGAAAATATAGTAACAAAAATAGTGGATTATTGTCTTTGAGGTGAAGGTCACTGTGACCAAGCATCCATTCACTTCACTAATTGTCCAGCTAAAACATTTGTTCTTATCTGACCTTTAAAATTTGACCTTGAAAATACAGTGACCTAACTTCTAATACAACACAGTCTTTGGGTGATCCAGCTACCATGTTTTCATATATTTTTTTAATTATTCATAAATGTTATTACAACACTTTTACAAGATTGGTATACAGAGATATAGCAATTCAATTAGATATACAGTAAAAGTGATGCATGCACATGCATGAATATACAGAGGGATTTAAGAAAGTATTGTAGAGATGTACCCCAGTACTAAAGAAGTCTTAAGCTTTGACATTTACAAAATTAAGGTAACTAAAACATTTCTGGAAACACAATATGTATCTGCACTTCTTTAACCTTTAGGTTATGGTCACCCTGATCTAAATTTAGTGCACTGTTGTCACCCGTGAAACAGTTGAATTCAGAAGTTTTTGATCAAAATATCTTTGACAGTTTAAAACCAGAAGGATCTTGGCGCCCACCATTGTTTGATCTTTGTATGCTCTTTGAAAATTGGATTTCTTCCCTTCTTTTCTCTTCTCTTCTCTGTTTTGCTTTTAATGAACATTCCTTTACCTGACAAAGCCAAAAATGGCCGCCTGGAAGTCGTTTTGTTTCTTCTGATCAGTCCTACAATCAAACGAGTATAAGGAGAGACCAAAGGGAACATACATATGAAATTTGAGATATATCCATTCAGTACTTCTTAAGAAATAGCAATAACACTTTTCATGAGGCAAAATCTAAGATGGCTGCCTGTCAGCCATTTTAATTTTCTGGTCAGTCCCAAACTCAAACAGGCAAAAGTAGGGACCTAAAGGAACCTTTACATGAAATTTGAGAAAGATCTATAAAGTGGTTCTCTAGAAATAGCGATAACAATCTCGCAAAGTCAAAAGATGGCCGCTTGTGGACCATTTAGTTTTTTTGTGATCAGTACCAAACTCAAACAGGCACAACTGCGGATCAAGAAAAGCATACACATGAAATTCGAGAAAGATCTATGCTGTAGCTCTCGAGAAATAGCGATAAACAAATCTTTCAAAGTCAAAATCCAAGATATCCACCTTTCGGCCATTTTGCTTTTAGGATCAGTCCTATAATTATATGTGCACAACTAGGGACCAAGGGGAACCTACATATGAAATTTAAGAAAGATCCATCCAGTACTTCTCAAGAAATAGCGATAACAATATTTCATAGTCAAAATCCAAGATGGCAGACTTTCGGCCATTTTTTCTGATCAGTCCCAAAATTACATGGACACAACTAGGGACCAAGGGAACCTACATAATCAATTTGAGAAAGATCCGTCTTGTACATCTCAAGAAATAGCGATTACAAAAAATGGTTACGGACGGACTTACGACGAACCACGGACGCAGAGCGATTTGAATATCAGATGGTGGGTTAAAAATGCCTTTGAAGAGTGATATTAGAATAAAAACATTGATAAAAAAAATAGCCTATTGGTAAACTTGTTCTTGCTAGAGGCTCAGAAAGTCTACATCATTCACCTTTATCCATTGATATGTTAACATATACAATTCATATATCACTGTTATTCAAAGCCATCAAAATCATATTAATTCAAATCATACATCTTCAGAGAGTATACCAAAGACTGAGCATAATTCACCATCGATAATCAGGTTACACCGACAACTAATTTATTATTGTCTAGAAATATATTGACCTCTGTGACCTTAGGCAGGTCAAATTGCTAAACTACGCTACAGCTTGCAAAGAAGACATTGTCGGTTCATAAAACATTTTGCAAACTTGAAATCCTGTTCTGTATACTTGCAACAACACAAATACCCGACCTATTGCTTATTGACAGAAGAAATTCTAAGATCTCAACACATTTGACCCACAAACCTGAAAGTAGGTCAATGTCAATCATTTGAATAAATTCGATAACCCTTCTTATAATTATATTAAAGAACCAATATCAACAGCCATGACTTTTTGTTTATTGCGAAGAAGTTGTTTTGTAGATTTTAACACATTTGAACCCTGCAACCTTGAAAGAAATTCAATGTCATTTCTTTTTAAAAAATTGAGTAGCCCTTCTTCCCAGAATGCTACAGGCCTAATATACGATTCCAGTGCCTTCCGGTTATTCAGAAAATTGTTTTAATTTAAAGTTTTCGAATTTCTGCATTAGTATCTCATTAAAGCACACAACATGTGCAAAAGGGAGCATTGTTAGCTTAAGCTGCTGCCAAAGAACCCATGAAGTCCACAGGAGCCTGCATAATTTTCTTCAGAACATAAATAATGGTTAGCAGGCTTTATCTAATTTTCCTTGACAAGTTATAGGAAATACCTTTCTGTTGCCATATCAAAGTCTTGGATAAGACGAAAAAAGCAATAACAGTGAACATCAAAGAAGACATCTTGAAACAAGAGTCATCTCATTACTGATATTTCATTGTTTGAAAAAGAGACACTATGTTTTCGTCATTTGCCTCGGAATTGCTTCTACTCGCTGGTGTAACTGCATGTACTTACAGCTTATCCTTCACCCAAGGTATACGTACGTGAAAAAGCAACATGCACGAAAGCTTATCGATAGAGCCAACGCTGATATCTGAGCGAGGTTCGAAGTGAACCTGATCCTCTTCGCTTGAGAAATAGGGACAAACTACGTAGGATATCAATAGCAACATGTTCAGAGTAAGTTGGTTCTTGTTTTATTCATATCGTCGACCAGTTTCGCCCAGAACTTCACCAGGACATTGCAATTAAAAAAAATCTCTTGGAGTACATAAAATGTGGGCAAGATTACTTCTGACGTTGTAATTGAATTCACGTGTGTGACCTTCCATGACCTTGTGTAGATTTCATAACGGTAACTAGTAAATGAAAATATATAGTTTTATTTCGGTAAAAAAAATGCGAATCATAGGATGCTGGTCTTCGAATGGTTGGGATTGCTGTTCCGGTAATGCATATATAGGAACGCATTCGTGGGCTTGTTGTACAACTTGTTGTCCAAGCTCTAGTCCGGTCCGTCAAATAGTGATATCATGAAATTAATCTTAGTATCGCTGATATCTATGGTGAATTTAATTGTTGGATGATAAGAGTTCATGGCTTCACTAAAAGAAGTCAGTTCCTCTCTTCTTTGTGTCCATATCAAAGAAAATATCATCTAAATACCTCCACCTGACCAAATGTACTACTACCCGTGTTGATAAGAATCTGGTCGTTGTATAATACATAAAGGTTATCGCCATCTTGGTGTCTTAGAAACCGAAACTAATTGTTGCTTAATATAAGCGCGACCACGATGATCCACGCGATAGGTACGACTTGTTCATTAATATAAGCGCGATCACGATGATCCACGCGATAGGTACGACTTGTTCATTAATATAAGCGCGATCACGATGATCCACGCGATAGGTACGACTTGTTGCTTAATATAAGCGCGATCACGATGATCCACGCGATAGGTACGACTTGTTCATTAATATAAGCGCGACCACGATGATCCACGCGATAGGTGCGACTTATTCATTAATATAAGCGCGATCACTATGATCCACGTGATAAGTACTTGTTGATTTCTCTTTCTTTTCTGTTGATGCCTCCTTCCTCTTTCATTTTAATTCTTGATTGTTGTGTTTCTCCTTATTGTTACTTGCTGAACAAAAAATTATCGGTTTCCTTTTTGATTCGATTATTGAAAATGGTCCTAGATGGACTCAGTTGTTTCTTCAGCGGATTCATTAGAGATGCATTAGAAAATTGATATTGACACTGACATCTTGGTGACTATGCACTTGTGTTTCATTTAGATCGTTCTGTTATATAATGCCATGGAGTGGTTTTAGTATTCTGGTTAGTGGACAGTACGCTTTCGTAAAGTTGATTGATTTTTTAATCAGTTGTTGGTTTGTGTGGGGACGTATGATATTTATATCACTCTGCGCTATACGCCCCTGGTTTGTGTTCGACATGATTTCTAGAGACTAATTGGATAACGAAAATATAATATTTATAGACACTAGATTCGGCGTCCAATTATGAAAATACAGACTGATTTAGATAGCCTCCGCATGTGATATCAGATCCCCACAAACAGTACTTCATTTGTCTACACCAAAGGAAATAATTTAATAACCGATATTGTCAAGAGTCATGTTTTTTATGTGTATGTAGCACTTTAAATATAACCTACAGAAGTAAGTGTCAATGATATATATATCTTAAGAAGCTAAACAAATCTCGCATATCGAACGCACGATGTTTCCTGGTATATATTTGGATCAACGTTTTACGTCGCAGACGTGGGAGCGTTGCCGCGCAGTCAAGGGTGTGCATTTCAAATAAATATCTGGGACTTTTTCGGCCGTTTATTTTATTATAAGATGTATTTTAAAGCTAGATATAGCAAAGCGGTCAGGGTATACTTTAAAGAGACTAAGCATTTGTCATTATTTGACTTTTGGCATTGTGGCAACGATCATGTCTGTTTCACTACTTATGCCGCAAGATATAGATATATTAAGTATTCTCGATTCTCAAGTTTGTAAACTTTTGACAGTTTGCTTGAGTTTTGTACTAATCATAGATATCGTTCAAGTTACATGAAAACTGAAACAAATATGACACATCATTTTATCCGAAGGATGGCAAATTTTTATTATTCATCTATGTTTAAAAATGTTTACGTTATGGAAAGTTGATTACAGTAACTGATGTTAATTCTATTATGAAGATTGGAGCACAAAACTAATCATCCTGTAAAAGTAAAACCAAAATAAAACTTGAAAAAGTCGTTTTATATTGTCACAAAATTCCAAGCCTACCACATACCTAACTAACCTATCACATTTAACATGCCAACTTTGACTCGCTGACAAGGGACTTGAGAATGTCCAGTCCACCGTAGTTTTTATTTAAAGTTATGTCAATTTACACGTGTTTCTAGAACATTCACTTAAGTGAAAATAAGCAACAGTTGGGTGTGCAGTGAAAAAAAAACAAAAACAAAAACAAAAAAAGAAATAAAAATAAAAAAATTTCACAAAAGCGAAATAAAATTTCCTATTTCAGTTAAGTGAAGAAAAAAAACACAAAATAGAAAGAAAAATCTTTACGTCTAAGGGACATGATTTCGGATATTTATTTATAGTCACATACTGCAGTCGGCATACTGATTGTTTTTTCCATTATGAAATGGATGGTGGATAATTAAACCTAATTTCATTTTGTTTTATTTCACTTAAGTGCAAAAATATTCCTTGATGAGGAAATAAGATTAAATGTCAAAACGGCTCGCCGTAGTCCGTGTGAACCTTAAAGGAATATTGTTTCACTTAATATTGGCGCATTATCAGATGATGTTGTCAGAGCAAACAGTGCATATTTTCAAAATGAAGTTATATAACCACTACAGAATATATATTTCTGTGATAAGCCGGAACGATTAACGCTTCATCGGGTAATTGTTATGATAATCCAGTATTTTACTGCGGTTTTCCAACTCCGATTCCGGATATTTCTTATTTCCGTTTTTATTTTTATATCCACACTACGTGAGGCCAGTTAGACGTTTCGTCGAAATTCGTCGGCCGTGAAAGTATCGGAAAGATCTATTTCTGTATTTTCTCGTGCGATTTTCCACAGCTCTTGATTCGATCGGAAAGGTAAGTAACTTGGTATCGTACGATGCTCTTGTCATTTAATCTGTTGCCAACTTCGCACTTTCATGTGACAGAAAATCTAGAAAGTTGGTTGTCAGCATCGTTCTAGCTCTGAAGCGAAGTTAGTGATACAATTTGTTAAAACTCATTTATGCACAAAACTCTTTATTTTGCACATATTATCTGGACATGTGCTAGAAGTGGGAAATCTCACGCTCGCATGGATAGAATATATCGATCTCGAACTCGTACTTCCTGTGGCCAAGGCTCTTTGCAACTAACCGGTCGTGGTGTGTGCCTACTTTACTGTAGGATTTTTCTATCTTACATGTCTGATTCTCAAGTCTAGCCAATCGAACACATGTCAATATAGTCTTCAAATGAAATCACAATATGTTCACCACATGAGAGATGTCTTAAAGTAATGATGCACACGGCCATACATATAATGATGTGTTTCTCAATGACGTAGTAGTAGTGTTGTACCTGCTGTTTGGCGGAAAACAAAATGGCAGACATTTTATCGTAATTAGGTCACCACTAGGTGTCGCTTTAATTTAGCATCATTGCCAATTTAATTTTCCTTTACATTGTGTGTTAAAGTAATATTGTCTTTGCTAAGGAACAAATATTTTCGGGTAATGTTTCGAAAGCATGAATACACCGATAAAAAGTTATGTGTCGCGTCTGCGTTCGAAATTTTTTTTCCTCTTCTATTATGATACAGATTACATGGAACACTATGCATTATTAAATCTGTGTAGAGCGATGGTAAGAAACTGGAAAATTATTGCTTTTATTATAAGTAAAAAAGAAATAGTTACTTCAGATGGAAATCACCATATGTGGCTATGTTCAGCGAAACATAAAAATAATCATATAAGCATCAACTGTGAGAGTGGCCTTCTACGGTCCAACACTCTCCAATTTATTAACTGAAAATTCTACAATAAATCAAAACAAAGTCCTCATGGCATATCGTGTCTTAATCCTGACTAATATTGCCTATTGTCAGCTTCTATATATTCCTAGGCTGTAAATGTGTAAATGCGAAAAAATAATCAGTTAGATGTTCAGTTACTATCGTAATTATAATCACTATTTCAAAGCGATGGATCAACTGTTTTCCAGGACCGCGAAGACTTGTGTGAGACCTCCACCATTCCACTACATTTTCATCGATGGGTGACTACTAACTTCTAACCTATAAAACATTTGAAGGATTTTCTGATAGTAGTGGAAGTAATGCTGTCCCATGCTGTCGTGACCTATGACAACATTACTGCCTTAGATGGAGCCTTACGATTCCCCCCCCTTTGGTTTTCTCCACAGTACCATTAAAACGCCACTCGTCATATAGCTCTCCAAGCTTGTCTTTAAAAGGTTTGTTCCAGGAAACATCTGCTGGCTGGTGCTTAAATGTGCAACCTTCCAAATAACACAGAGGTGGATGTTGAACTTCTGGCATACCAGCTTTTTAACATCCTTTTTTATTAATTGCCGCAGAATGGGTCCCACATCAGCAATCGCCTGTCAGTGTCAGGGTTTTCCATAAGAGCTGGTCGCCGGCCAATTTGACCGGCTACTTTGATCATTTGGCTGCTTAAACCAATCCAGTTCCGTAATAATGTTCCGTACACGACTACATGTACACGACAGGCCAGCCTCCTACTTTCACTACACAGCCTACTACTAACAAAACTATGGAAAACCCTGCAGTGTTATTAACATCCCAAATTTTCTTCAGACAGTTCTTTATAGTTTCTCTGGATGTCACATATAGATAGAGGACGAGTTCCAGGCAAATTTACTAGTGGGGCCATTTTTTGTGCCCTCAGTATAAGCTGCTAGTGTAACTGTAATTTTTTTTGTCATGCCCTGTATTATAAACACAGACTTCATTGGCACCTTTTAATGCTAATGTTGATTGACCTGGCATGTCAAACCACACAGGTGTTTTGTCTATATTCACGATAAACCTATTGGGATACTATCGGAGCTGCTGCATCCAGATTACAATATATAAGCAAATTGTCAACACGATCATCAGTCAGGGAAACGATAAGTTGTGCGATTTGGGTAGATTGCCTGAATGAAATGTTGTCCTTTTTTTTTAACTTTGTAAAGCACCCATAGGAAGCTTTGCATGACTGGCTTCAGTTTGCCTTAAAGTGTAAAGCTTTCCCGGTCACCAGGATACCACACAGACTTTCGACTTCCTTTATAACTTTAAAGGAATGTCACAATTTTTCTAGTTCATGACATAGTTCTGGTATTTATTGACAGTTCCAATCAGAATGGCTATAGATTGATATTATTGTAATGTTATATAATGACATACAATCGATCAGAGACTGATAGATCATGACCTAGTTACTACATCTCTTGACAGAAGTTGACACAGTCTAATTGTCATTTCATACACAACTACAGGTCACTATGAGTACAAATTACAACAATGTTTATGTTAGTACAATTTTTTACATCAATGCCAAAACATTTGTTAATTTGTTTAACAATGTTTGGCGAATTACACAGACTTATCCAGTGATGCCTTGGTTTTTCTTTGATCTTTTCCTGGTAATAAAATCCCATACCATGTGATCACATATGTGATATCTAAAATATCGCATGGTTCTCTCTGATTGGTCCACACTTCATTAGGGAGGTGGTGCCCATTTCCAAGTGGGCAAGGCAGATAAACAAAGACATAGGAAAGATTTCCAACAAATCTTTAATACATTAAAAAAATCAGAGAGATTTTGTTAAATTGATATTCGTCGTTTTGATGTTAGTTAACACATTCCTGTAAAAATGTTCAACACGTTACTTACGCGAGTGCAGAGATCAGCACATGAACACTGTATTGCCCTACATTGAATAAAAGTTGTGTAACTGATACTGAGCATGGCCTCTGCGTTCCAAAGCATTCCAATAATTTTCCTTGTTCTCTTATGTTTTGAACATTTTGTTCCCACTGTTTCCACATTCCAATGCTCGACTTAATCACTGAGCCTCCAACAGCCTTTTGTAGGCACTGACACCAGTACTACGATGACCGGTCCTTTCCATAATTGACTGCTCATCAAACCCTGGTGCAAATAGATAACAAATCAACATATCATCAAGATCGCTGAAAACACGGGCGTCGATGTTTCTTAAGTCTTTCCATACGTTGTCCAGCTCCACCATCTCTTGACATCTACTAACGAAACGAATTATTACTGTGACAGAAAATGGGATGGGTAAGAAAATAGCGAAAAAATCATTAACTTGACGCTTGTAATGTATCAGATAAATCACACTCGTCCTTCGAACTTGTGTGATATATCCGATACATTGCTCGTGCCCATTATGTATCTATTACATGATGGTATAGACTCTGTTTATAACTTTATAGTTACACCTAACAACCTTCCGAGTCTGAAACTTTGTGTTGTATTAAAAGCTCCTTCCTTGGAGAATTGCAGATGTTTATAAGCATGAATATGGTAGCCCAAAAAAGATTATACTTCATCTTGATTTAATGAAAACATAACACAATTTTTCATGCAGTAAATATTTAATAAAACAGTGATTATTGTTGAAATCAAAGTGTATATCTATCATCAAATCTTGGACAAGTGTGTTTTTACTCGGTGCAAGTGTATTTTGGATTCCACTGGACCGTTGAGCCAGTAGATTTCAAACTATTTTTCTTGCCCTGATAATGAAAGTAACTTTCCATGAACATGGGTGTTCATATGCATGGCAAACTAGAACATTGTAACACACTTTGTCTGCCAGACCCATAGCCAAAGGTTACACATGTAATCTATAGTACAATTGTTAGTTCTCAATACCCATCTACACAGAGTTGAGACGGTGTCAGTATACAGGTGGTAGTTAGAGTGTTGAGATGGTGTGAGCCGTTGTTTTAACTGAATTTCAATCATGTCTGTGAGTGAGAGAGATTTAGAGCCTATACTGTGCAGGTGTTTGAGTACCACAGCACTTGGCACATGCACGGTATGCTAACAATGGTGATTGCTTTAAGGAACTTTCAATCAATTTCAATGATGTTTCATTCAACAAAATTTTGGAATTATATTCAAAAGGATTGGAAGTAACATGTATTGTATGATGCCAAATTAAGACTCATCAAATCTATCTTGTTTTTCAGGAAAAGCAGGATTTTGTCAAAATTTGGTCTAAAGCATACTCAGATGAAGGGAAATCTTTTTTTGTTTGGTCTCACCCCCTGGGACCAGTCTTGAGCAGTTGGATGCAATAGGGGAAATAGAACAAATTCTATTAAATCCTACTTATCCCTACGAGTGATTGGATTTCACTTAAACTTGGTCTGAAGCATTTAGGTGAAAGGAAAGTGGTTTTGTATAAATTTCAATTTGGTTTTCAGTCCACTGGGTTGGACAGAATGGGACCCAATAGGGGAAATGGAGCAAATTCTTTGAAATTCTTCCACTGCTATAGTAATATTAGATTTTGTCCAAATTTGGTCTGAGGCATTCTTTAGTTAAGGGGAATCAGTTTGTATAATGGTTGTTTTCTGTCCCTTCAGGCAGGAGGGGCGTAGTACAGTAGGAGAAATAGGGGAAATTCTTTCAAGTAATTTTGATACGTCGAAAGACGGGACTTATTATGTTTTCACGCGTGCAGGCGGCCACACATAGGTTTCCGATAACTTGAATAATTTTTTACAGATTACTTTGAAACTTCACATGAAGGTTTATTACCATAAAAGCCAGGTCAAGTTGATAACCAAAAATGTTTGCACAATTTTCACACAATATTTACAGAGTTATGGCCCTTGGTATGTTTGCAAAATAGGTTTCCGATCAATAATTCGTGAAATATTTTTACAGATTAATTGGAAACTTCACATGAAGGTTTATTACCATAAAAGCCAGGTCAAGTTTGACAACCAAAATTTTTCGCCCATTGTTTACAGAGTTATGGCCCTTGGTACATTTGCAAAATAGGTTCCCCTCAATTACTTGAGTAATTTTTCATTTATTAATTTGAAATTTTGTATGAAGGTTTATTACAAAAATAGATGGGCGTATATTGTTCCGTCCTGCATTACTCTTGTTCTTCTATACTTTAGGAATGGCTGTTAGTTGTCTCAATTTGGGTTGAGACATATGCTTGGGTGAAGGGGATCAATTTTGTGATGACAACAGTGGGCTCAGGAGCAAATGGCAGACTCTCATATATCCTGTAAAATTTCAGACATTTTTTCACCTCTCATGTTGGGAAGAGAAATACTTTCGTGGAAAAAATATTTGCTTTTCAGGCATGCAGAGATCTAGTTGCTTAATGTTTGTATAGGCCCACTGGCTGGTGAATAAAGGACACATTGGGCTGGATAATAGTTTAATTGCCCCTTCTTATGATAGACTGTTTCGTAGGTAGTTAATTATATTTACACAAGTCATTTTCTCTTCCTAGGTAATGGAAACATGTGAAGTTTGAAAGGGAAGTGTTGCAAGTGAAAGAGACTCGATAAAGCTAAAAATGGAAGTAGTCGACAAAGATGTCTCTAACTTGGAACACAAAACTGCCAATGCATTGAAAAATGCACCACAGCAGCTTGGTATCACCACTGCTTTGACAGAAATCCAGTCTGAGGCTGCAGACTTAACACGGTCACTGGAAACTGACACAATTGAGACACAAATGGAAATAACTGAGAAGAGTATTTCATATGACAACCAGGCCCAAGTAGACTTAAGTGACATAATTGAATTACAACTTAATGAAGATTTCAGTACTAGTCCTGACACATTCAAGGATACCGATGAAAATGATGACCATGGTGAATTTAAGTCAAAACAAAAAGTTATTGAGGATGAAACAAATGCAGACATTCACTCCATAAGGAATGAAACTGGAGGTGATTGTGATGTTACATGTAGGTCTGTGGACTCTGATTATAATGACAAAGCCAAAAAGAATGATGATCCAGAGATAGAATCTATTAATGAAAAAAAGGCTAATGATGTCGGTATCAACACTGGAAGTATAACTGATAGTGCTTCTGAGGATGAAAATACTTTAAAATCTGCCTATGAGGCAAAAGGTGATGATAATTGTAACACTAACAATTTTGCAGAGAATAGTGAAGAAAATGGAATATTTATCAATGATGGTGACATTGTGACAGCAATTGATGTGTATGGTCGAGGAAAACGCACAAAACATGAAAGAAATTCCAAGGAAAATATATCTGATAATGAAGTGATGGAGGAGGAAAATTTGTTATCACTTCGTAGCCGGCGAAGTGAACAAAACCATGCCAAACATTCATGCTCAAGGAGCCCAAATAGAAGACATTCAAGTCCAGGTAATTGTCATAGTATCACAAGCAGTAAATTGCAAGTTTAATACTTCACATTTGTTGATGTAAAAATTCAGTGTTATTTTTAATTGCTATGTGTTAAAATGTGCTTTCATTTACTACATGGCAAACCTGCATACTACCTGAAGGGCCAAGTGAACTTATGCCATGGTGCAGTGTTTGTCGTCGGGCATCAACTTTTTCCATTGAACAAATTCTTCCCAATAATCAATGAACCAAACGTTTTGATATTTAGCTGGTATGCTCCTAGGATGAAACCTGAGGAAGTTTGCGAAAAAAAATGACCTTGAATGATGCAAGATCAAATTTACCTTTAAATGACTTCTTTTCATAACTAAAAAGCCTATATACATGATATTTGGCTGATATGTTCCTGGGATGAAAACTGACAAAGTTTGCAAAAACAAATGACCTTGACCAAGGTCATAGGGGTTAAATTTGTTAAAACAACTTCTTTTCATGAATTAAAAGGCCTAGAGGCATGATATTTGGCTGGTACAGTGAAACCTGTCTAATCCGACATCATGGGGGAGTGACATTTTTGGTCAGATTACACAGGGTGTTGGAAAGTCAGGTATTGTTGTCGACTTCACTTTGTACACAAAAATATATGCTACCACCGGTAGATACGTTAAGCATACAACTAATGTGCATACAAATACACTCTGGTGTTAAAAATAAAACAGAACAATGAAGTATTAATTTACTGACGTTTTAAGTTTGTTTTAATCATTTTAATACAATGTACATGTATGTTCTACATCTTTATACTGTACAGTGGTGACTACGATCGCATGGGGTATCTTTATGAACTTACCCCTATTTTAGAAATGTGTCCATTGTCACTTGTTTCCATGTGGATCTATTTTGCTAGTGCAAACTCTCGCATTGATGACAACATCGTCAGAATATCAGTCCGCCAGATCATTTGATTCCGACACGGAAAATTTTGTTATAGATACATATATGTGTAAAAAAAAACCTGACATATACTCACTATGGCAGGGTAAACTTACATGTGTACAGTACAATAATCCCCCCTTTGTTACCCCACCGCATGTACAGACTATCGCCACATCAAGCGGAACGGTTGTGTACACATCTGTGGTGCGATGATGACTTACGTGTTGGATTTACCAGGTATAATTAACTAACAAAGATAGCCTGTCGTCATAGAAATGTGTGTCGGAATTCAGAACTGACAGTGACCGGAAATATCAGTGTTTTAATACATTGACAAATAATGCAATTTCATGGGAATACGGTCTGTGTCGGATTTGACAGGATGTCAAAAAAGTCAGGTGTCGGATTAGACAGGTTTCACTGTATATATATATATATGTACCAGGCCTTTTATAATAAGTGTGTTGAAATTTTGTTTGTTACATGAATGACCATGATTCACATTCAAGGTCATAGAGGACAAATGTGTCAAAATATCTTCAATTCCAAATTTCATGATTTTTGTTCCATGCTGTATGTGAATTGATATAGTTTAGTGTTAATCTACTCTTAGTGTTTCTTAGAATATTACATTGAAATAAGATTAACAAATTGCAGTTTCTGCATATAATTGATACTGCATTTCAAAACACTGAATTTCTATAAACAACACTTAATATATCAATTTCCCACTCTTTCACATTTGAGAACATCAAACTTATCTATTGACATTCACTATCCAAATCTTAGATGCAGGTATTTAAATTCATAAATATATCATTCATATTTTTTATCATGATTTCATTTTTCATTTTAGGAAAAAAAACAAAATCAAGAAAGATGCCATCACGTAACTATGATGAGGAAAAAGTGATTTTACCATTGAAAAAAGGTATTATATATGTACTGATGATAAAAATATTGTGCATGAACCATTTTAAGTTCCATTTTTGTTGTAAAATACATCAGGTTATCCTTCTGTTTGTTCACCCATTGTCCATTTTTATCCATCTTTGTTTGGGTGGTTACACAACAAATCTGTGCACCTACATCTATATTTTTTTATCTGTGTCAATTTTTCGCCTTTTAACATCAGAAAGTGGGTTGTTCAACAACCCTCTGTGACCCACCTGTGGCCCCCCTTATTAATCCTTAACCTATCTCTTAGTGCTATATCTTGAGAAGAAGTAAATGTATAGGATATTAGTGCTGTTTCTTGAGAAGTACATATATAGGATGTTAGTGCTATTTCTTGAGAAGTACATATATAGGATGTTAGTACTGTTTCTTGAGAAGTACATATATAGGATGTTAGTGCTATTTCTTGAGAAGTACATATATAGGATGTTAGTACTGTTTCTTGAGAAGTACATATATAGGATGTTAGTGCTGTTTCTTGAGAAGTACATATATAGGATGTTAGTGCTGTTTCTTGAGAAGTACATATATAGGATGTTAGTGCTGTTTCTTGAGAAGTACATATATAGGATGTTAGTGCTGTTTCTTGAGAAGTACATATATAGGATGTTAGTGCTGTTTCTTGAGAAGTACATATATAGGATGTTAGTGCTGTTTCTTGAGAAGTACATATATAGGATGTTAGTGCTGTTTCTTGAGAAGTACATATATAGGATGTTAGTGCTGTTTCTTGAGAAGTACATATATAAGATGTTAGTGCTGTTTCTTGAGAAGTACATATATAGGATGTTAGTGCTGTTTCTTGAGAAATTATTGTTCAGGGGTGGAGGAGAGAATTGGTGATTGGTAAATACTCATTTGTTAATTGTCCAGGAATTGAGGAAGGAATTGGTGATTAGTAAATACTAATCTTTGTTGTCCAAGGACGGGATAGAGATAAGAATTGGTGATAAGTAAATACTCTTTTTTTTTTGTCAAGGATGGAGAAGAGAATTGGTGATCAGAAATGTCTTTGAGAAGTTTACAACAGTAGGGGGACTCAAACAAACACCAATGGATGTCTATTACCACCCACCTAAAGGAAGAAAACTTGTAAGTATTGAGATTTGGAGTAGTTTCAGACAGATTTGTAGCAATTATTTGTAGATCTATTTTTTCAGAAAAATGGAAACTTGGTACATAAAGTGAGGGGGTAATGTTACTATAGTTTATATAGACAAAAATACATTTTTGAGCATAATTTGTATATTTTCAATTGGAAATAGATCAGACTTGTTTAAATTGTTAGTAAAGGAAGACAATTTGTTGTCATGCACACATTGACCCTGGGTGACCCCTAGGGACTAATGAGCAGGAAAAAGTGTCAAATTGACTGAAAGTTCAAAAATCTTCTTCTCAGTGCTGAAAGATGATGGAATCAAATACTGTTCACGGATTGATTGGTCTAATGGTCCTTTACTAAAATCATAAATTTCATGACTGAAGGGTCTCGCATTTTCCCCATAGAGATAAAACTTGGTTAGAACTGTTAGTATAAGATGACCGTGTTATGTTATGCAAAATTGACCATGACTGACCACAGGGGCTGATAGGCATGGCCAAAAAGGATCATACTAAATGAAATTTTAAAAATCCTCGTCTCAAAACCCAAATATGGTAGAATCAGATCACTGGTGACATGTTTATGAAAACCATCAAAAAGAGATCTTCTCAATGACCTAAAGGCTTGTGAGAAAATCTTGAAATGACTTCTCAGGAAGATGTCTCGAATATTTTACCTGTTTATTGCAGCACTCTGTGTTAGATGTAGGTTTATTTCGATCCCCATGCCTACCTGCATGATCTATTATAAGGCAAAGTCCTCGAACTGCCAACAAATACTGCGTGATAAAAACAAGTTCAAATCGAATGATGGTGTGATGGTATGCCCATTTTGGTGCTGACTGACTCCCAGGGGCTGATGGGTAGGAACAAAAGGGGTGAAATTGAATTCAATAATCTTCTTCTCAACACCCAGATATGGTAGAATCAAATGCTCTTCATTAATATTAGGTGCTTTGATTATCAAAATGAGTCTCACATTTTTTCCTGGGGAGGAATAATAATTTTAGACTTTATTGTAATTTTCATAGAAGAATTGCCTTTTTGAACATAACCTTGTTATTTCCCACAGGAAATAACTTTACAAGAATAATCAGTACAGGATGACAGTTTTAATTGTATGCATATAATAACACAGGCCCACTATATTCAGTGTCACAATTTCTGTTTCATGACACTTGATAACAATCCTTTAACCTTTCTATTCAATAATGCGTATGTCAGGTGACCGTCAAGACCACTAAGTCTCTTGTTACCCTTTGTTAAAATTTTAAGTTCAGTTATATTGTTTTTGGGGAGCATTCATCAGTTTCGCTGATACTCTTGTTTGAGGTGCTTCATTCAAACATTCAAACACGAAGGAGATGCAGACAGCCATAAAGACAGTTAAAAGGTCAAGGGAGGAGGTGTCCAATTCAAGCAGGGTACTCCTGCAACTAGGTTGTCTCAGAGAAAGAGTCTAACAACAACAAAGGAAGGAGGAAAATCACGTTTCTCTTGAGTCCCAGAGGGACGGCAATAGGTCAACCAAGGGATTAGAACAGCTAAACTGGCAGGGAATCCTTTTGGAAATTAGGAATTGAAAGTTCAATTTCTAGTACAGGAACTAGTTATAGAGACCTCTTAAAGTTGGTCAAGGAGTTCAGGTCTCAAGTTAGAAGCTCGGATCCAACATTCCAGTTTAGAAATGGAGGCAGATAACATCAGATGTGTGAATAAAGAGGACAGTTAATGAAGGACTTCTCCTAAAATTTATTCAGATTGCAGCAGATACAGGGATAAGAAAGACAAGAATAGTCAACAAAGGTGTGCTAAATCAGAATCTCATTGACGAGATAGAAAAAATTGTTAGACAAGTGTGTAATAGAATGTGTACCTGTGTTGAAGTAGGTTTAAAACTCTGATTTATTTCAAAATGGAGATGCTACAGACGGTTATAAGTGCACTAGATAAAGGAAATCAGGTGGTGTCTAGTGGTCTTCATGATGCATAAAGCAGGTTCATGAAGTTTTGCATCGATGGCCAGCATTCCCAGTTCAAGGTAATGCTGTTCTGCCTCAGCTCTGTCCCTCAAGTGTTCACAAAGATTACGTCAGCAGCGGCTGCAACCTTCAGGAGAGATCAGCGGTGCAGTTATCAGTACCTGGAAAATTGTCTTATAAGTCTATGATGTCCAGTACAATCCAGTATATAAAGAATGTGTCAAGTGTTGGAGTTTTTCATAAATTGGGGAACAAAATAGGTCTTGTTCCCTACTCATGATCACACTCGAACACATCTAGAGCCAGATTTAAGGTCACCTGGGACAATGTCTCATGGTGACTCATTGCGATGGCAATTCCTGAGCTTCTTCTGTTGTACATATGTAAACTTTTAACATTTTCGACTTCTCAAAAAACACAGAACCAATTTCATTGAACTTTCACAGAAACCTTCCCCTTCCTTCCCCAGGAGCCTGAAAGGTCAATCTTCTTAACACCCAGATATGGTAGAATCAAATGCTCTTCATGGATGGAAACATCTTAAAGCTGACAATGCAAGTATGAAAAAATTAATTGTAAAATAGAAAAATAGTTACCATTTCCCTAATGCTTCAGAGATGTCTCTTATAATAATGCTATCTTTCAGTCAGTGGATCTGAGGAAGTGGTTGACATTTAAGTCCAAGCCAGCTTATGGTCTGGAAACTGGAAGATGTTTTTATCATCAATTAGCACAAGCAATTATGTGTCAGTCCTTGACAAGGGCAGTTTATGCAGCAACAAACAGATTACCGGTATATGACAACTTGTTTATGAAAATGGGTATTAATCTGAGTTCTGCCCTATAACATACATCGCAGACTTTCTGTGGCAATTGCTTCAGGAAAAAAAGGATTTTAAATGACCACTGTGGCAGAGTATAGAGCGGTTATTGTTGGAATTCATGTCCTAGGCAGCAATATTGAGTTAGACTAGCATTTGTGCAGACTTCTTAAAGGTCTATTAAATGTTCAGCCAAAGGTAAAGTTGATGACACTAAAGTGGAGTTAACAACTTTGGTATTGTTTAAGTTAGTGGTTTGTATATTTGAAAACATTGTTTCTGACATCTAGGTCATCATAGGGTCAGTAAGCTCCATGCTCTTTGTGCAAAATGTAAAACAAAATCTGGATGGAAACAAAACCGACACCATTGTGTGATGTGATTACATATATAACACACAATTTAGATTAGCTTTTACATGGGTGCATAATTGATGTATTCTGCTTTTTTTTTCTTTCATTGTAAAGAATTCCATGTCAACTGTGATTGTTTTTTTATAGTTGTTTATGTTCGATTATATGGGAAAGTTGATGACTTGGTCATTTGAGGTAAACAACCAGTGTTGGTAATGAGACAATTTTGGCCTGTTCTTTTTTATATCTCATTAAACAGACTTGACTTGATAGATATACAACCTGTTTTACAAAACCTGTCTGGTTTTCACAAAGTGTCTTCATTGGCCAGTCAGTACTAGCTAACTTTTATCAGAATTTTTATGGGCTGTAAGATCCATATTTGTCATGCATGTTTTCTTTTTGAGTGATTTTAAATTGTATTTGTTGTTTCTCTTTGACACTTCTGGGTCAGACGTTAGTATTACTATGTTCATGTGGTGAGATGCATGTGGTGAAAGTGGTTTGGTAGCTGTATATCAGCATCTGGACACTCATGAATGCTTTTAAAGTTTTCATGATTATGATCAGTTGTACAGATAAAGAGCTTTAAACTTATAAAAACAGTCTCTCTTGATGACATTAAATAGATTGTTAAAGATGTATAGTTAATTATTTAATTCAGCCAATCATTTATAACAAGTCAGCGAGTGTGTCACATGTACAGTGCAGATTTATTGTTTACAATCACCTTTTTTATTTCAGAGATCCATGAAAGAAATCATTGATTACTGTAAGTATGAGAACAAATTAAACATATAAATGATAATCTTTATAGAACCACATATACAAGTATAAAGACAATCCATATTCATTACGACAGTAGTACATCATCACATCAAGTTTTATATTATAGTACATCATAACATCAAAATTAGCAACTAAAACTATCAGGTGATGTCATTTGGGAAGGTCACATTGTATGAGGCATCACATTGTATGATGCGTCACATTGTATGATGCATCACATTGTATGAGGCATCACATTGTATGATGTGTGTCACATTGTATGAGGCATCACATTGTAGGATGTGTCACATTGTATGATGTGTCACATTGTATGATGCGTCACATTTTATGGGTGGGTACTACTGTAACAGCAGATAAGATTTTGGATGGGATTTTTTGTCAGCATTAAAGGGTGAAAAAAGGGATTGAACGGATCTTTCTTAAACCTCATATTAAGAGTCCCCCTATCCCTAGTTAAGCCCTCTTGATCTTGGTACTGGTCAGAAATATGATATCGCTGACAAGCTGCCATCTTTGATTTTGACTTTAAAGTCTTTCTCAAATTTCATATGAAGAGCCCACTTTGTCCTTAAGTTTTGCTCTTTTGATTTTGTGACTGGTCAAGAAAACAAAATGGCTTAAAGATAGCCATCTTGGATTATGACTTCGAAAGTTTGTTATTTCTTTTTCTTTTGAGATGGTCTTGACCAGGTGTTGTTATCTTTTGGGTATGTTTGAAATCCAAGATGGTCACCATCTTGAAAAACATTTTAAACTTCTTCTCCAGTTCCACTGGTGCCATTGAGCTAAAACATTTTGGGAATATTAAGGAAAGTTAGCCAACAAAGTGTTGTCATTTTTTGACCTTGTCAAAACTTTGATACGGCAGCCAGGGAGGCCATTTTGTAATATGATTACGCAATCCTGGTTTTCCTGTGCCACACCTATTTCAAACTTTTCAAGTTCCACCAGTGGGATTGAGCTCCAACTTGTTCGGTTACCTACCCCTCACCAAAACTACCATTTGCATCATGGAAAACAGCTTCTTGGTAAGATTTCATTCAAAATAGAAAAAATAACCCTTCTCCCTGCAGAAAGTTTTTGTAGTTGGATGACCATTAAGGCCCATGGGCCTCTTGTACAGTCTCAGTTTAAGTTTCATTGTTAAATATAGTAAATAATGTTCTATATCTGTAGCTCATTTTGTTTCAGTAAAACGAACAGGGTCTCCATTCACAGAGGACAACTTTTCACTTCTGAGGCGTCCAATATTTGAACCTCCTTATGAAGTAGTACGACATGCAGGAAAATCTAAAGGGAGAGCTGCTGTGGTGAAAGATGAAGATTCCTCTTTTGATACATCGCTTGACAAGCCAGAAGTTGTGATTGAAAGAGCTGATGAGGGGGAGGAGATGGAGGAAGAAAACAATGAAGAAGTCAAAAAAGATAAACCATTGACATCTACACCTGTATCATCCATTGTAAAGCGTGCAAAAATAAAAGTGACTCCCATGAGATCCACTTTCAAGTACCAGGGAAGGGGTAGACCTCCCAAAAATAAAATGCTTCCACATGCTTTAGCAAAAACAAAAAGCCTTCTTTATCGACATTCATCAAAACATGGATATCATGGAGTTACAGAGACACTGATCAAAGATGTTACAGTGACAATGCCAGATCTTTCCAGACAAAGTAGTGACTTGGATGATTCAAGTATGCCTGAATCACCCCCAGCAAAGAAATTCAGGGCAACTGCACGCAAGAGTACTACCCAGAAGTATTTCAAGCCCCCAATACGTAATTCTAGGTAATGGCTTTGGTGTCACAGGTAGCATTTTCAAAACTTGGCTTGAAAGATTTGAGATTTGACCTTTCTCAGAGCTTGATTGCATTTTAAGCACCTGTCATAGATTTACAATATACGGTCAGATGAACTGACTTGTTTTGTAATTTTAGCTTTCAAATAATTATTATGTACATATTTTAGTGTTTAACTTATCTAAGCATTTTTAGTCTCATGGTGACCTATTGTCATCACCTTCATCCTACGTCATGCATTTGTTAATGATTTAACATTTTCCACTTCGTCTGAAAATCTCCTGAACTGATTTCAATGAAATTTTGAAGAAATCTTCCATTCCCAGATGAAACAAAATAGTGAATTGTACGGTCATCACTCCATAGGGGCCTGAGGGGAGGGGCCAGAAGGGGATCAAATTTACTCAGATTTCAAAAATCTTCTTCTCAAAACCCAGATATGGTATAATCAAATGCTCTTCATGGATGGAAGCATCTTAAGGTAGTTTACCAATTTCATGGGCCAAGGGTCACGCATTTCCCTGAGGGGAGGAGGTAAATTTTACTCTAGTTTATATAGGAAAAATAGATTTTTGAGTTTAATTTCCATTGGAAATATTTAATCTTGATTAGAATTATGAATGAAGGATGACTGCTAGATGGTATAAATTGATTGATCCTATTTGACCCTCAGGGGTTATTAGACAGGGCCAAGAGGGGTCAAATGGACCAAAATTTCAAAAATCTTCTTCTCAACACCAAGGTTTGGTTGAATCGAATTCTCTTTTAAGATGGAAGGGTGTTAAGGTGCTTTAATTACCAAAATGGCATCACATTTTTCCCGTAGAGGAGATAAACTTAACTATTATTTTATTTTATTGACACTGGCTGACTATCATCAATGTCACTATTTCTATTTCATGACACTTGAAAGCTATTTTCCCTTGAACCTTTATATCCATTATTGCTTATCTCGGGTGACTGTCAAGGCCGATCTCTGGTGACTGTCAAAGTCGATAGGCCTCTTGTTAGGTTATCTGACCTATAAACAACATATTTCATCTGCTGTCCACCGTCTGCCATGAGCTGTGCATTAAACTTTCAATTCAAATGACTTCTTCTCAATAACCAAAAAGCCCAGAGTACTGATATTGGGCCTGTAGAATGCTGGGATGAAGGACTAACAAGCCAGATGACTATTAAAGCCCTTGGGCCTCTTTGTTTCATTTCCGCTGGAAATAAATAGAATCATTGACACCTATTAGTGGTTGAATTTTATGCACATTTTATATTTGTATAGTATAGTACAACAATGTGATTATAAACCAGATGATTCTTAAGGTGTACTTAAAAACAAAAAAAAAATTATGTGCTGTGGTGTGGTGTCCGTCATCCGGCCGACGGGCGTCAACACATTTAGCCCTACTTGCGTGGTCCTTCATCCATCTGTCTGTAATCGTGTTTGAGGTATCGCTATTTCCTTACAAGTATTGAATGGATTTCTCTAAGATTTCACATGTAGGTTCCCCTTAATCTCTAATCGAGCCGATTTGATTTGGGACTGATCAGAAAATACAAAATGTTCGACCATCTGTTATCGCTATTTTTTGATAAACATTGAATGGGTCTAGCTCAAATTTCCTACATATGTTCCCTTTGGTCACTAGTTATTACCATTTGATTTTTAGATTCATAAAAAAAAAGTCTGACAGGCAGCCATCTAGGACTTGGCCTTGTAAAGTTGGTTATCACTACTTTTTAAGAATTACTGAATGGATCACTCTCAAAGTTCATGTTCATTTTAAAGAGCAAATAAAGCTCAAACAATTGTGGGTGCCAGGATCCATTTGAGATCTCTTGTCTATTTAAACAACTTATTCTTAGTAACCAGCAGAACAAATGTCGCTGTATTTGGCTGTTTAGTTGGTGGGACAAAGCCCAACAAAGTTGGCTAATATTCAAGGTCACAGGGATCAAATTTGTTGAAACATTTAAACAACTTCTTCTGACTATTCAGAAGTATGTTATTTGGCTGACATGTTCCTTGGATGAAGCCTGCCAAAGTTTGTGAAAAGAAATTACCTTTACCCTTCTTCTAGGTCACAGGAGTCAAATTAGTTAAAACCTTAAAATGACTTCTCTGACTAACCAAAAGAGGTAGGATGTTGGTATTTTGTAAATAGGTTCCTATGATAAAGCCCAACAAAAATCAAATTTATTAAAACTGACCAACCAGAAAGGCACAGGAGCATGGTATAGAGCTGACATATTCCTAGGATAAAGTCCAACAAATTTTGAGAAAAGAGATAACCTTAACCCTTATATAGGGGCTCAGGAATCAAATGTATTAAAACCTTCAAGCAACTTCTGCTGGCCAACCAAAAGGCACAGGAGTATGGTATGATATATTCCTAGGATGAAGCCCAATAAAGTTTGCAAAAAGAAATTACCTTGACCCTTATTCATGGTTACTAGAATTTTATTTGTGAAAACCTAAAAACTTGTTCTGAATAACCAAAATCATGGTATCTGTCAGATAGAATGATGCCTGGAAACATTTAAGAAAAAGGAATGACCTTGACCCATATTTATGGTCACGGGGATAAAATTGATTGCAACCTGTAAGAGATATCATCTGGTAAATGAAAAGTCTGGAAAGCATATGGATTTGGTGGAAAGGTTTTCGAGGTCAAAGCCTAACAAATTTCAAGAAAAAAAATGCATTTACTTGTAATCCGAGATGTAACTGGAACTATTTAGAGTTGAGTATTATTTAAGCTTTTTATTCTGGAAATAGGTTGAAACTGATTGGATGTGCCCACTTTGAATGCCATTCCTGTACATGTCAACATATTTGATATATATATTATGTTAACACAAATTCTATTTTGATGAACGTTGAATACCAGTTGAGTAATGCAGGCCCTTTGGACCTCTTGTCTGTAAAGACTCTTGATTGGCCTCTTTTTTCAAGGGGAGTATCTTACTGAAAATGTACTAAATTCTTTTGTCTTTTCAGTCAGCAAGAAGGAGCAGAGGCCTTATGTACATTGTCATGTCCAGGCCAGGAGAACATTCCACCTAGTCTTCAGTGTGTTGTATGTCTTTGTCTGTTCCATCCACACTGTGTGGCCTACACTCCGTCAGATAACCCAGAATTTACATGCCTGGTAATAACTTACATTTATATTTATTAAAAGACTAAATCATGATTATTACAAATGGACAATGTGAACTGTGTTAAAATGATATCAAAAGATTAACTGATAAATTAAAACTGATGATTTTCTATCATTAATTTTGAAAATTAGAATTATCTTATTGAATCAAGAAACATAATTTTAGGAAGTGAAGTGAAATATTGTGTTATTAGCTTACCAGGCCCAAAGGGCTAAGTGAGCTTATGCCGTGACGCAGTGCCTAACATCCCTCCTTCCTGTATCAACTTTTCCATTTAATTGACACAATGGAAAGTTGACCAAATGTCATGGTATTTGGCTAGTGGGTTATTAGGATGAAGCCAAACAAAGTTTGGGAAATAAATTTCCTTGACCCATATTCAATGTCACAGGGTGAAACGCGTTAAAAATTTAAAACCACTTCTTCTGACTAACCAGATAGCACAGAAGTATGGTATTTGGCTAACTTAGATGAAGCCAGACAGATTTTTTAAAAGAAACATCCTTGACCTTTGTGAAAACCTTAAAACAGCTTCCTCTGACTAATGAAAAGACACAGAAGACTGGTAGATTCATAGGATGAAGCCCAACAAAGTTTGTGAAAAGAAAGGCCTTGCCTCTAAAAACAACTTCTGTCTAACATTTTGCGAAAAAGCATGGTATTTGGCTGACAGATTCCAAGAACGAAGCCCAACAAAATGTTAAAAATAAATTGCTTTGACCCATATTCAAGGTCACAGAGGCCAAATTTGTTTAATCCTAAAACAACTTTTTCTGACAAACCAAACAGCACAATAGCATGGTATTTGGCTGATTTGTTGCTAGGATGAAGCCAGACAAAGTTTGTGAAAAAAAATGGGCTCAAACATCATTTGAGTTCTCAGGGGTCAAATTTGTTTAAAAATTTTAAATGACTTCTTCTGACTTATCATAAAGTAGAAATATTGATTTTGCTCCTAAGATTAAGCCAAAAAAATTTGCAAAAAGAAGTGACTTTGACTCTTATTCAAGGTCACAGGGGTTGCATTTGTTAAAACCTTTAAACAACTTCTTCTGGCTGACAGAAAAGCACAGAAACATGGTGTATGGCTGATAGATTGCAAGGATGAAGCCAAGATAAAGTTTGCCAAAAGAAATGACCTTGACCCATATCTAGTCTCAAGGGTCAAATTTGTTAAAACATTTTAACAAATTCTTTTGGCTAACTAAAAGGCACACAAGCATGATATTCTGTCAACAGGTTCCTAGGATGAAGCCTGACAATATTGTTAATAAAGAAATAACCTTGACCCAGATCAACAATTTTAGCCTTTCAGTAATTTCGGTACTTTTGATTCTGACTGGATTGTATAGTATTGAGCACTTTTAGTTCTCTAAAGCGCTGCATTTAAGCTTACCTGTGCCTTTGTTAGTGTAAAGGGAAATTGATTTTGTATAAACAGTCTCCATCCCCTGGAGTGAAAAGGGTAGGACTGAAGAGGGGAAATAGAGCAAATTCTTTAAAATCTGCCTGAAATTGAATCAATTTTTATAAACAAAGCGTCTGGGTCCCCTTGGGCGGGAAGCGTGTCCAAAGGAGGAAATAGAGCAATTTCTTTAAAATACTACTCCTAAAGGAATGATTGAATTTAGCCGAAATTTGGTCAAAAGCATGTTTTAGTCAAGGAAAATCAATTTTGTATAAATAATTGGTCTCAGCCCCCTCGGGCTGAAAGGATAGGGCCCATTGAGGGGAAATAGAGAAATTATTGTCATCTGAGTCTCGTGTTGACCTATTGCAATCACCTCCGGCGTCATGCAGCCATAAAATTTTTTCACTTCTTGAAAACCCCTGAACTGATTGAAATTTTACAGAAACCTTTCCTAGCCTAAGATAAACCAAAATAGTGAAGGATATGGTCCCTCCCCACAGGGGCTTGAGCCAAAAGGGATTGAAATTTACTGATTTCAAAGATCTTCTTAACATCCAGATTTGGTAGAATCATATGTTCTTCATGGATGGAAGCATTGTCAGGTTCTTTATCAAACCTATGAATTTCATGGCCCTAGTGTCTCACATTTTCCTATGGGGAGGAGGTAAATAGATTTTTGAGCATAATTTGCTTAATTTCCATTGGAAACATTTCAAACTTGGTTAGAGTTATGAGGGAAGGATTACTGTTTGATGGTATGCCCATATCGATACTATCTGACCCCACAAGGGCTGATCGGCAGTGCCAAAAAGGGGTCAAATTGACTCAATTTTCAAAAATCTTTTCCTCAGCACCCAGATATGGCAGAATCAAATGCAAGGGATGACAGCTAGATGGTATGCATAAATAGATCCTGACTGACCCCAAGGGGCTGATCGGTGTGGCCAAAAGGGGTCAAATTGACTCAGATTTCAAAAATCTTCTCAACAGCCAGGTATGGTAGAATCAAATGCTCTTTATAGATGGAACCTTATTAAAGTGCTTTAATGACCAAAGGGGTCCTACATTTCTTCCTGGGGAGGAGGTTAACTTTACTATAATTTTCATAAAAATAGCATTTTTGAGCATAACATTGTTTATTTCCCACTGGAAAGAACTTTGTAAGAGTCATTAGTGTAGGATGACAGTCTTGATGGTATACATGTATTGACACTGGCTTACTATCATCAATCAAACATGTCCCAACCCCTAACCATATATAGCAACGCTAGACGTCAACAGATAAACTCAATCATGATGTAAAATTTCATCTTTGAAGTCCCATAGGAACTTAATTTCTTGGTTATATCTTTGAAACAGTTAAAATTCCCACCCCAGAACTGTATAAACACAGTCCAACTTCTATGAATTGAACTTTGATAATTTAAATTTCTCATTGTATCAAAGTGAATGTTTACAATCGACCCAGATACACCAATTTTATGCTCCCCAAAAAGAGAGCATATAGTCACTGCTTTGTCAGTCTATTAGTCCATCCGTCGTAATTTTATCCAGAGCAAAACACAAAAACTAAAAGAGCTATCAGCATAAAACATCATAGGTAGATAGATCTCAACAAGGAGAATTACAGTGCACAAGAACCATTAATCTCTTTTGCATAATTTAGGAGTCATTGCCCTTTGTTATTTTTCATACTTAAATTTTGCTTATTCAGGGAGCATAACCTTTCTCTGATGGCCCTTGTTTATAACAATTTATTGGATACTATCCAGTCTTTCAACAGTGAGAATTATCCATTTATAATTGTGGAGACTGAGACACAACACTGGATAGAAAGAAAAGATGAAAACACATTGTTCCGAGTGACAAGTAACATTTGGAAGAGATGGCGTTTGAAATAAATGACCAGTTGTTTTTGAAATTTTGAAGATGAATCTTTACTGTGACTATTTGCTTCTCCATAGTTATTAATTCCAAACTAGGGAAAAGGCCAGAAAACCATGTGGAAAGAAACAGTCACTCTTTCGAAAGATTCACAAACATACACAAAACCCAGATCTACTTATCTTCTGATTTTTGAGGATTTAAGACCCTATTTTCCTAACAAAAAATCAGGCGAAACTGCAAAAGGGCATTAGATATCACACCGTGTTGTAAGGCTATCACAAAGTAATGACCTTGACTATCATAATCACATTCCGAGGCATAAACATATTCATGACGTAAGAACTGGCTGTAGGGTGTGGCCTCACCCCTTTGGACTTTATTTCTGAGTAATATCTTTGAAACCGTTGAGATCCCCACCCCATAACCATATGAAGCATTGCTAGGCATTCAGAGATAAACACAATCATGGTGTAGGAATAGGCCCCTATGTCAGGTCCCACCCCTTTATCTTTAAAAAGTTGACCACCCCATAACCATAGATACCATGCAGTGCATCAAGAGAAAAACATTGTGTGTCATACACAATTGACATTTTTGACTTCTTCTTAATAACCAAAAGGCCCAGAGTGCTGCTTTTGGCCTGTAGCATCTTGGAATGAAGTGCTTCCAAGTTTGTTCAAATGAATGACCTTGACCACCTTCAAAGTCACAGGGGTCAAATGTGTTGAAATCTTGAAACAACTTCTTAGTAACCAAAAGACGCAAAGTGCTGATATTGGGCCTGTTGTATGCTTGCAGGAGGGCTTCCAAGTTTGTTCATGTTGTTGACCTTGACCCACTTTCAAGGGAACATGTATCGAATATGTCAAAATCTTTCCCCATCAAAGGGGTTAAGTGACTGAGCTTTAATTTGGAACATTTAAAATACTGAACCTATAGGCATATGTACCATTGCTGAGCTTTAAGATCCAGGTGAGTGATACAGGCCCTATTTGCCTCTTGTTTATAATGCTCTTAAACATGAAGGTTGGGGACAAATCATAGAAAATTGGCAAAGTGATGTACTGTGTTATTTCACTTTTTCCAAATGGATGAAATTACAGTTCTTTTGCTTTGTAATGACTGGTTTCCCTCCGAACCTCAAACCTCCAAACCTTATTAAATAGTTGTTAAAAGACAAGAAATGTGATATTTAGTGTGATTTTGTGTGTGATATATCTGAATAGGATATGATCATGAGATGCAGGTTAAGACTAGTGTACATATAGATAGTGTGTTTATCAGTTCATGTATAATACATAAAGTGTGCATGATGTGTGTACTCCAAATGTGGGTCAGTAGAACATAAGTAGAATATGATCATGAGATGCAGGTTAAGACTAGTGTACATATAGATAGTGTGTTTATCAGTTCATGTATAAGACATAAAGTGTGCATGATGTGTGTACTCCAAATGTGGGTCAGTAGAACATAAGTAGAATATGATCATGAGATGCAGGTTAAGACTAGTGTACATATAGATAGTGTGTTTATCAGTTCATGTATAATACATAAAGTGTGCATGATGTGTGTACTCCAAATGTGGGTCAGTAGAACATAAGTAGAATATGATCATGAGATGATTAACACTGGTGTGTATATAGTGTGTTTATCAGTTCATTATAATACACAAAGTGTGCATTATGTGTGTACTCCAAATAAAGGTTAGTAGAAGTCATAAGTGGTGTATGAGGGAGTGAGTGTGTGTCTGTGAGGGTTATCTTGTTGAGGCCAGGTGTAGAGTATGTGTGTCTGTGAGGGTTATCTTGTTGAGGCCAGGTGTAGAGTATGTGTGTCTGTGAGGGTTATCTTGAGGGTTATCTTGTTGAGGCCAGGTGTTATCTTGTTGAGGCCAGGTGTAGAGTATGTGTGTCTTGTGAGGCCAGGTGGTTATCTTGTGTGTCTGTGAGGCCAGGTGTAGAGTATGTGTGTCTGTGAGGGTTATCTTGTTGAGGCCAGGTGTAGAGTATGTGTGTCTGTGAGGGTTATCTTGTTGAGGCCAGGTGTAGAGTATGTGTGTCTGTGAGGGTTATCTTGTTGAGGTCAGGTGTAGAGTATGTGTGTCTGTGAGGGTTATCTTGTTGAGGCCAGGTGTAGAGTATGTGTGTCTGTGAGGGTTATCTTGTTGAGGCCAGGTGTAGAGTATGTGTGTCTGTGAGGGTTATGTGTGTCTTGTTGTTGAGGCCAGGTGTAGAGTATGTGTGTCTGTTGAGGGTTATCTTGAGGGTTATCTTGTTGAGGCCAGGTGTAGAGTATGTGTGTCTGTGAGGGTTATCTTGTTGAGGCCAGGTGTAGAGTATGTGTGTCTGTGAGGGTTATCTTGTTGAGGCCAGGTGTAGAGTATGTGTGTGAGGGTTATCTTGTGAGGCCAGGTGTAGAGTATGTGTGTCTGTGTGTGTTTAGTTGTTGAGGCCTGTTTTAGTGTATGTGTCTGTGAGGGTTATCTTGTTGAGGCCAGGTGTAGAGTATGTGTGTCTGTGAGGGTTATCTTGTTGAGGCCAGGTGTAGAGTATGTGTGTCTGTGAGGGTTATCTTGTTGAGGCCAGGTGTAGAGTATGTGTCTGTGAGGGTTATCTTGTTGAGGCCAGGTGTAGAGTATGTGTCTGTGAGGGTTATCTTGTTGAGGCCAGGTGTAGAGTATGTGTCTGTGAGGGTTATCTTGTTGAGGCCAGGTGTAGAGTATGTGTGTCTGTGAGGGTTATCTTGTTGAGGCCAGGTGTAGAGTATGTGTGTCTGTGAGGGTTATCTTGTTGAGGCCAGGTGTAGAGTATGTGTGTCTGTGAGGGTTATCTTGTTGAGGCCAGGTGTAGAGTATGTGTGTCTGTGAGGGTTATCTTGTTGAGGCCAGGTGTAGAGTATGTGTGTCTGTGAGGGTTATCTTGTTGAGGCCAGGTGTAGAGTATGTGTGTCTGTGAGGGTTATCTTGTTGAGGCCAGGTGTAGAGTATGTGTGTGTGTGGGTTATCTTGTTGAGGCCAGGTGTAGAGTATGTGTGTCTGTGAGGGTTATCTTGTTGAGGCCAGGTGTAGAGTATGTGTGTCTGTGAGGGTTATCTTGTTGAGGCCAGGTGTTGTGTGTCTGTGAGTTGAGGCCAGGTGTGTATGTGTGTCTGTGAGGGTTATCTTGTTGAGGCCAGTGTAGAGTATGTGTGTCTGTGAGGGTTATCTTGTGTAGAGTATGTGTGTCTGTGAGGCCAGGTGTAGAGTATGTGTCTGTGAGGGTTATCTTGTTGAGGCCAGGTGTAGAGTATGTGTGTCTGTGAGGGTTATCTTGTTGAGGCCAGGTGTAGAGTATGTGTCTGTGAGGGTTATCTTGTTGAGGGCAGGTGTAGAGTATGTGTGTCTGTGTATTTGATTTATATCAATGTTGACTAGAGAGAATAACTTCCGTTACTGAGTGAGTATATTATATATGGAAATGTGTAATGATCTTGTTCAGTAGTATAAACCATATTCACAGTTCAGGAATGAGGTGTATGTTAGATTAAAGAATGTGTCTAAATGTGTTTATGAGGGTCAAGAGTATATATTTGAATGGTTTGGGCATTGTGGTCAATCTTTTCTTGGTCAATTTAATAAAACAATAAAGCAAAAGGCTGAAAGTCGGCCATTTTAGACTTTGATGGTGAAAGTTTGTTAACACTCCTTCTTTTTAGAAATGGTTCATACGTCTTTCTTAACTTTCATATTTAGATTCCCCTTGGTCCCTAGTTGTACTAGTTATACCATAATATACTGTTTATTTTAATGTAAGATATCTGTTTCAGAGATGTTATGATCCATCACAAATGCAGCCCAGATGTAAAACCATAACAGTGATGAGAGTTGCACCAGCCTCTCAGGTACCTGTCTCTCCACGCAACACAGCCCCAGTCATCAAACAAGAACCAATCGACCCTGATCAGAACAACTCTGCCCCTCAGCTTACTGCTGCATCACCTAAGGATGTCAACCCCACACTACTCGAACATTTACGCACTAGTATACTGGACCGACAAATTGTTCAAACTGTAGCTGGTGGTGCTGTGTCCATTTTGTCTCCTGTTCAGTTGTCTCAGGCTGGGCAAAGACCTCTTGCAACCTCCACAGAAGTGACCCAATCCACACAAAATCTTCCAAACTTGTCTTTACTCTCTGATTCATTAAGACAAGGAACTTTACAGAGAACAGTGTTTATGTCTCCTTCTGGCTTGGTGTCTCATAGCAATATACTATCCCAGAGTCACGCCAATACTTTGTTAGTTCCAGGGTCATCTCTGTTGGGCAATGCTCAAGGGACAGGATCATCACTGCAGCTGCCTCGTCTTATGGCTCCTGTGCCTCAAATACAATATGTTTCGCCAACACCCACCACACCTAGCCTGAGGACTCCCGTGTTATCTATGATGCCCCCAAGGCTAATTGCAGCCCCCAAAACACCGCCAGTGATGGTTGTGGATTCTAATAAAACATCACCTGTTTCATCACATTTGACAAATGGAACTTCATCACAGGAAGTGAATGGGAAAACGGGTCAGATATTAACACTTCCAAGTGCTGTAGCAAAGCGGTTAAATCTGCAGCAGCCATTAGCTCTGAAAATTAACAATGTTCAGATAACTGTGCCTCCCTCGTCCTTCCTGTTCACAATGGAAGGTCTAAAACTATTCCTCCCTCCAAAGACATTCCCTTTACAATCAGGAGAGACTGCTAAGTTAAGTGTGACTGTGACTAACGACAAATCCAATGCCTCTCAGCCGGAGGTGAGTGTGAAAATCAACACAGAACAGGCTGATGGGCTGGGAAGTATTAAACCCCTGTCTGGAGACTTCTCAACAGCACCAGCACACTCCAGTGCAAATGCAAACCATCGAAAGACACGTTGGAAGAATGGAATAAACCCTGGCATGTGTTATGTGAAAAAACTGTATGGTGGCTTTGACTGTATGTTTTGTATCTTCCAATATCTCAATATGAAGGACTTACTCAGGTGATTTTCTTGCTTCTTTCTGTTTTCATATAAGCTGAGTGTGTAAAAATTGTTAAACATGAAATGTTTGTTATATATATAGTTATTGATAAATCACTCGAAAATGAAATGTTGACAGATTTCAAATGAAGGAATCACGAGGGTTGATTGTAAATTGTGAACCTTGTATTGAAGAAGTTATGCAGGGACGTCCTTTTTCAGCTCTGCTCTTCCCTGACTACTTAAGCCTGTGAGGCCAAACAAGAGTCTAAACAATGGAAGCACCCTGGTTCATCCCCACCAAAGACTGTTCCATCAGCTAGAAAGGTTATGGCCTACGTTTTCTGGGGTGCTGATGGTATTCTGATGGTATATTATCTGCAAAAGGGACAATCAATGGCACATATTATGCATCACTTTTTAGGCAATTAAGACAAAATATTAAACTCAATCGCTGTAGAAATCTCTTTATAGGTGTGTTGTTCCACCTGGACACTGCCCCTGTACACAAATCTGTCATTGCCATGGCCGCCATGAATGATTGTGCTTTAAATTGTTTGAGCACCTGCCTTATTCACCTGATCACAATCCTTCATCTATTTCAAATATTGAAAAAGGCCATTTCCAGTACCCACTTTTGGTCAGATGATGACATCATACATGCAAGTGAAGGACTTTCTGAACGGTCAAGAATAGAACTTTCTTAAAAGTGGAATTAAAGCCCTTAAATATAGCTAGCAAAAGCGTATAGATACAGAAGGGGATTATTTTAAGAAATCAAGCCATATGTCCCCCAAAAGTCAAACCCTTATATATGAGGCTCACAACTTACCAGTCAGCCCTCGTATGTATAGTTCTGTGACATCCAGGAAAGTTTTACATTCAAAAGGATCTATAAGACATACACCAAGAAAGAAAGTACTTGGCCCTATATCACCTATGCATCATGTTATTTCACCACTAAGGAACTGAGAGATTATCAATTAACAATACAGAAGGTTTCACAAGTCTTACCATATTTTACTGCAAATAAATGAATTGCCTGTTTTCTTTTGTAGGGTTGCCATGGTATGCAGGACATGGAGACAGCTAGCTATGCATCCCAGTCATGTAGGTATTGCATAGTCTGTTTTTAAGTCATCTGACTCAAAGTGTCAGGAAGACCTTTTACCACCTCGTTTTATCTGTCATCATGCGCTGTATGCCTTGCATAGACTTTGTATTCAACAACTTCTTCTCAGTAACCAAAAGGCCTTCTCAATAACCAAAAGGCCAAAGGTGATTGTATTGGGCTTGTAACATGCTGAGATAAAGGACTACCATGTTCATTAAAATAATAGACCTTGATCGTTCACATGTGTCAGGTATGTCAAACTATTTTGAACAACTTTTTCTCTATAACAGGAAGGCCCAGGATTCTAATACCGGGCCTGTAGCATGCTGGAATGAAAAGTTACCAAGTTAGTTCATATGATTGACCTTGGCCCACTTTAAAGGTCACAAGTGTCAAATATGATGAAATCTTTAAAAAAAAAACTTCTCAATAACCAAAAGACCTTTGGTGCTGATATTGGGCATCTAGCATGCTGGGATGTAGGGCTGCTAAGTTTGTATGAATGGCCTTTGCCCACACTAAAGGTCACAGGGGTCAAAGTAAAATCTTTTAAGTGTTTTCTTCCAAAAGGCCCAGGGTGTTGATATTAGACCTGTTACATGCTAGGATGTAGGGTTATTAAGTGCTTTAATATGAATGACCTTTGCCCTCATTCAATGTCATATGGGTCAAATATATTAAAATCTTTAAACAACTTCTTGTCAATAACCCAAAGGCCCAGGACGTTGATATTAGACCTGTAACATGTTTGGATCAAGGGCTATTAAGTTTCTTAACATGAAAGATTTTGACCCACTTTTAAGGTCACAGGAGTCAAATGTGTTGAAGTATTTAAATGACTTCTTCTCAATTACCAAAAGGTCCTTTGTGCTGATATTGGGCCTTTAGTATGTAGGGATGAAGGGCTGCCAAGTTTGTTCACCTTAACATACTCAAGGGCACAGGGGTCAAATGTGTTGAAATGCATAAGCAATTTCTCAATAACCAAAAGGACAAGTATGAAATCACTAATGAACTCCATGTATCATTATTGATTACATCACAATTGTATCTAAGTGAAACATCTGAAAATAAAAGAGCTTGTGTTTTTCAGCTTGTCCTGTTTCTTAGTTTATTAACTTAGACCGAAGGGTCAAGATGACCTACAGCCCTTGTGTGTCATCGTCCGCTGTCCGCCATGTGTCGTGCGGGGATGGGGTAGGGCCCAAAAGAATATAAGGCAATATTTTGCTTTAGAACGCTTCTTAATGCCTGGGTAGATTTCAACCAAAATGGGCCTTAGACATTATTTGAGGTGGGTTATCATTTCTTAGATTTAGAAAGTTGATTTGACCCTTAAGGACCTTGGGAAATTGGGCCCGAAATTGGGAATTTAGACAATTTTATGCTTTAAAATGCTATTCTGCATTTGTGTCTGTCTATACAATTTGTTTTAGTGATATATACACAGGTTTGTCTCCGTTGATACATTCTGTTCTAGCTACAGATCTGTCTGGTTATGTTGAGTATTGCTATGAATCTCAACAATGTTTCATACTTTTTTTAAGAAATAGAATATACAATTACAGCATATGTTGATGAGGTCAATCCATGATCTTATCACACCAATCAAGAAGAATATTGAACAAGGACAAAATTAGAAGTTTTTAATAATCTTAGTTGTTACGATAAAATCCTGGATTGAAACAGTAACAACATGATATATAATTGCTTTATCAAAATTGATAAAAACTGCTTTTGGAATTAAATGTTTCAATTTGATCTTGTTAGTTTGAATATTACTAACAGCCAAAGTAAAAATTACTTCCAGGAAGAAGCAAACCTGGTAGCTGTCAGTGTTGTTTGGTTAGCAATAAGTATTAAAGCTGATAAAGTTAGAGGTGTTCCAAAACTTGAAAGCAAGATGTTCCAGATAATCCTATTTATGGAAACACTAGGTGTACAATGTTCTTGTGTCATTCTATACAGCATTGTATAATTTGTCACATGAAGCCATTCTGGCCAATAGAAAATGCAGATTTACAATGAAAAATAATAATGACTTGATCTATTTCCATCTCATCAACAGTGGAAAATTTTAAGGCTACATGATTTGAAGATCCTGGAATGGGACAAAGCTATCAACTTCATGTTGCTACGAGCAGTACAGTCTCTGGTGAGTTACATAAAAATATCTTCCAACAGAGACAAAATATCAAAGAAATGTAGGTACTGTATAACCATCATCTCTTTAACCTCTTCAACCGAAATATTTAGTTAAAAGATATACCAAAACAATGATAGGTTTGAAGTGTAACCAATGATAGGTTTGAAGTGTAACCAATGATAGGTTTGAAGTGTAACCAATGATAGGTTTGAAGTGTAACCAACGATAGGTTTGAAGTGTAACCAACGATAGGTTTGAAGTGTAACCAACGATAGGTTTGAAGTGTAACCAACGATAGGTTTGAAGTGTAACCAATGATAGGTTTGAAGTGTAACCAATGATAGGTTTGAAGTGTAACCAACGATAGGTTTGAAGTGTAACCAATGATAGGTTTGAAGTGTAACAAATGATAGGTTTGAAGTGTAACCAACGATAGGTTTGAAGTGTAACCAATGATAGGTTTGAAGTGTAACCAATGATAGGTTTGAAGTGTAACCAATGATAGGTTTGAAGTGTAACAAACGATAGGTTTGAAGTGTAACCAATGATAGGTTTGAAGTGTAACCAATGATAGGTTTGAAGTGTAACCAACGATAGGTTTGAAGTGTAACCAACGATAGGTTTGAAGTGTAACCAACGATAGGTTTGAAGTGTAACCAACGATAGGTTTGAAGTGTAACCAACGATAGGTTTGAAGTGTAACCAACGATAGGTTTGAAGTGTAACCAATGATAGGTTTGAAGTGTAACCAATGATAGGTTTGAAGTGTAACCAACGATAGGTTTGAAGTGTAACCAACGATAGGTTTGAAGTGTAACAAACGATAGGTTTGAAGTGTAACCAATGATAGGTTTGAAGTGTAACAAACGATAGGTTTGAAGTGTAACCAATGATAGGTTTGAAGTGTAACCAATGATAGGTTTGAAGTGTAACCAACGATAGGTTTGAAGTGTAACCAACGATAGGTTTGAAGTGTAACCAACGATAGGTTTGAAGTGTAACCAACGATAGGTTTGAAGTGTAACCAACGATAGGTTTGAAGTGTAACCAACGATAGGTTTGAAGTGTAACCAACGATAGGTTTGAAGTGTAACCAATGATAGGTTTGAAGTGTAACCAACGATAGGTTTGAAGTGTAACCAACGATAGGTTTGAAGTGTAACCAACGATAGGTTTGAAGTGTAACCAATGATAGGTTTGAAGTGTAACCAATGATAGGTTTGAAGTGTAACCAACGATAGGTTTGAAGTGTAACCAACGATAGGTTTGAAGTGTAACCAACGATAGGTTTGAAGTGTAACCAACGATAGGTTTGAAGTGTAACCAACGATAGGTTTGAAGTGTAACCAACGATAGGTTTGAAGTGTAACCAACGATAGGTTTGAAGTGTAACCAATGATAGGTTTGAAGTGTAACAAACGATAGGTTTGAAGTGTAACCAACGATAGGTTTGAAGTGTAACCAATGATAGGTTTGAAGTGTAACCAACGATAGGTTTGAAGTGTAACCAACGATAGGTTTGAAGTGTAACCAACGATAGGTTTGAAGTGTAACCAACGATAGGTTTGAAGTGTAACCAACGATAGGTTTGAAGTGTAACCAACGATAGGTTTGAAGTGTAACCAACGATAGGTTTGAAGTGTAACCAACGATAGGTTTGAAGTGTAACCAACGATAGGTTTGAAGTGTAACCAACGATAGGTTTGAAGTGTAACCAACGATAGGTTTGAAGTGTAACCAACGATAGGTTTGAAGTGTAACCAACGATAGGTTTGAAGTGTAACCAACGATAGGTTTGAAGTGTAACCAACGATAGGTTTGAAGTGTAACCAACGATAGGTTTGAAGTGTAACCAACGATAGGTTTGAAGTGTAACCAACGATAGGTTTGAAGTGTAACCAACGATAGGTTTGAAGTGTAACCAACGATAGGTTTGAAGTGTAACCAATGATAGGTTTGAAGTGTAACCAATATGTTTGCCATCAGAAGAAAATTCCTTGTTCCTTTAATTGCCTGTGTTTGTGGAATTTGGATTTTGTAATTTCCAAAGGGCAAGTCTGTGTAACAAGATTTAAAACTTCTTTGTTTTGAGTAAATATTATAATAAATTATTCTGTTTTCTCAATTTTAATACTTGTATTTTCAAAACCTTACTCCAAGGAAACAAATCATGTATGTTATGTATGATGTTGTGTGTTCCTTTTCTCTACCCTTGTTGGTGTAGTTCTCCACAATCTAAAACAGTATGTGTAAGGTATTCATAGTGATCAGGAATCCTTTGGCAATAAAAAGTGATTTTAGACAGTCATTGGGGCAGTTCTGAAAACATGCAAATATGGCAGCAAACATCAGTTGCAGTATGTATATACAAGTTTAATCATCTTTTTGTAAATCAAGCCCATGAGAAATATTTGTATACAATCTCAATAAATTCTATTAAGGCTAATTTCATTCTAAGCTTTTACAATGTTAACATTGATTTGACACAAAAGTAACATATGACAGCTGTATGTTAAAAAGGAAGAACTCTTTGCTAGTGTAGTAATGGTTTATATTGTTGTACTCAGAGCCTACGAGGACTGGTTCATTATGGAGACAAGAACCGCACATGGCACCAACTGATACCACACATTCACAAGCTTTCTTGTCTACGGAAGATCTCGTTTGGTATTGTGCCAGCTTCAGTATTACACATGTGCAGTGAGAAGATGCCCTACTTGGAGGTGTTTATTGCTGAAAGCATCACAGACATGACCAGTGAACAGATGTGGTATGATAAATAAATGGCCAAACTTGTCTTGATACTTTTTAATATGTATTGTGCCCTAGCATGAAAAGGTGTTGCCCTCAACTGTCATTTTAATCATAATTAAACTTTTAATGGCCTATAACCATGATAGATTTCAGACTCCCTTGACTGGGCATAATCAATTATTACCTTTCCAATGGCAGTCATCCACAGATAGGATCATATAAAGACCTTCATACTTACAGATATATATATATATCAGCATGGCCAATCACTAAAGATCATATCACATTCCATACTGAAATACAATTCCTCTATTTCAATACACATTATACCAAGCATCTATCATTGTCCTTGACACTCTGATTCCATTTAGTAAAGATAAAAGGAGAGGTCATTCATAATTTCATTAATTACTTTTTATTCCCTTAGATAGAATTTATGTATGTCTGTGGGTTTGTTCTAGGTCGGTGCCTACCAAACTTGACGTGGGTAAGTTCTCAGCTTTGACCCAGCTCCGAGAATTAAGACTGCGAGGCGTGGCAGGCCTCCTGCTTCCTTCTTTTTCCTTCAGTGGTGGATTGGCTCAGCTTGGCACTATGAAGAATCTCACAACATTGGTAAGTGCATAAAAAAACTCTCCAATTGGTTTTGCTTCATTTCTGATAAAACACACTGCATACTTCTAACCACCCCTGATCCTATGTCTATCACTCTGTCCTTCAATAATTCTTGTTATGACCTAATATATGGATCATTTTATTGCTTTCATCCGTCATCATCTGTAAACTTGCCCATTAAACACTGCTCCTGCTTAACAAAAGAGAAAGTTAATTAATATTTAGTATTGATATGGTACTCTCCCTAAATGCTTGATAGGATATCATTCTTGGTCTGAAAAATCAGTTGGGGTGTGCAATGAAAGTTTCTGAAGTCAGATGACCGTTTAGACTCATGGGCCTTTTGTTTTAATTCTTTTTCCTGTTGTTTTGATGATGCAATTTGGAGGTTCAAGCATTCAGGGATGTATTAGCTGGTTATGTGACGACATTAACTTTGTTTGTTTCAGTCACTGACATCACTGAAGGAGGTGGATGACAATGAGTTTGGATTCCTGACTGAACTTACCAAGCTAGAAGTTCTAGAACTTGGTCATTGCTCCACTTGGTCATCAGAGGTTTGTCAACTTATGTCCTTTTACTTTTCCTTTAGTTAGAATAAATAAATTTCAGCAAACTAAATCAGATGAGCAATACAGGCCCTTTTGGCCTCTTGTTGTTGAACCCATTTGAATTGCGTGAAATTAAGATTGTGACAATAATATAAGATTTCTAATTATTGAAATTGACATTACACAAAGTCATGACATGAAAACCTACTAGAAAGGCAGGACTCTTCCAACAGGTAAAGTCAGTGACCTGTTTGCAATATTGAAAAAATCTGTCAAATACAATATGGTTATCTTTTGAAACACTTGCATGTTAATTGACTAGTAAGAAATAGCTGGTTTCTTTCTGTTCTTCATCATGTTGGATATCACAAGGTGCCTAAAATAAACACATCTGTGTGTGTATTGGCAGATGATAGCATTGAATTATAGTGGTGCAGAGTGTGGGTTTAGAATTATCACTACAGGTTAATATAAAATCATCCTATTGGTGTTTACAAAGTGTATGTCCAATTCTTTCAATTATTTATATGATGTAATAAATAGGGATAATCTAGACACAATAATCTTATCAAAATGTGTAGTGGAGCACCATTGCTGTTTGACAATACACATGCATTGTGCTCTATATACTGACCACTTGTAATAAAGATATGAGTCCTTACGGTGTGTTGGGAGGTGAAAGCACAGTGTGACAAAGAAATCACACTAAATCAATGCTAATTAAGAGACATATATATGTATAATGCCAATATTTTTATCAATAGTTGGGCATTCTATTGCAGACTTACTTCCATCTTGGTCAGCTGAACCAGCTCAAGTGTCTGCGGCTGGAGAGTGGAGGAGAGATCCCAGATATTGGTCTTGGGGATTCCCTCATCAACATGAAACAGTAAGCTTTAGAATACTTTTTAGCTTGACATTTTTTACACAGTTGCTAAAGTGTGAGCATCAGGGGCTGCAAGTTGAAACTCATGAAAATGCTTCCATATTGCTCCTAAATGATTTTTGTTTGACTTTTCATGTAATGCAGGGACCCTTCCTATGTTTTTATTTCACGCCCAAAACTAAGGCTGAATACTGCATGATTAGTTCAAACACTTTCACACTTTTTCGCTAGTCAGAGTAAATTCTATCATTTTAGTTTTGAAAGGCCAATTTTATTCAAATAGCCCTCTCATCTGCCAGACCATCTGTCTTAAATTGGTTCTAATTATCATTATTTCTTGAGAAAAACTGGAATCTAAGTTCATGCTCCCTGGTCCGTAGTTTGGCCATTTTGTAACATGATTGCACAATAATGGTTCTCCTGTGCAATATTTAGGTATTTCAAACTTCTTCAGTTTCACCAGATGCATTGAGCTCCAACTTTCCTGTCAAAAAATAGGTAACACTTGTTACAGTTACCTTCTCCTCACCAAAACTCCCATCTGCATCATGGAAAATAGCTTCTTAGTAAGATTTCATTCAATGTAGAAAAAATAACCCTTCTCCCTGCTGAAAGTTTTTGTAGTTAAATGACCATTAAGGCCCATGGGCCTCTTATTTAAAATTAATCTTGTTCTTTGGTAATTGCAGAAAATGTCTAGATTTTGGTCTGAAGCATGCTTGGGTGAAGGAAAATCAATTTTGTATAAACGGTAGATCTCGGCCCTGTGCGGCCAGATAAGCGAGGCCTAATATGGAAAACTTTCAACTTCTTTAAAAGATATCTTGTTCTTATGCCAATTGTATGAACCAGTAAATAATTGATAGGTTGTCAGAAGCCAGTTATAATAGCTGATCATCAATGTTGAAATCTTAACCAATCCCTTTTAACACAAGAAAATATTCAACAGGAATATAATAGCTCACTACTTCAAACCTTCAGTGGCCTATAACAGTGCATTACACTGCAAAATGTGCAGATATCAGAGTCACACTTGACTAGGCATGATGAGTCATTACCTCTCCAATCACACTTATCCCCCATAATGACCATATGAAGATCTCATCACGACTATGTCTTGAACCTTCATATACACATATATATCAGAGTGACCAATCAGTGAAGATCTTGTGACCAATCACTGAAGATCATGTGAGCAATCACTGAAGATCTTGTGAGCAATCACTGAAGATCATGTGACCAATCACTGAAGATCTTGTGACCAATCACTGAAGATCATGTGACCAATCACTGAAGATCATGTGACCAATCACTGAAGATCATGTGCAAATCCATACTGATATATCACTTCCTTTATTCCTTTATACCAATACACATCATACACAGTGTGTATGAGGGTCCTCAACACTTTAAAGCTTGGAAGGTACAGGATGGATCTGTTTCAGATTTCATATGTAGGTTTGTCTCTGTCCTTAGTTGAGCCAATTCAATTTCAGCCTCACAAAAAAAAATGTCTGAAATTTTATAAATAGGTTGCCTTTTGTCTCTTGTTGTGCCCTCCTGATTTTAGGACTGCCAGATAAAATATTTTTTATTGACAGTTGAATACTCTTATTGCTTTTTCTTGAGAGGGATTCTCAAATTTTGTATGTTTAACAGTAAATAAAAGGGGAAAAGATCCAAATTTTAAAGAACAAATGAATGTCAAATGTTGTTTGTATCATTTGTGTGTAGTATTCAGCCAAAGGTACAGGCAAGAAATAATCCCAAAACATGGGTAGGGTCAACGTGCTGTATGAAAAGGCAAATAAAAATCATTAAGGAGTGATACGGAAACTCTAACTTACCGACTTAGTTTTCAGGCACTTCAAACACAGCCATTGATGCCTAATGATGAGCTGGGGGCTGTTAATGGTGGTTGATACCAGCAGACAGCATAGGATTCAACTACAGGGGATTGAACAGTTATCTCTTGCTATTTGTATCAAGCTTGAGTTTTCACTTTTAATATCTTCCTAGGTTACAATTTCAATGTGCTGTCATTTTTAGAGTTAATATTAATAACTGATATCTAGCTGAAGTTCATACTCACCAGTGTTATCTAACTAGAAATTACACTCACTTGTGATATCTTACAAGGGATCAAATTGACTTCAATTTCAAAAATCTTCTTCTCAGGACCCAGATATGGTGTATTCAAATGCTCTTCATGAATGGAAGCATCTTAAGGTGCTTTAATTACCAAAATGAGTCGCAAAATTCTTCCTGGGGAGGAATATATTCTTTAGACTTTACTATAATTTCATAGAAAATTGTATTTTTGAGCATAACAATGGTTTAAATAACTTAATCAGAATTATTAGTATAGGATGACAATTTTGATGGTATGCATGTATTGACACTGTCTATATTCATTGTCACAATTTCCATTTCATGACACTTGATAATTATCCTTAAACTTTATATTCAATATTGCTTATCTCGGGTGACTGTCAAGGTCACTAGGCCTCTTGTTGTAATGAACACTCACCCAGTCACAAAGAAACCTAAAATCCCACAAAACAAGTAGACTTGACAGCGTCACATAATCAACACATTACACATGGGCAGAGGAACGTAACGTGCATGTATTCAATACATTTATACATCTGTTTCTTTGCTGCAGACTGGAGAAGCTGGAGCTTATAATGTTCGTAGTTGTCGAGACTCTGCATCTATCCCTTAGCCAGTTACAGAAACTTCATCACCTGGTCATCTGGCCCGACACATCCAGTCAGGTTTGTGTCTTTTGTTTAACAATAACTCTGGCTGATTGTCTGCAACATTTGCCAGGATCCTTTTGTTACGTGTAGGAATGTTTCAGACATATGCTGTTTTGTTGTGTTTATCAAAATTCTAAGTAAATTGTTAAACTGATATTGTTGTATTATTTTGTGTAATTTTATCCTTATTTTTGTTTCTGAAAGGAAACAGTCAACAGTGTATACAAAGTAGTCACTATGGAAAGACTTGTAATAGGTTGAAACTTAACATTGCAGGATTTAGATGAAGTTTGGTGTATGGATAAATTGTTAATGGGACACCACCACAACTTCAATCGGATCAATAATTCATAACTGTCTGGCTAGTTTTAGGGTCGTGCAACAATTAAATTTCCTTCACTGAGTGATTTTTTTGCATATCTCTGAGAGAAAAACATCTCTATGTATGCTAAGCTTTTTTTCGATGTTTGATGCATTAAATTGTTTATGTGATTGTTTTGTTGTAGCCAGCAGCATTGGTAAATTCTCATGTACTGGCAGTTGTTTCAAGACTGGCGAAACTCCGAACACTGGAATGGGGAATCATGGAAGATAAACCAGTGACATATGATCGCAATGACAATGCAGACTGTTCACAAATGTCACAAACAGAATGGATTCCTTTCCTTTCTGCAGGCTTACCAGCAGATGGAGCAGAAATCCCAGACGATGCTGTGCAATATATGAGTGTTCATCAGTTTACAGAGAAACTTGCCATTATTCATCCAACAACAGAAATTAAAGTGTTGAGTACAGAGTTGTTAAATACCCAACAGTTACCGAGGAATGAGGATAGCTAGCATTAGTTATATCAAGCAGAGGAGTGAGGATCTCAATACAATGCAGTCTGTTCAGAGAAAGTGCCACTGTTAGAGATATATTTAGGAAAAACTAATCATTTTCACAAAATCAGTCTAACAAGTCCAATGCATACATCTGTAGGAAATTGTCAAGAGAGACAAGTCAATGTATTAAAGTATTAAACTTTTTAGAAAACCAAATATTCAGTGACATAAATCCTGTTTTGAAAGTCCATTTTGTGTCATGATTTAAAATAGCATTTATTTTAAGAAATAACCTTTTAAAATAGTAAAATATTCCGTCATAGTTGAATGGTAATATCAAGGGAACCATGAGTATTGTAAAATGTGGAATAAGGAATGACTAAATATTTTGAAAGAGTTTTGTAGTGTGTATATGTGATTATGGTTGATTTGTTACATACACAATGGCATATGATTGGAGATATTTTGATGATAAAACATTTTATTTGTGTTATGAATAAAAAGACATGTGATTAGACGAACATTTGAAGAATTGAGTTGATAGTCTGTAGTCATGTTCTGTTTTCATGTGCTTTGAACAAAGGACAATAATTTTGAATTTTTAAGCACACGTCTGTCCAGTATGTAAGCTTGTATTTCACATTTTATAGAAGCATGCAAAGTAGCACTTGTTAATTTGCTATTGAGGGAAAGACTTGATGTTTATGAAGATATTTTTAACTTCAACATCAAACTCGTGATCAAATAGTGCTTTGTCCTTGTTTATCTGAATGTGTAAAGATTTATTTAATAAGTTTATTTTTGTTTGTAAGCTGGACTAGTTTTCGCAAACATTAAAAATCACTTATTTGTAAAAGAATTCTTTTTAGTCTTTATGATATGTACTAAAATGATTTTATCAGATGGTGGGCTCCCTACGATGCTTCATTTTGTGGTCTGTTTCTTCATTCCTTTAACAGTTCTTGGTATCGCTTTTTCTTGAGAATCAAAACCAAATTGTTCATTTATGTAAATTGAAATGCCAGTCAAAACCATGGAATTTTTCATGTCAATTTTTCAAAGATTAAACTCTGTCTTGATTTTTTTGTTGTTGTTTTTGTTGCAAATAGGTTTTCATTTTAATTTGGAGAATTGCAAATATGTAGCTAAATTTTATAAAGAAACATATAAAACTTAAAATATGACTGAAAGGTGAGCCATCATACTGATAAGAACAATATATAGTGATATCAAAGATACAAGTGTTAATGTTAAAAAAAAAATGGTGACATCATAGATAAGTAAAAAGGTAGAGCCCTGATGGCAGAAAATAAATCTTAGTATTCCATTAGCAATGAACCATGTATTAATGAACAGTTTATGTATGGTAATAGCACTACCAACCAAATATACTGAGGAGACGGAGGTCTGAGATGGTAATAAATTGAGGTTATTATAATAGGTTGTTGTTGTTGTCTCATTTACTATTTGAATCTACTTAACTCTATGATATCTTTAAAATGATTTATCCATTAAAACCCTCCTAACTCTTTTTCCGATCATTTCTAATGATGGTTGGCCTTGCAATACAAAGAATTCCCAACACAATGAAATCCACTCCTTCTCTTACCTACAAGTTATTACCTATTGTGTATGGAGTGTTAGTAGAATACTTAAGTATTCACCAAGAATTCCTCCACGGAGATACCTACCAACCAGCACCTACAGCTATAAATCTCTAAAAGTCAGCTATGAAATTTCTGATGAAACCTTATCACCCTCTGTTAGTAGCTAAATTTCTGTTAAAACCTTACCATAACTCTCTGTTAGTAATGAAATTTCTGTTGAGCCCATACTTTAACCCTCTGTTAGTAATTAGATTTCTGTTCAAACTTTACCATAACCCTCTGTTAGTAATAAAATTTCTGTTAAAACTATACTATAACCCTTTGTTGATAATAAAATTTCCGTTAAAACCATACTTTATCCCTCTGTTAGTAATTAAATTTCTGTTAAAACTATACTATAACCCTTTGTTAATAATAAAATTTCCATTAAAACCATACTTTAACCCTCTGTTAGTAGATTTTTGTTAAAATCTTGCTATAACCCTCTGTTAGTAATGAAATTTCTGTTTAAACTTTACCATAACCCTTTGTTAGTAAGGAAATTTCTGTTAAAATCTTGCTATAACCCTCTGTTAGTTATGAAATTTCTGGTAAACCCATACTATAGCCCTCTGATAGTAATTAAATTTCTGTTAAAGTCTTGCTTTAACTTTCTATAGTAATGAATTTTTAGCTCACATGGACTTAAGGACCAATGAGCTTATGCCATGAAGCGGTGTCCGTTGTCAATTTTTAATGAAATATTGCTACTGGTCATGAATGATGTAACAAATTTTGACCAAATTTCAGTAGATGCATCCCTGAAGAAAAAAACCAAGTATTGGTTCTTGGCCCAAGGGGCAGGGCCAAAAAGAGTGAAATTTTGCAAGATAATGCCCAACGTAATCTTAAGCTAAGGAAACAATCATGTACTTTGGTCCCTGCGGCAGAAGATTTTGGGCTTAATAGGGGTAAATCTTTAAAATCATCCTGTAGGAATGAGTGGATATTTGGCCTGAAACATTCTTTGGTGAAGGGAAGTCCGTCTAAATGTAAGGAATTGGAACCCCTTGGGCTGGAGGGGTGAAATTCAGGAATAAGAGCAAATTCCTTAAAATCCTATTTCAGCATTAGGACTGATTTTCTATATTGCTAAGAGTGTCCATCAGTGAATGGGAACAAAGCATATGTAAGGATTGGTTCTTAAAGGGGCAAATACAGGTAATTTTGCAAGTTCTTTAAAATCCTACTCCTCCTATAGGAATGAATAGATATTGCCCAAATTTGATTTGAAGCATTCTTGGGTGAATGGGAATCGGTTCTGTAGGAACAATAAGTGTTCATTGCCTGGCGAGGGAAGGGCAGGGCCCAGTACAGGGAAATAGAGCAAATTCTTTAAAATTCTATTACTCCTGTAGGAATGATTGGATTTTGTTTTGAAGTATTCTTCTTTGAAGGGGAATCAGTTCTGTGTACACAGTGCATCCCATCCCTCTAGAGAGGGTTGGGTGGGACAATGGGGGGTAAAGTGAATTCTTAAAAATTCTTTTTCCACACAAGGATAATAATAATATATAATTCTAACCTTACTGTAACTCTCTGATAGTTAGTAATGAAATTTCTGATGAAACCTAACTATAACTGTGACAAATTTTCTGTTAAAACTTTTCTATAACTCTCTGATAGTGATCAAATTTCAAAAACTTTGTGTAGGTCTTGAAAGGAGGGCTGCTAATTTTTGCCTTTCTGCAGCCAAACAGTGTTATTTTTTTTTTGTAGAAAGATTCCATAAGGTCAGCTCCATATAGTATGCTTCTTAACAAATCATATTTTGGGGGTTACCATGAAAACAAAAGTCAGCGTAATTTTATCATGTTTTTGTTGATTGTTGAATATGTATTTAGTTATTGAATATTTTATGTTTGTTTTTAAGATCTCAAATTCTAAGCATGAAGCAAAACAACTTAGCAATGATTTGATTATCAAGGTATCCATATGCATTATATGTGTGTGTTTAATGTCTGTTGGCAGAGTATAACCTCAAAAGAATGTCATTTTCACAGCTTACAGTTATCACAGAGCTTCCACATGGAAGGGCTCAGAGCAGATGAAGGAGGTTCTACATTGTAGATTGTATACATCATGTAAAGAGTATTTTGTTCACGTTTTTAAACCCAAACTATGATAATACATATATAAGTAATAAATTGTACAATTCTTTTATCAGGTTGTGTTTTTGTTTGTGGAATCTCTTATATCTTCAATGCACATTCTCACTGAAATCCTCACCAGGATTGAGACCATAGTGTAGAATATCGTCTTTGATCCAGGCCCAAGCCATCCTCTCTGTTGTGAAATATTTCCCTGGATTGCCACAGTTATTTAGTACAACCACACCTCCTGACCCCTGAACTCTCACTGCCATGAAAGACAAGGCTGTCTCTGAAGCAGTCTGTGGATCCATTCCTGGCAGAACATACATCTTGTCATTATACAGTGATCAGTAATTTGTATCAGAAATACAGCAAATAAACTCCTGAATTTCATTTCAAAACATAACTGAGTAATTTATTAGCTCAGCTGGCCCGAATGTCCAAGTGAGCTTATGCCATGGTGCTGCATTCCATTTGAATGACTTCTTCTCAATACGCAGGAGTCCCAATGTAATGATGTTAGGTTTCTTGGGCAGAGCCTTGACCTACACTTGATGCCACAAGGATCAAATTTCTTGAAATAAGCTTTACCCATATTCAAAGACACATAGGTCAGATTTGTTTAAACATTTGAATTATTTCTTCTGATTAACCAAAATAACTAGATACATGAAATTTGACTGATAGTTTGATAGGACAACATCTGGCGAAGTTTGCAAAAAGAAATGACCTTGACCTATACTCGAAGTCACATGGGTCAAATTTGTTAAGTATTTACCGGTAAATGAATTTTCGAATTAACCAAAAGGCCATCAGATATGACATTGGACTGATAGAATGACTCTAGTTTGTTGACTTTTATATATATTGCATATTGCAACTATTCATGAACAACTAAAGGGATTTTAATCAAACCATGGTCCATGGGGAAAGAGGAGCCAATTTTGTATAAATGGTGGGTCTTGGCCCTGGGGTTGGAAGGGTGGGGCTCAATAGGGAAATTCTATCAAATTCTTTAAATTCTATTTTGTTCTTTAGGAATTGCAGGATATTGTCCAAATTTGGTCTGAAACATGCTTAGGTGAAGAAAAAAATCAGTTTTGCATAAAGTGTGGATCTGGTTCTCCAGGGCCTGATTGGTTGGGTCCAATAGGCAAAAATCTATCAATTCTCTAAAATCTATCTTGTATTTTAGGAATTGCAGGATAATGCTTATGTAACACAGGTCATTATTTATTTCAATGCCTCTGCTTGGAATCGAACCCGGGACCCCTGGCTTACTAGTCTCACACTCAACCATTTGAGCTAAAGAGAAGTTCTCTCTAGCCGAGTGGTATATTGCGGCTAGTATTATACCAGGGTTACATACTCTCCCTCCAGGAAATAACTCGTCCTCATGGGGCATGGCTAAGTACTATTCCCAGGTCCCTACATAGACGCCAATGTAACAGAGGTCATTATTTTACCAGGGTTACACTTAGATGAAGGAAAATCAGTTTCGTACAAAGCATGGGTCTGGTTCCCCCAAACAGGTGTTTTAAATACTTTTCAGTTTCAGCAAACTAAAAGGGTCTTATGCCTAACGTCTCCTTTTGGAGCCTCATCCCTAAGTCCCTAGAGATTAAATCAACTTTCTGAGTTTAAGAAATAATTGCCTCCCTCTACTGATGTTTCAGACAAAATTTGAATGAAATTCCTTCAGCCATTAAGAAAGAGTGGCATCCTGACCCTTCAGGTCAGATGACCTAAAAATGAAAGAATAAGACATACATCCTATTGCTTACAATGGAGGGTTACTTCTCAGTGTCATGTGACTTCAAAATTGTGTCCTATGTCCTTAAAGTTTCATGGAGCAAAATTTTCATTTATTGTTTTATATCAAACATTAATATCTACAGTGATGACATATCATCATGGTAATTTAATGCTCCTTTCCAGCACAGCAATTGAGTTACAGCTGTAAACTCACCTCTCTCCATTAGATGGTTGATATGGCTGGCCAGACACACTTTAGCTATAGACTCGCCATGGCCAGTGGTAGACACTCCTCCCGTCATATTGTCAGCATACCCACCAGCACCTGTAACAAATTCCTTTAGTATTGATGGAAGTGGAAAAGGAGAATCAAGAATAAAAAAAATCTACAGAACGATAATGTGTAAAAAAAAAAAAAAAAAATCAACTGTTCAGCTATAACAGACTTCAATTGACATAAAATGATATTTTGTAATTTGGAAATTTCGACAGTAATTAATTATAATGAATCCTCAACATCAACGTTTAAGTATACATACATGTACCTGCAAAGCAAAAGAAAAATGAGAAATTGTATGCCATGCAATATCTGTTTATATTGTTATTCTTATCTCAGCAATTTAGCACATCTATCCAGAAATAGGAAATCTTTTTCATTTAACAATTTTCCTCGTTACTGGTTCATTTGAAGATACACAGACATAGTTATGGTAATGCCAGAATGGCAGGAATAGACACTGCCTTGCAGTTTATATCGTAGATTATATTTATGTGGGGCTCATATTGTTTCACGGAACCATAATACACATCGATTTAAAATTCCGTCCATCTTCCCGTCTCTCCGCCGTTATTGTTTTTCGCCCTTTCAATTGAATTCATCCTTTTTCCTATCCTTCAATCTTTAATATTTCTTTGTCATAGAATGGAGGTATGTTTCTTCGCCCTGTGGCATGCTTTTTTCTCCCTGTTTTAGCAGGATTCCCTACAACTTTTCAGTATAAATTCAAAATTGTGTTCCTCACTAATCTATGTAGATTTCTGCCCTTTTATTGATGTTCAGCTCCATATCCTTTTTAAACTAAACGAAACTTAGTTACAGTTTCAGCCTTTTTTCACAGCCTTTAGAACTAACTAGTTACTGCTAATCCTAGCTTTCTGATTGGTGGTTGGTTGGTTGGGTTGGTTGACAGATCAGTCTCCGCGACTGAATAATAGACAGTTGTGATAATTTTGTAAAAGATAATTTTGAAGTCTAGTCTGTCAAATTCCTTTAAAAAAATATGACTTAACACTATCCCTAAACCCCTCGATCAGCGTTATCATGTCTGCTCTTTTTCGAAAAGCCATCGACAGATCTTTAGCGTACGAGTGTCGACAGCCCTCTCATGACGCCATCTTTGAAAGTCCCGTCAGCCAGACTATGGTTAGTACTTTGGTTAAATCGCATTCTGATCTCCCAGAGTTAATGCCCTTCAATTCACTCTGTCAGATTGTTTGATTGGTGCAGGTGCAGTAATAATTAATTTTTTTTGTTTTTATAACCCATTTATCTGCAGCTGCATACATCTGTTCACTATTCCGACTTTGATACCACTAACTAACTTTATACACACCAATGATGACACTGGTCCACTCTTTGGGATGTTTGACTGTGATGCTAACAAAGAAATAACGTTATACACATCAATGATCGGACTGTCTCCAACCCTACCAGGACGTTTGGCTGTGACGCTAACAAAGAGATAACGTTATACACACCAATGATGGGTCTGTCTCCAACCCTACCAGGACGTTTGGCTGTGATGCTAACAAAGAAATAACTTTATACACACCAATGATGGGTCTGTCTCCAACCCTACCAGGACGTTTGGCTGTGATGCTAACAAAGAAATAACTTTATACACACCAATGATGGGTCTGTCTCCAACCCTACCAGGACGTTTGGCTGTGATGCTAACAAAGAAATAACTTTATACACACCAATGATGGGACTGTCTCCAACCCTACCAGGAACCAGGAAGTTTGGCTGTGATGCTAACAAAGAAATAACGTTATACACACCAATGATGGGACTGTCACCAACCCTACCAGGACGTTTGGCTGTGATGCTAACAAAGAAATAACTTTATACACACCAATGATGGGACTGTCTCCAACCCTACCAGGAACCAGGAAGTTTGGCTGTGATGCTAACAAAGAAATAACGTTATACACACCAATGATGGGACTGTCACCAACCCTACCAGGACGTTTAGATGTGATGCTAACAAAGACATAACTTTATACACACCAATGATGGGTCTGTCTCCAACCCTACCAGGACGTTTGGCTGTGATGCTAACAAAGACATAACTTTATACACACCAATGATGGGACTGTCACCAACCCTACCAGGACGTTTAGATGTGATGCTAACAAAGACATAACTTTATACACACCAATGATGGGACTGTCTCCAACCCTAACAGGACGTTTGGCTGTGATGCTAACAAAGACATAACTTTATACACACCAATGATGGGTCTGTCTCCAACCCTACCAGGACGTTTGGCTGTGATGCTAACAAAGACATAACTTTATACACACCAATGATGGGACTGTCACCAACCCTACCAGGACGTTTAGATGTGATGCTAACAAAGACATAACTTTATACACACCAATGATGGGACTGTCTCCAACCCTACCAGGACGTTTGGCTGTGATGCTAACAAAGACATAACTTTATACACACCAATGATGGGACTGTCACCAACCCTACCAGGACGTTTGGCTGTGATGCTAACAAAGACATAACTTTATACACACCAATGATGGGACTGTCTCCAACCCTACCAGGACGTTTGGCTGTGATGCCACCAGTAGATGTTCCAAAAGCAATGTTTCCTTGTGTGTCTAGTGCCACAACTCCAACAGTGTCATGACCCTGGTTGACATGGTCAGTCTTCCTGTAATAGATATTGCACAATCAACAGTTCAGGTATACCTCCAGTACAACCTGTCGTCTCCTGTCTCTATACATATACCAAGGTTGCTTAAGGCAAAGGCCTGTCCAGTCGAAAATGCATAATTGCAGGATTATGAAAGAGCACGTGTTCAATAATTTCATTCAACTGCACGAGCTTGTAACGTGACACGGGCTTGAAGCAATTGAATCGATCACACTGGCCTGCACCTTATCTAGTCTATATATCGTCTGCTCTATACTTGAATGCTTGATATTTACCTTATTTGGTATGTACCTTGTCTGGTTCGTACCTTGCCTAGTCTATATATATCCAGGTCTATACCCTCTTTGCTCTGTTCCTTGCCCGCTTTATACTCGTTTGTTCTATAACTAGCAAGGCCTTTACCTTGTTTTGCCTGTACCTTCTCTTGGCTTTACCTTTTAAGATGTGTACCTTGCCGGGTCTGTATCCTGTTTTTCTATACATTGTCTGGACTATACCTTTCCTGATCTGTCCCTTGCCTGGTTAAAGCCTTGTTTGATCTATACCTTGCTAGATCTATACCCTGTTTCGTCTTTACCTTGCATGTTTAAAACCTTTCCTGATATGCACCTTGACTGGTCTACACCTTGTTTGGTATAACTTTGCCATGTCTATACCTTTCCTGCTTTATACTTTGCCTTGTCTATACCTTTTGTGGTTTATACCTTGCTTAGTTCATATATTGCCTTGTTTTAACCTTGTTTGGTGTATACCTGTCCTGATCTGTACCTGCCTGGTCTTGTTTGGTGTATACCTGTCCTGATCTGTACCTTGCCTGGTCTTGTTTGGTGTATACCTGTCCTGATCTGTACCTTGCCTGGTCTTGTTTGGTGTATACCTTACCAGATCTATGGCATCATTGGTTTATATCTTTCTTGTTCTATACCTTGCCTAGTCCAAGATACCTTGTCCGCTCTATATCTCGCCTAGTCTATAATTTACTGGTGGATACCTTTGACTAAAAAGTGTCGTGACTGTTGTACGGAACTTCATCAATTCTTCCCATTCTTTCCGAGCTGTTTTTGTCACCAGCTGGTCTGTTGGCAAAACTACAGCACCAACTTCCTGTGCAAACCTATTGGCTCCTTTTCCTACAATTAGGGTGTGGTCAGTCTAAAGGATATAAAAGTAAGTATTTCCTTGGTCAACAGGGATCATTAATGCATATTAGAGGAAGTTCCTTTTATCTGTACATTAACAGTATGTGTTAAACCCAATTAATTGGTATTGGTTTACTCTTTTTCAGCTGAAAAATAACCTTTCCTTCGATTGAAAAAAGTTTTACTTTCTCAAATTCTAGAATAAATAAAAAAATATTTTATAATGCATATAATTGTTTTCCTCAGTTCATGCATTCAGTACTTGCTGAAGTAGATTGATAAAAAAAAAACTCAATACTGGGGCAAAGTTTTATCTGCTTTTAATGGCCTTACGATCTTCAGTTATTGCCAAATTAAGTAAAAATTATTAATCTGATATGATGTAAAGAAGAATTACACCCTCCTTGTCATTTAGGGGAAACGACAGTTCTCATTAACATGTAGTTATCACTCCCTTTGATCCCGAGATGGTTGTGTTATATCGGGCCACGGTCAAGTTTAACACTTTAGACCTTGGGATGAGGTCTGATTTCAAATTTCTTCAAATTCCTTTGGCCATACATTGTATATAAATATTAGCTGATAGTAATTTCTCATTTCATGTATTGGTGACAACAATGCCTAATACTGCCATTGTGGGTATTGCCATCAATTTCATGAGTCTTAGACTAGAATTGCATGGGTATGTTTAAAATGGTTTCTTGTTGGGCTTAGTGGAGGCAGGTACTAGACTCTAGGAAGAGATAACAGACTGTCTGGAGACTATGCTTCCCTTAGGTGGATTCTTGGTGATCGTTCACAATCAAGTTCAGACACGTGTGATTGAGGTTAATGGATTTTGAACAGTTCGTTGTTATAAAACAAGGAAGAGTGTTGTGAATGTAGTTGACATTCTGACATTTCTAAGTTAAATAGGACAACAGAACCAACACAATGTCATAACGGTTTATGCCACTTTTCAGTATTTGTCAACTTACCCAAAATGTGGCATGCAACAGTGCATATCGGTATCCAGTGTAACCTATAGCTATGCTAAGCTGGCTACTTTACAGCCGTGTTTCATTTTGTTATTGACCATGGATTACACATTTACACGTGTTCGTATTTATCTCACCTCTTCCAAAGGATCGGTGAGCTTATGCCATGGCGACGTTTGTCGCCCGTCGCCCGTCCACGTTTTCTTAATAATCGTTACGAACGACTGAACAGATTTTTACCAAGTTTGGGCAGAAGCATCCATTGCAGAAAGGGAACCAAGTTTGTATAAATATGGCATGAGGGCCCAAATTCGAAAAAATTACAATAAATGGGTGTTGACCAAATTAAGTTTAAAGCATTATTGGACGAAGTGGAATCAATCTTGACTTAATGTAATCTCTTAAAAATCGTTCTTCCTTGCAAGGATATTGTCCAACTTGTCACGTGGTCCCCCATTTGGGGAAATAGAGCAAATTCCATAAAAGTCTACTCCTCTTGGAGGAATGAATGGATATTTCCCACATTTAGTCTGAAGCATTGCTGGGTAAAGGGGAATCAATTGTGTATAAAATGTGCGTCTCGGCCCCAAAGGGCTTGAGGGGCGAGTCTCAATATCGCAGATAGAACACATTCTTCAAAATCCTACTCCTCCTGTATAAGTGATTGGATTTTCTCATATTTGATCGGCAGCATAATTGGGTGATAAGGAATCACTTTGTATGAATCTTAGGTCTCGGTCACCTTGGGCGGGAGGGGTGGGGCCCATTTGGGGAAAACGTTATTGATAATCCTTCTTCCGTACAGTGATAATGTCAAAGTCTGGTCTGATTCAATTTTCACGACTAGTGAAACTGATTTCTGATTGACCACAAGGCAGAAACCCAATTAGGAAATTATTACAGAAATCATTTGTCATATTTAAAAATTGTTAAATGGCTGAATAGTCAAATTGTTTATTCTGAATTATCACAAGATTATTGCTAGAAAATGTTTACAGGAGGTATTGGTGTGTCTCTTGTACATGTTTTACAAATAAATATCTCCTCTTGTATTTTCTAACAAAGTTTTAGAAATTTTATTCGACATTTTTTATTAATCATTGACCTTGATTTTGTTTCTCCTATTTTTGTCATGTCTGGAAAACTCAGTTTTTTACTAATCCCATTGAAATTTATATCACAGTGAGCTTATTTCCTTTTCATTGAGTGTTATTTTGATTGAAGTTAAGCTTTGTAGAGTTATTGCCCTTAATCATTTAATAGTTGTATTTTGAACTTGTTCTCATATAAAGTTGGTAAGTTTCGTTATGCTTACATGTAAGAACTATTAAATATTGATATGAATTTTGATAAATAATAGCGATTTCCTTTAGAAGGAGGAGGGCATATGTCATGTTTCCTAGCAGTACAATCTTTATCTATATCTCTATAAACTCCGAGGAGATGTATGGACAGTGAATAAACATCTTAACCAAGCTACAAATGTACATAAGTAAATCTGCTCACTGACTTTTTCCATGACTGCTCTGGCCAGAGATATAGGATTCTTGATGTTCTGGACACATGCCACGGCTCCAGACTTTAGGTTACTCCCATTCATGATCACTGCATCCATCTCTACCTCTCCGTCAGCATTTAAAACTGACCCAACCCCTGTGGAAAGCAATTTTAAAATGTAAAAAAACAGAATCCAGATGTGTTTTTCTCTTAGAAACGTGTCATTATACAAGGTCAAAGATTTGACATCCATGATACCTGCATCAAAGACTGGGTCATCTTCCATACTCATGATGGCTACTTCTACTGCATCCACAGCTGACCTTCCAATCCGCAGGACATCATACCCAGCCTTGGCAGCTACTTGTACCCCCCGCACACTGCCATCAGCCAGAGAATCTGGAATAGCCCAGGCACCCCCATGTACTATAATTATTGGCTCTAATGACATGCTGGTGCTGGTTCCTTTTTCACTATGTCTGGGATGTTTTGTCTGTAAATAGAAATTTGGAGTACTTTATTTCATGTAAATAAATTATCAGACGTTCTTTTCTTGCCCATCATGCATAGCATATATAAAATGTAAAGATTTGTAAACAGTGATATGACAGAGCCAGAATTTTCAGCCATACACATAGATCACAAGTATGGACATACTGTGAACATACCTAATTTAGAGCAATTAAATTTTAGCACATCGACACCTTTTGGTAATTTAGTTTAGGTGTCTGCGACCCTGAGATGTTGATGTCTACATGGACATGTTAATAGCAATATGGTTGCTTGTTTCCCTTGGAAGGGAGATCAGACTGCTGTTTGTATGGAGCGTATGCTTCACTTTGGTCATCCTTTGCAATGGTGGAAATGTGTATTCGTAATAATTGCTATATAGATCAGTGACAATTTTCATGTATTTTGTGTGTTTATCGTATGTATGGACGTATATCAAATGTGAAGATATGCAGACAGTAATATGATATAGAAAGGATTTTAGGTGTTTGTGTGTATTTATCGTATGTATGGACGTATATAAAATGTAAAGATATGCTGACAGTAATATGATATAGAAAGGATTTTAGGTGTTTGTGTGTATTTATCGTATGTATGGACGTATATAAAATGTAAAGATATGCAGACAGTAATATGATATAGAAAGGATTTTAGGTGTTTGTGTGTATTTATCGTATGCATGGGCGTATATAAAATGTAAAGATATGCAGACAGTAATATGATATAGAAAGGATTTTAGGTGTTTGTGTGTTTATCATGTATGGAATATAAAATGTTAAGATATGCAGACAGTAATATTATACAGAAAGGATTTTAGGTGTTTGTGTGTTTATCGTATGTATGGACGTATATAAAATGTTAAGATATGCAGACAGTAATATGATATAGAAAGGATTTTAGGTGTTTGTGTGTTTATCGTATGTATGGACGTATATAAAATGTTAAGATATGCAGACAGTGATATTATACAGAAAGTATTTTAAGTGTTTTTGTTGATAAATTGTATGTATGCATGGATGTACAAGAAATGTAGGGAAAACGATAGGATAGAGTCTGAATCTTCAAATAGGTCACATGTTACTTACCTCCTTTTGGTCGATCTGCTACATGTATCTTCAATAGCTGAAGAACATCAGCTGATTAAATAGCAAGTAATGATTTGGTCATTTATACACAAGGGATACTTCTATAGGTGTAAAGGTAACTGATAACACCTGGTCAGGTCTAGTCAGTACTCAGGTGTACATATATATAAAGATAAGTCAAGTGTACCTGTTGTCTGTATAAAAAATGCACACATTTGAAAGTTATCTATGAACGATTGATAATAAATTGATTCTGATTGCTAATCATCTTTCTTTATCATTTGAATATATAGAGCTTTGATTCTTAACATACATCTATAACGTTGCAAAACTTATTGATAGTTAACAGTGTGTTGACTAAACAAGAGGCTCGTGGGCCTTAATGGCTATCTGACTATCAAGAGGAGAAAAATGCCTAAACTACTCAATTACACTACAGCTTAAAACATGTTTATAAAAACATTTTCTACAAACATGAAATCCTTTTCCTCATACATGCAACTACAAAATTTTGTGACTCTGGACCTATTGCTTGTTGAGTAAGAAATTGTATGATCTCAACTCATTTGACCTAGTGACCTTGAAAGTGAATCGAGATAATTTATTTCAACAAAATCGAGAAGTCGTTTTAAGACTGCAACATGTTTGACCCCCTGTGGTCATGAAATAGATTAAGGTAATTCAATTTAACAGATTTGGAAATGCTTCATCCCAGCACGCAACAAGCCCAACATTAGCACCATGAATATTTTGGTTATTGAGAAGTCATTTAAAGATTTCGACACATTTGAAAATTGTGACCTTGTAAGTGGATCAATATCAATCACGTGAACAAACCTGGTAGCTCTTTAACCCTGCATGCTAAATATCAGACGTTTAACTACATTTATTGATACTTGTAACCTTGGAAGCAGGTAAAAGTCTTCAACTTTAACAACTTTAGTAACACTTAATCCAATGCTACCAGCCCAATGTCGGCACCCTGGACATTTTTGGTTATTAAAAAGAAGTCGTTTAACACATTCCACCCCTGCGATCTTAAAAGTGTGTCAAGGTCATTCACCTTAACAAACTTGGTAGCACTTCATCCCATCATGTCACAGGACACATATGAGAAACCTGAGATTTTTGTTTATTTTAATGAAAAGTTCACGCGCGGCGGACGGTGACGGACGAAACACGATGGTTATAGATTATTCTGGCCCTTCGATTCAATAACCGTGAAGAAAATTAATTTATATGTAATGATGTGGAATTCAAACATTAGAACATATTATGTAAAAAAGGCAATGCCTTTCAAAAAGTGTAACATTTGGTAACGTGTGCATGGGCATAAACGGACCACTCAATAACCAAGTACTATTTTCTGTTAGAGCTACCTCCCTTATACAAATAGTGCTGTGATGCGACCGGTTTCAAACTTTTATCTTATTACGCGGTAATACAACTACATTCAGTAATACAAGAACATATTTTTACGTGATTTAAAGAAAAATGTTTGACTAGTGTATACTTTGCAAGATGCATTCTGATATGGACTTAAATCCGGAGGAACAATTTAAAACGTACTTTCCTCAGTCTCGTGAGAATGAAACAAGATGTACAGTTCTACATATTGATTTGATACCTAATGATTTAATGAAGTTGAAATCTAAGACATATTTTACTGTGGTTTCTCCATTTGCTTCGAAATTATTTCTCGGATCATCAAATAATGAAGGTAGCACATATGAGAAGGGAGGTAATTAGGTAAAATCTTTTATTTTCAGCCCACGCGGCCCAACAGGCTAAATCATCGCCCGCCACGCCCGTCCGTCCGCTCAACAGATCATTTGTCATGGAATTTAGCTGGTGGGTTGCTGGATAACAGCTCGAAAAAAAATTGTGAAAATAAATAACATTTACCCTAATTTAGTAAAAACGAGTCGACTTTGTTTAAAGTTTTAAGCAATTTCTTATGAGTAAGCAGGAGTGTAGTATTTGACTGACAGGTTCATAGGATCAGGGATGTATTATACGTCCCTGATAGGATGAAGCCTGAAAAAGTTTGCGTAATAAAATGACGTTGACCCTTATTCCTGGTCGCAGGGGTCAAATTTGTTAAACCATTAAACGACTTCTTTATAAGCACGATTTTGGCTGTTATTCTCTGGGTAGAAGCCCGACACAGTTTGAAAAATGAAATGACCTGAGAGCATATTCTAGGTCATAGTGGTCAAACATCTTCTGCCAAAAAAAGTCCGAGAATCAGGATAAAAAAACCTTTACCTATAATCCAGGTCAAAACTGTCAATGTTCAGAAACTGTTTGTAGAGGAAACTGGTTAAAATTGATTGGATGTGCCCACTTCAAATACGTTTTGATCTATTTGTTACCTATTCTAGTTATTATGTACAATGCGAATCGGGAAAGGTGGCAGGTATGCAAATATCAACATGAAACTTCATAAATAGGTGTTATGTTATCTGATCTATGATGCTGCTAACCACATTTATTGTCTTTAAATAAATTTTCTGAAGAGTCTTTACAACTAATTGCAGACTTTCTTATAGAAGCTAAGGGGAGATGTCAATGATCCCTTAATGCTGTGCGTTCTGCCATACTGGCCCACCTCGGAGAATCCTCTGCAAACATGCGCAATGCTTGTGATTGACGAAAATCTCAGTCCGAATATTTTCATGACCACTGTCAATTTTGGTAATTTTTCAGTACAATACCTGAGTGTCTTTTAGAGAGAGAATGCATGTGTGGCATTGTTTTGAAAGATGGCGGCATTGTTTATAGCATACGACTGCGACTTGGGGTTACTAATAAAACGTTGGAATGTTTCCACCAATCAGAAACGTAGGATTGATAGTAACAGCTACTTCAAATGGCCATGAAAATCGGCTGAAACCGTAACTGTTTAACCTAAAAACGTGTTGGACCTCCTCCACTAGTAAACATCTCACCATAAACAAGTGGCTTCTGTGCCTTGACGGCCATCTGACTAAAGACCTATACATGTAAGAGGCAAAATAGGCCTGAATTGCTCAACTAGTCCTATTCCGCATACATGCTGCTACACAAATACAATGACTCTGGACATATTGCTTACTGAAAAAGAAATTTTCTATCTAAACTCATTTGACCCATGTCAAACGGCCAAAGGTCATTTAAACACATTTGGTAACCATTCATTCCAGCATGCTACAGACCCATTATCAGCATCCTGGCACTTTTGGTTATTGATAAGAAGTCGTTTAAATTTCTCAACACAATTGACCCCTGTGGCCTTGAAAGTGGGTCAAGGTCATTCATATTAACAAACATTGTAGCTCTTTATCCCTGCATACTACAAACCCAATACAAGTGCCCTGGGCCTTTTGGTTATCAAGAAGTAGTTTAGATATTTCAACACATTTGATCCCTTTGACCTTGAAAGTAGGTCAAGGTCATTCATATTAGCAATCTTAGTAGCCCTTCATCCAATCATGCCACTGGCCAAATATCACTTTGGCCGTTTGGTTATTGAGAAGAAGTTGTTTCAAACTTTTTACACATTTGTCCCCTATGACCTTGAAAATGGGTCAAGGTCAATAATATGAACATTATAGGTAGTCCTTCATCCTTGCATGCTACAGGCTCAATATCAGCACCCTGGGTCTTTTGGTTATTTAGAAGGAATGGAATGGAAAGTTTACACACCATGGACAGCACAAAAAGATGGACGAAACACCGTGGTTAAAGGTCATCTGACCCAAAGGGTTTCTACTTCTTCTAAATACCAAAATATGGTAGAATCAAATATTCTTTATGGATGGAAGGGTATTAAGTTCCTTTTCTTCGGCTCTCCCAAAGGGGCTGATAAGTGTAGCCAAGAAAGATCAAATTGACTGAAATTTCAAAACCCTCCTCTACCCTGATATTGTAGAATCAAATAATATTCATGGATGAGATGGATCTGGGAGTAAAACTTCTGTCACTGTACAAATAGCATTTCTCATCTTCTCTTCTCATTCCCATGGTTTCCATTTCTGAGTTCACTCAGGTGACCGTTTAGGCTCCTGGGCCCCTTGTTAGAACTCAAATCAAACCACTAGGGTAAAGTATTAACAAAATTTTTCAGAAATGTTTCGTTTCAACCAATTTCTATCTTCATACCCTGATATGGTTGTCTTTCACACATTTTTTCAAAAACCTTTTGAGGACACAAGTTTTTATGTACAGGTCATCCTACTAGTGTTTGCAATGAGCATAAGAAGTTGCTGGTTCAAGGCCCAACAAGGGCAACACAAGGTGAACAGGAATCAAATCCAGGTCTCTGGCTTGATAATCTATTGCTCTACCAAAGAAGCATGCTCCACTATCTGAGTGAAAGGGACCATTTTCTCCACTACAGATGAAAAAGAAAAAAGGCTGCATTTCAGTCATTTATTTTTCAGTACAAATTATATATAACTATATATGGAGTGTCAAAAAGGCTAAAACAATTCACTTGTTTCTATGGAAAGCCACCCTGACCCAATCCTTTCACACATTTTAACAAGTCTACTTACGGTCTCGTAATTCTAACATGAGATCCTAGAGGGATCTTGGTGCCCCCCATTGTTTGATCTTTGTTTTTGCTCTTAATGATATGACATTTGCACATTCCTTTTCAAAATTTTGCAATGATAATCTTTACCTGTCAAATCCAAGATGGATACCTGAAAGCCATTTAGTTTTTTCCTGATCAGTCCCAAAATCCATCAGGCAGATCAAGGGACCAAGGGGAACCTACATATGAAATTTAAGAAAATTCCATCCAGGAATTCTCCAGAAATAATGATAACAAATATTGTTTACAGATGGATAGACGGACAGATGGACCACAGACCACAGGGGTAGGGTGATTTGAATAGCCTACCATCTGATGATAGTGGGCTAAAAAGTATAATTTAAAAAAACCATCCAAGTACCAAATATTATAGGGCACTAATGGGAAACCAGAGGAATCTTTATTTGGAGTTTGAGGAAGTCCCATTTAGTGCTCCTCAGCAAACATCAATAAAAGACTTTAAGGACAGGTGATGAACAGGTATAGACGAATTTAAACCGTCCATGATGGTGAACTAAATAAGGATTTACATCATAATATAGGTTGGTAAGTCAAAAGTGATTAGAAATGAAATGTTACATAATTCATTGGTAAGTAATATTCAGTTTTCAGTATTAGCAAAAATCCTTGTAATTAATGTAAGTATTATAGACATGAAGTTGAACACAGCATCAATGTGGACTTCTTTGTCGTGAGACCTACTGAAAAATGGTTTGTTTTCCATCAGAACTGGACAAATGCTTTCAAATTCGCTGCCACAGAGCTTCAGAGAGATAAAATTCCATGTCATCCCACCTTGACTGGGATTAGATACCATCTCCATGTCACTGCTGGTTTTAATGTTTCTGGTGATAATCTCAGTGAGCCATATCATCAATAGAAAATGAGATCTAAAACCATTAATATCATTCAGCTTAATATTTTCTGTTTCTTTTCCACAGGTCCATTTAATGAAGCATCACCACTCCGGTCATCTTCATCTTCCTCTTCGTCTTCATCGTCTTCTTCCTCTGAAAATTATATCATAAAGTAATACAAATGCTCTGACTTAATCAATTTTAGCTTATTGAATTGAATTCATTAAATAAAATGGAATTTTAACATACAAGAGGCCCATCAGCCACAACTCTGATCTGATTAATCTCAACCGAACTTAAACTGCAAAGAGCTATAATTTTATAATCTATATAAAATCTGTCCTTATTGTTACATTCATACGAGATCTTGTTAAGATAAGGCTGCATACCAAGTTTCATCGAAATCTGTCCATAGTAGACGTTACATCTATATAAAATTCGTTCCCCTTCACTCAAGAATGCTATAGACCAAATTTGAGCAATATCAATTCATTCCTACAGGAGGAGTTGGAATTTAAAGAATTTACTTATTTTAACATATTGGGCCCCACTCCTCCTACCCCAGGGGGCCGAGACCTTGCATCTATATAAAATTGATTCCCCTTCACCTAAGAATATGTGTCCTAGGCTCGGTTATAACGGGAACAAGGACGTTAAGCTAAAAAAAAAAACCCAAAAAACCCTAAGAATATTTAGGACCAAACAGGAGGAGTAGGATTTTAAAGAATTTACTCTATTTCTCCTATTGGGCTCAACCATTCATGTCCCAAAGGGACAGAACCCACCACTTATACAAAAATTATTTCTCTTCCCAAACAATGCTTTAAACTAAATTTGGGCAAAATCCAATCATTCCTACAGGAGTAGTAGAATTTTTTAGAGAATTTGCTTTATTACCCTTATTGGGCCCCGCCCCTTCCATCCCTCCCGCTCCAGGTGGCCCAAGACCCACTGTTTATACAAAATTGATTCCCTTTCAACACTTCTTGGTATCGGACTCGGTATTCCTTTTAGGAATCCACCATAGGGAGACTGTCGAACTTTCCGAACTGGAGCACCGGACATTGGATATCATTTTCTTAATTAACAATTAAGTTTCTCATTGTAAAATTCTTTGACAAAATAGTTATTTTGACATTCATATTTGGGAATGTGTCTTATCAAATACATATATATAGTTTATTATAAAAACACACGCGTACACACACAAGTTCCCTCACAAAATATACTGTACCATTTTCAGAGTACAAAATGCATGGCCAGATCTTGAATTTGCATCCTAATACAGATAAGTTAACTTTCGGGATTTCAGGAAATTATATTCTAAAGGCTTATAACGAAGTAACTCTCCTTATTGTAATTATGCAATTGGAAAATCGTGTTTAAAGCATGTTTACCTTCTCCAACAGTTCCATTTGATTTTGCATTAAAAGCCTTTTCTTCTTCAACGATGGTTGTTAAAAATTCATTTGATTCTTGTTGTACAGAACACAGAGCTTCGTGTAATGTCCCAAAGTCGACATTGCCACTTGAAGCGCAACATTGTTTCACGAATTCAACTTGCTGACCATTTCTTAGACACAAAGAAAGCTTTACTTCGTTGCTTGTTGTTGACATTTCCATTATACACATTACCGGACCATCAGCTACCTAAAAAGGTGGTGGTGAAATTGTGTACGCCGTACCCGACCCCGAAACAATTTCAAGGACTATAAGAGATAATGAATAAATCGAGAATAAAAAATCTAAAAAAATATTGAATTTTCTAACTAAATTCACTCAAATATTTTTAAAATGTGACACTTTGAATTAATAAATTTCGTTTCCTAGATTTTCTGAAATCGGCGATTTTTTTACAGAGTAAAAACTTCATAGGTCTCACTCAAACGATCAATTTTCCGATTTTTGCAGATCGCAACTAATTTACGGTCTGATTTCTTTTTTTCCTTAATATCCGAATAATGAAATACGTACATTTCATCCAGAAAAGAAGTGTAATTCATATCTAATTTTGCCTTTCGAAATTAATCTTCGGAGCTGGAAACACCTTAAAATCTAACAATTAACATATATATGTGGTGAATCCATTTTTATCGGTAACTACAAGTTACCTTATATTGTTAAATATAATCATATGATACCACACAATAATTTACATATTTAAAAACAACGGATGAATAAATATAGGCTAAAAAGCGGTTACACAGGTTGATATGATTTTGGAATATCAAAAGACATTTCATTGTTTTTCTTGTTTTGAGTAAGCATATGCCGCCCCCCCCCCCCCCCCCCCCCCAGCCTTAGAAGATTCTTTAAAGTAACTTTTAAATATAATTTTTAGTAGCTGTTTTGTTTGATTGCATAATTGTCACAGGAAATGATGTGTGCTTTCAATTAATCCGCAGGTACATGGTGGACTGTCCTCTAAATTCCTTATATATAAGGGCTGTTTCAGATTACTGCGTTAATTAATCGTGTATGTTTTGAAGATGTCTACTGTAAGTGTTACTACTTAGGAATTATTACTTTGTCTTTTTGTTTAAAAAAACCAAGTTATTATCAATAATGATAATAATCATTCTGACAGCCGGATTTTCAAGTATGTTTACAGGTTACCATTCCATTATCATATTGATTATATGTTTTTGTGTTGAATAAAAATACAATCACCATACATGTTTTACATGAATGTCATGGCTTTCACTCCCACTGGTTGTCGCTTTCCTACCTCCGACTGAACACGTATGCACCCATTGGGTAATCACACTCTTACAATTGAGGTGACTTGATCACCTTTACCTTGACCACCTGACCGTCATACAAATCTATAACAATCAGTTGCAGCTCTGATTTCATGATACCTTTCTACACTATAGACACCAAGGTTCTTTTCTTTCATCTGTGAACCGTTTCACTCTTTGTACTGCTAAACTTTTGAACAGAAAACACATAAGTCTATAGACGGCTTTCATTTCCCTCCAAGTGCAGCTTTTGGTTGACTCTGTCTCCAACCATAGCCCTTGGGAGACCCTACCATAGGATTCCTCCGTACCCAGAACTACTTGCATCCGAGTTCACAATTCTATCACACTTAATCTAATCACAATCGAAAGAGTACCAAACAGAGAACAGTACACGTTTGTCATGTATTAAAGATGTAATGCTAAACGGTCAGTATGACAGCGTGCGATTTTTCACTCCTCGAAGCTGAAAAAACAAATAACCATTTAATTTGATTAAAATAAAGTGTCAGATTTCTAAAATATGTAGACTTATTTAGGAAATCAAAGATTATTACATTTTCTGTTTTCGAGATATTGGTTATTTCTTATAGTCCTGGTAAAGGCTTAGGAACCGGGACCGGGTATGGCGTACTTAAATTCAAGTCTTTCCTACTTTCACTGCACATGTGTGATGAATGAGAAATAAATCCAAAACTGCTTTGTTACATACCATTTGATTGGCTCGTATTTTATAAGGCCTGGGAAGCTGATAGATAAAAAACGCACTTGTTCAAGATGTTAAAAGGTCGTAATAGTGGACGTAAAACATGTTTAAAATAAATGATTTAATTCCTGATATATGTATTTGTTGTATGTAGAAAATGAACCATGCCATTTCCGAATTTCGTGTCAAATTGTAATCCATAATATCATATAGTATATCTTTTTTGCATGACTTTTACACAAACAGATACATGTGTTACAAGACTACGGGACTAGTCTGATTAAACCGCACCAACCGCTTATACAAAAGCGACCCAAGATATATTTCGTCTCGCTCATGATCAACCAGGCCCTTCAGTCTACACCCACAGCCACTACGTAGTGATCAAACGGCAGAGTGAACGAGATTGTCCGAAGATTTCTCAAACTTGTTTTGATGTAAACACATACATGTGCAGATTTTTATCATCGTAGATACACGGATAATCCTTATAATAAGTAACATATATATATGTATGTGTACTATGTTATATAAACATTTTTAGCATACGTGATCACAAAGTACCAAGAAAAGGAATGAAGACAATGTGAGTTGCCCAGAGAGTAGAGCTAAGCATAACCTAGAACTCCAATTCTGTCATGGTGGTGAATGCATGTACCGTGTATATAGCAACTCAGAGGAATGACTAGTTATTATGTACAGGAACATTAACTTTCTACAGAAATCTTAGCTGGCGTAATCATTTGCTTTCGCTCTATTGTATTGGTTCAAATTCTTCTTGTTGTAGCTGTTTTTTTTTTGTGTACCTTGAATTATTCCCATATTTATATATATATTATTACAAATTTGTCTTCCAATTTTAGTATCCTTTTTGAAGAAGGATGAAAGGAATGAGGAGGAACTTGAGTTCTGCCAAGCTGTCATCGGACTTATTTTTATTTAGTATCAAAGAAGAGTGAAGGCAAGGAGGGATATACACCTGTTCTGCCCAGTGTTGTCATCAAACTTTAATGAAATTTTATGATGATATGCCATTCATTCATTACAGTAATATTATTATTATGCCTGACAAATGGTGTATACACAACCTGTGTTCATGATGAAGTTCAGCCTGTAGATCCTGTAAAAGCTCAAGTAATTTATGAAGAAAGCACTCCACTTGATGGTGTCCATGTGAACAAGTGGAAAAGGTCAACAAACGGCCATCAATACCAAGCTATCAGACTCAAGTTTTTCTACCTCGATTTTGATTTTGAGCTGACAGAAGCCGAAAGGATCAGAATCCAAAAAACTGTGACAGATGCCATTAGTTTCATAGAACATACATTTTCAGGTAAAGAGGGTAAAGAGTACCCATTCTCAATTGTACAATAATGAATATATAAATGAAATTCTTCACTTTTTATTGACCTCCTTGTTTTGAAGTTGTTAATTCACTGGAGTACAAAATCTGGCAGAAGTAGTTGAAGTGATATTTTGAAATAAACTAAAACATAAGGTCCATGAAGAATGTATTCATTATATCAGACTTCAAGTTTTTTCATAATTTTGTAGTACATTTTTAAGTTAAGATCACATTTGATTTAACGATTGCCTTTAGTCTGTGGCCCTATTGTCCTTTAACAATTCTTGTTATCACTTATCTTGAAAAGTACTGTTGGCATTTTTTACGAGTTTCATATGTAGGATCATCTTGATCCCAAATTGTGCATTATCCGATTTTCAGATTGATTTGAAAAGCAAGATTTCCAACAGATGGCCATCTTGGTTTATGACAAAGTAGTTATTGCTATTTTTGGATAAGTACGAAATGGGTCTTACTCAAATTTTATATGCCGGGACTTTTTGTCCCTAGTTTTGCTTTGCAGTTTCGGACTGATACAGAAAAAAACATGGATGACAGGCAGTCATGCTGGATTATTACAATGAAAATTTGTTAGAGCTTTTTCTTGGGAAGAACTGGATAGATCTGTCTCAAAGTTCATATGTAGGTTTCTTTTGGTCCCTAGTTGCATCTTTTCAATTAAGTTTTGAGTCTTTTTCAATTCAGTTTTTAATCAGTGAGGGAAAACAAAATGGTCATCATGTCTCCCATCTTTGATATCAATTATGAAAGTTTATCTCTATTTCATGGAAAGTTTTGGATGGCTCTGTCATAAATTTTGTATGTAGAATCCTTTTTTGTTCGTAGTTGTGTCTGATTAATTTTCAGTTTTATTGGGAAAACAAAATGGTCAACAGGCAGCCATCTTGAACTTTGATATTCAAAATTTGTTATCACTATTTCACGAGAAGCACTGGATGTATCTGTCTATTTTATATAGGCCCCTCAGTCCCATGTTGTGTCCTTTTTATGTTTGGACTGTCAGAGAAACAAAATATTGACAGGCTTCTTCCTTTTATTTGACAATTGCTATTTCTTGAGAGGATTTCTCAGATTTTATTTAATCAAGAGCAAATAAGAGAAAGAAGAAAAAAGGAGGGAAAAGATTGAATTTATAAAGAACAAATGAAGATCAAAGACATGTGGGCATTGATTAAGATCTCCTTGGGATATTTTGGTGAAAGAACTATAGCTTCAGGAACACTCTGCTACATTTACTAAGGTGAAAGGTCAAAGGATTACATATCACCACACAATCAATCCACCATATTGTTTTTATGATGAGTTTGTCACCATTTTTCTTACTAATTAATCAGTGTTACATCAATTTTAATGATCCCATGTAAGTTATTGTTTCTGAAAGCATATCTACGGCATCTGACGATATAATAGAAATATTGTGAGTTGGTTATATGTTTTCATTTTTTCATAGTGATACCAGTAAATAGCAGTTTGTTACTGAAGAGGACAGGCTGTCGAAGAACGTGGCATAAAGAGCCAAATGCTGGAAAGTAAGTTGTATGATGGGAAATATTTAGTTTGATAGTAAGAGATAGAAAGGATGATATTTAGATGTTAACTGTGATGGAGAAATATTATATGTGTCAGTGAGAGAGTGTGATTATGTGATATAAATTGTGACAGTGAAAGTGCACCTATGAGAGTCGGTGTGAATGTAAGATATTATATGCAACAAGGGGTGAGTAAGTTTGACAATGACAGAGAGTGATGGTGAGATAGGAAGTGTGACAAGGAGTGAGTAAGTTTGACAATGACAGAGAGTGATGGTGAGATAGTAAGTGTGACAAGGAGTGAGTAAGTTTGACAATGACAGTGTGATGGTGAGATAGGAAGTGTGACAAGGAGTGAGTAAGTTTGACAATGAAAGTGTGTGATGGTGATATAGGAAGTGTGACAAGGAGTGAGTAAGTTTGACAATGACAGAGAGTGATGGTGAGATAGGAAGTGTGACAAGGAGTGAGTAAGTTTGACAATGACAGAGAGTGATGGTGAGATAGTAAGTGTGACAAGGAGTGAGTAAGTTTGACAATGACAGTGTGTGATGGTGAGATAGGAAGTGTGACAAGGAGTGAGTAAGTTTGACATTGACAGAGTGTGATGGTAAGACATTGTGCCAAGGAGCAAAAAGTGAAATAATCAACTTTAACTAAACCCTATACATGTACATTGTTATAAAAAAACTTGAACAAAGAAAACTGTTTAGATAAAACCAAATTAGTGGAAAATCCACAATGAAGGATTGTGAGTCGGCTGTATTCAATTATACATGATTGCGGTAACTGCTGTTACTGTAATGTAATAAATTTTAGGTCATTAAATAGGATAAAGGGCTACCAAGTTTGTTTATATCATTGACCTTGACCCACTTTCAAGGTCACAGGTGTCAAATATGTAGAAATCTTTAAAAAAAATCTTTTCTATAATCAAAAGCCCAATATATTGAGCCTGTAACATGTGGTGATGAAGGGCTACCAAATTTGTTTAAACAAATGACTTTCACCCATTTTCAAGGTCACAGGGGCCAAATGTTTTAAAATGTTTAAATTACTTCTCAATGATAAAAAAGGCTCAGGTGTTAAATATGTCAAAATCTTTAAACAGTAATAAGCAAAGGAAAAAAGGTGATTATATTGGGCCTGTGACATCCTGGGATGTAGGGTTACCAATTTTGTTCTTATGAATGACCTTTTCTGTTTTTAAAGTTAATGAGTTCATATCTTCAGAATTTTTCTCTCAATAATAAAAAGGTCCAGGCTGTTGATATTTGTTGTTTAAAAGAAGTGGATAAAGAGATACCAACTTTAATTGAATATTTGACCTTTACTTATATATATATATATATAAAAGAAAGATATTCATCTATTAGATAAGGGGTATCTTTTATGTAAAATGACATAAGGGTGCTAGATATTGAAGAGTATAAAGGAATATAGATACACATAATCAGTGTGGGAGGAGGAAACTTACATATATCAGATATAGTAATGTTAAAGATGGGAGAAAAGACACTATATATTAGGGAAACATGTGTTAGTACAGGGCTAGGTCTGTGATAGATGTTAGGGAAACATGTGTTAGTATAGGACTAGTCTAGGTCTGTGATTGATGTTAGGGTAACATGTGTTAGTACAGGGCTAGGTCTGTGATAGATGTTAGGGAAACATGTGTTAGTACAGGGCTAGGTCTGTGATAGATGTTAGGGAAACAAGAATTAGTACAGGACTAGGCTAGGTCTGTGATAGATGTTAGGGAAACATGTGTTAATACAGGGCTAGGTCTGTGATAGATGTTAGGGAAACAAGAATTAGTACAGGGCTAGGTCTGTGATAGATGTTAGGGAAACATGTGTTAGTACAGGGCTAGGTCTGTGATAGATGTTAGGGAAACATGTGTTAGTACAGGACTAGGTCTGTGATAGATGTTAGGGAAACATGTGTTAGTACAGGGCTAGGTCTGTGATAGATGTTAGGGAAACATGTGTTAGTACAGGGCTAGGTCTGTGATAGATGTTAGGGAAACATGTGTTAGTACAGGGCTAGGTCTGTGATAGATGTTAGGGAAACAAGAATTAGTACAGGACTAGGCTAGGTCTGTGATAGATGTTAGGGAAACATGTGTTAGTACAGGGCTAGGTCTGTGATAGATGTTAGGGAAACATGTGTTAGTACAGGACTAGGTCTGTGATAGATGTTAGGGAAACATGTGTTAGTACAGGGCTAGGTCTGTGATAGATGTTAGGGAAACATGTGTTAGTACAGGGCTAGGTCTGTGATAGATGTTAGGGAAACATGTGTTAGTACAGGGCTAGGTCTGTGATAGATGTTAGGGAAACATGTGTTAGTACAGGGCTAGGCCTGTGATAGATGTTAGGGAAACAAGAATTAGTACAGGGCTAGGTCTGTGATAGATGTTAGGGAAACAAGAATTAGTACAGGACTAGGTCTGTGATAGATGTTAGGGAAACATGTGTTAGTACAGGACTAGGTCTGTGATAGATGTTTGGTTGATTATTATTTATATACTCTTTATAGGTGTGCTGTAATAGACAAGAATTACAGAGAAGAGTATTGTCATGATGCTGTGAAGGTAAATGATGTCAAATATGCACAAAACACAGTTTTAAACACATGACAAAAGTACATTGAGAGAGAAATAAGCTACAACAGTGTAAGATTCTTGTTGGTAATCAGAACAATGTTGATATTGGTTTATGTCAGAAAATAAATATACACAGGTACAAATAAATTATAAATTTGGAACTTGACATCCCATCTGACTGCTAGACAGGAAGATATTGTCATGCTTTCTTTATAAAATGTGACCAAATTTGGTGTCATTGTGTCAAAGAGATTCCATCTTGTATAAAGCAAGGGAGTGATACAGGTTTTCTGGGCATTTTGTTTTGATTTCATTTCTTAGATTCCAGAGGCCCACCTCGGATCCTTGAAGGTATACCCTAAAGATAGGGAGGAGGAAGTGGTGTTTCCCGCAGGGAAGGGCATTCCTGATGCAGACACTGTTCTCTATATCACAGCCAAAACAACCAAGACTTGTTACCAAAGGAAGGTATGCTAATCACACTTACTGGTGTTGAAAAAGTAAACCTACCTACAGGTGTTGTATATCTACCTTCTGGTGTTGTATATATACCTACTGATGTTGTATATATACCTACTGATGTTGTATATCTACCTACTGGTGTGGTATATCTACTTACTGGTGTAGTATATATACCTACTGATGTTGTATATCTACTTACTGGTGTTGTACATCTACCTACTGGTGTTGTATATCTACCTACTGATGTTGTATATCTACCTACTGGTGTTGTATATATACCTACTGATGTTGTATATACCTACTGGTGTTGTATATATACCTACTGATGTTGTATATCTACCTACTGGTGTTGTATATCTACCTACTGGTGTTGTATATCTACCTACTGGTGTTGTATATCTACCTACAGTTGTTGTATATCTACCTATTGGTGTTGTATATCTACCTACTGGTGTTGTATATATACCTACTGGTGTTGTATATCCACCTACTGGTGTTGTATATCTACCTACAGTTGTTGTATATCTACCTATTGGTGTTGTATATCTACCTACTGATGTTGTATATATACCTACTGGTGTTGTATATCTACCTACTGGTGTTGTATATCTACCTACTGGTGTTGTATATCTACCTACTGGTGATGTATATATATCTACTGGTGTTGTATATCTACCTGCTGGTGTTGTATATCTACCTACTGGTGTATATATACCTTCTGATGTTGTATATCTACCTACTGATGTTGTATATCTACCTACTGATGTTGTATATCTACCTACTGGTGTTGTATATCTACCTACTGGTGTGGTATATCTACCTACTGGTGTTGTATATCTACCTACTGGTGTTGTATATCTACCTACTGGTGTTGTATATCTACCTACTGGTGTATATATATCTACTGATGTTGTATATCTACCTACTGATGTTGTATATCTACCTGCTGGTGTTGTATATCTACCTACTGGTGTATATATACCTTCTGATGTTGTATATCTACCTACTGATGTTGTATATCTACCTACTGATGTTGTATATCTACCTACTGGTGTTGTATATCTACCTACTGGTGTATATATATCTACTGGTGTTGTATATCTACCTACTGGTGTTGTATATCTACCTACTGGTGTTGTATATCTACCTACTGGTGTATATATACCTTCTGATGTTGTATATCTACCTACTGATGTTGTATATCTATCTACTGGTTTGGTATATATATCTACTGGTGTTGTATATCTACCTACTGGTGTATATATACCTTCTGATGTTGTATATCTACCTACTGATGTTGTATATCTACCTACTGGTTTGGTATATATATCTACTGGTGTTGTATATCTACCTACTGGTGTTGTATATATACCTACAGTTGTTGTATATCTACCTACTGGTGTTGTATATATACCTACTGATGTTGTATATATACCTACAGTTGTTGTAAATCTACCTACAGTTGTTGTATATCTACCTACTGATGTTGTATATCTACCAACTGGTGTTATGTAAAGTATATCTACCTACTGGTGTTGTATATCTACCTACTGGAGTTGTATATCCACCAACTGGTGTTATGTAAAGCATATCTACCTACTGGTGTTGTATATCTACCTACTGGTGTTATGTAAAGTATATCTACCTACTGGTGTTGTATATCTACCTACTGGAGTTGTATATATACCTACTGGTGTTGTATATCTACCTACTGGAGTTGTATATCTACCTACTGGTGTATATATACCTTCTGATGTTGTATATCTACCTACTGATGTTGTATATCTACCTACTGGTTTGGTATATATCTACTGGTGTTGTATATCTACCTACTGGTGTTGTATATATACCTACTGGTGTTGTATATCTACCTACTGGTGTATATATACCTTCAGATGTTGTATATCTACCCACTGATGTTGTATATCTACCTACTGGTTTGGTATATATATCTACTGGTGTTGTATATCTACCTACTGATGTTGTATATCTACCTACTGGTGTTGTATATCTGCCTACTGGTGTTGTATATCTACCTACTGGTTTGGTATATATATCTACTGGTGTTGTATATCTACCTACAGGTGTTGTATATATACCTACAGTTGTTGTATATCTACCTACTGGTGTTGTATATATACCTATTGATGTTGTATATATACCTACAGTTGTTGTAAATCTACCTACAGTTGTTGTATATATACCTACTGATGTTTTATATCTACCAACTGGTGTTATGTAAAGTATATCTACCTACTGGTGTTGTATATCTACCTACTGGAGTTGTATATCCACCAACTGGTGTTATGTAAAGCATATCTACCTACTGGTGTTGTATATCTACCTACTGGTGTTATGTAAAGTATATCTACCTACTGGTGTTGTATATCTACCTACTGATGTTGTATATCTACCTATTGGTGTTGTATATATACCTACTGATGTTGTATATATACCTACAGTTGTTGTATATATACCTACTGGTGTTGTATATCCACCTACTGGTGTATATATATATACCTTCTGATGTTGTATATCTACCTACTGATGTTGTATATCTACCTACTGGTTTGGTATATATATCTACTGGTGTTGTATATCTACCTACTGGTGTTGTATATATACTTACTGGTGTTGTATATCTACCTACTGGTGTATATATACCTTCTGATGTTGTATATCTACCTACTGGTGTTGTATATCTACCTACTGGTGTTGTATATCTACCTATTGGTTTGGTATATATATCTACTGGTGTTGTATATCTACCTACTGGTGTTGTATATATACCTACAGTTGTTGTATATATACCTACAGTTGTTGTATATCTACCTACTGGTGTTGTATATATACCTACTGATGTTGTATATCTACCTACTGGTGTTGTATATCTACCTGCTGGTGTTGTATATCTACCTAATGGTGTTGTATATCTACCTACTGGAGTTGTATATCCACCAACTGGTGTTATGTAAAGCATATCTACCTACTGGTGTTGTATATCTACCTACTGGTGTTATGTAAAGTATATCTACCTACTGGTGTTGTATATCTACCTACTGGAGTTGTATATATACCTACTGGTGTTGTATATCTACCTACTGGAGTTGTATAAAGTACATCTACTTTCTTGTGTTGTATAAAGTATGTCTGCTTACTGGCGTTGCATCAAGTACTTATACACCATTTAAGTTTGAATTACATAGTTGTAATGTACTTTCAGATTATCACTACACCACAGTGTTTATATTTTTTTTAGATTGTACTAGCTTACTCTGGTTATTGCCAACTGGACCAATATGACCGCCCGATCGCTGGTTATATCAATTTCTGTCCCTTTCTGATCAGAGCTACTAACATGACACAAGAAAAAGTCTACATGGTAATGTATACCCATTGTAATTTTACACAAGGGATCATGATGATATTTTTGATGAAGGTTTTATACCTCTTGTACATATTTTATTGAATCTTTTCAAATTAATTGTCAATTTTAAGCTCACCTGGCAGAACAATTTTTCTTTAAACAGCTTCTCAATAACCAATGGACCAAATGTTTTGATATTTGGCTTGTGCATCGTAACCTTTTAACATTTTTGACTTCTAGAAAACTCCTTAACTGATGTCAACGAAATTTTACTAAAATCTTCCATTGTTTAAGGTGCACCACAATTGTAAATTTTATGGTCCCCAACCCCCTGGGGCCTGAGAGCTGCGACAAAATTGGGTCAAATTGATTGAAACTTCAAAAATTTTCCTCTTGGATCCCAAGTATGGTAGATTTAAATACTTTTTATGGATGGGAAGGCCTGAAGATGCTTTACCTAAATTACAAATTTTATGACCCCAGGGTTTGACGTCTTCCCCTGAGGAGGGAGTTAAGTTTACTAAACAGTATATAGGTAAATGACATTTTTGAACATAATTTGCTTATTTTCTAGACATAGATCAAACTTGGCAAGAATTGTTACTGTAGAATGACAGTTTGATAATATGCACGTACTGAACCTTGCTGACCCTGAGGGGCTGATGGGCGGGCCAGAGAGGTGATTAGAGTTTACTTAACATTATATAGAAAATTTACTTTTAGTAATTTGTTTTAGGATCAGGATGACCTATAGTCATTGTGTTTTGTCTGTCGTTGTGTGCTAGTCTGCTAAGCGTAAACTTCCATTCAAATGACATCTTTTCAAAACCAAAAAGGCCCAGAGTGCTGATATTGGGTCTGTGGCATGGTTGGATGAAAAGCTTCAGAGTTTCTAAATATGAATGACTATGAATCACTTCAAGGTCATAGGGGTCAAATATAATAAAACTTTTAAAACAACTTCTTTTCAATAAAAGATAGGCCCAGGGTGCTGATATTGAGTTTGTAGCAGGATTGGATGCTACCAGGTTTGATCTTATGATTGAACATGATTAACTTTCAATATGGCAGGGTCAAATATGTTGTAATCTTTAAACAGCCTCTGTCCACTGTTCCATTACCAAAATGCCCAGGGTGCTGATATTTGACCTGTAGCATGATGGGATGACGGGCTACCAAGGTTGTCAAAATAATTGAACTTGACCAATTTTCAAAGTCACAGGGGTCAGATGTGTAAAAATCTTTTAAACAATTTCTTCAAAATAACCAAAAGGCCCAGGGTGCTGATATTAGGGTTGGATGAATTGTTACAGTTTTGTTCATATGATAGACTTTTTCTCCATTTTGGTCACAGAGGTCAAATGTGGTAAAATCTTTGAACAACTTCTTCTTTCTAAATAATTGGTGCAGAAGCATAGTATTTGGCTGACAGTTCCTTGGATGAAGCCTGACAAGGTTTGCCAAAAAGAAGTGACCTTGACCTTCATTCAAGGTTGCAGGGGTTGAATTTGTTAAACCACAAAAAAATCATTTCTTCTGACTTACCATAAGGCACAGAAGCTGATTGTTAAAAGTTGACAAAAAGAAATGACCTTGACTCTTATTCAGCATCACAGGGGTGAAATTTGTTAAAACATGTAAACAACTTCTTCTGTCTGACCAAAAGGCGCAGAAGAATTATATTTAGATGATGGATTCCTGGGATTAAACCCAACAAAGTTTACGAAAAGAAAACAACTTCTTCTGAAAAGCCAAATGGCGCAGAAGCATATTTGGCTGACGGCTTTCTTGGATGAAGCCTGACAAGGTTGACATTGTCTCGTATTCAAATTGATTATATTTTACATCCAAACCATAGCTTTCTCATTTGTTGAAATGTAAGTTAACTGTTCTATTGGATCTTTTTCAGAGTGTTGTCCATGAGTTGTTTCACGTACTGGGGTTCTCAAAAGGATTGTTTGGCAAGTTCAGAGACTGCTCTCGTTCAGGTATTTTGAATTAAAATTAAAACACTCTTTACATGAATTTTTCTGTCTTTATGTAAATATCTATATCAATATACTTACACATCAGATTTTAATGAATGCTAGGAAAGTTCCTTCTTTCAGTTGCATTGAAAAGAAAAGACCATGAAAAAAAAAATTTGGATTGAAACTTTTCCCAGCAGGTCCATTCCATAAAAAGTACTCAGCATTCTAAGGTATGAATCTATGCTTGTTCCAGTTGGTGGAGAATGTCCCAGATATATGTCACGTGTGGTACGACAGATCTACGGCATCACACGTCTGGTTACCTCAACTGTGATACAACATGCCCAGAATCACTTTGGCTGTCTGACTGAGGAGAGGTTTGGAGGACCACTACATGTTGAGGTATCCTACCTACAGGTTGACATTGATACAATCACATACAACCTTACACAAGTGATTTTTATTATTGAATTGCATTTAATGAGAAGGATTTGTAACAACTCTAAGAGTCGAGACAGATAGACTGCAACTTCTCATCACTGTCTTTTTCTGCCTGATATTTGAATAATATTCATTATTACAGAATGGGGTCATTACTTCCCATTGGAGTCCGAAGTTGATGTATGGTTCTATTATGGCTCCAAAGCTAGGAATGGTGAGTTCAGCAGTTCTATATAAACAGCAGGAGTGATTAGATTATATCCAGATTTGATCTGAAGCATGACAAGTTGAAGGGAATTCAGTTTTGTATAGATAGTGGGTCTGTTTCCCAAGGGGCCAGAGAAGTGTGGTGGAAATGTAGTAAATTTGTTAGTTTTTCCTTTAAGTTGCAACTAGTCATGACTGAAATAGCAAATTTGGTCTGAAGCATCCCTTGACGAAAAGGAATTATTTTTTATTAAATGGTGGGTGTAAGGCCCCCTTGAGCCAGAGGGTTGGGGTCTGATTGGGAAAAATCTATCAGTTACTTTAAAATCTATTTTGTTCTTTAGGAATGTTATTCAAATTAGATTTGAAACATCCTTGAGTGAAGAGAAATCAGTTTGTTAAAAACGGAGAGTCTAAACCTCCTTGGGCAGTAAGTGTAGGGCACAATATTAGAAACAGTGCCAATTAATTAGATACTTCTCCTCCTGCAGGAAGGAATAGATTTTGCTAAAATTTGGCCTGAAGCATTCTTTGGTAAAGGGGAATATCAATTTTGTATATATGTATAAAACTTTGGGTTTCGGCCTCTTGGGAGAGGCATGAGGCCAAATAGAAAAACAGAAAAATGCCTTTAAAATCCTTCTTCTGTAAATATACCGGGATGCTGTCCCAATTTGGTCTGAGACATGCTTGGGTGAAGGGAAATACGTTTTGTGTAAACGGTGGGTTTTGGACCCTAGGGATGGAAAGGGTGGGCTCGATAGGGAATACAGAGCAAATTCTTCAAAATCCTACTCTTCTCATAGGAATGTTTATATTTTGACGAAATTTGGTCTGAAACATCCATTGTTGAAGAGGAATCAGTTTTGTAAAAGCTTTAGGTTTCAGCCTCCTGTGGCAGGGGCCATTAGGGGAATTATAGCAAATTCTTTAAAATTTCCTTATTTAAGATAACCTGGCTGTTGTCCCAACAGTCAGAATTTAAGACATGGTTAGGTGTAGGGAAATCACTTTTGTATAAACCACGGATCTCTGCCCCTTCAATTCTCAAAAATTGATCTTATCCTTAAGGAATGATTGAATTTTTTCCAAATTAAAGTCTGAAGGTAGATTGAAATTAATTTTGTGTAAACAGTGCATCTCCCCATTTGCCAGAGAGCATGGCCTTATGGGAGAAAAAGATGTAAATCTTTTAAATACTTTCCATTTAGTTAAGATCAAGCAACTTCAGCAATGGAATACTGGGTATAATAGTACACTGTATTAGCATAATTAGAAAAGGTAGATATATGATTGTGTGTCTTTCCTTTTAACAGTTGGGTTCAGGGGATAATGTCACATCTTGCCATATCTTGCTCTTAGCTCTTATGGCTTGAAGGACCAAGTGAGCTTTTGCCATAGCACAAAGATAAAGTGTTAGAATTGCTCTTCATCTATTGAATTGACATGTATTTATTCAAATTTGGAAAACAGTATCCTTGGGTGAAGGAGACTCAGTTTTGTATTAAAACTGGCTTTGAGCCCCCTTGCACCTCAATAGACTCAATAGGTGGAATAGAGGCAAGCTTTGAAAAATTTTTGACCAAATTTGGTCTGAAACATCAGTGTGTAGAGGGGATTAAAATTTACTTAAGTAAAGTCTGACTTTCCTGGGATTACAGGGACAGATTCCAATAGAATATCTTTAAAATATATGATTTGGAGAAAACAATAATAAATTGTTACCAAACCCAACCAGGTGAACATTATTGCCCTTGTTGGCCTTTTGTTGTAACTTTGTAGTAATTTTTACTTTCACTTTTTTATATATTTATATAAAGTATGTAATTTTGAAAAAAAACCCAGTGGATTTCATTTTCAAATCAAGTGAAATAAACTGGAGTCTCCAGCCAGTATTTGGAAACATGACATGCATGGAATTGACCTTTTCATTAGTTTGATTGGTGTATTTCCAGGCTCACCAAACTGTGATTGACCCTTTGACCTTGGCATTTTTTGAGGACACTGGATGGTACAAGGTGGATTATGACCAAGCTGGACTCTATTTGTGGGGCAAAGGTCTATTTTTTTCGTATCTACTTTTCATTAAAAGTAAAAGAAAAAGAATCGCTGCCCATCTGTCAGTAAGCTAGTCAAAGTTTGTATTTTAGGCGTTGGGATGTATACATATCAGGTACACTCATATTCATGCTTTTTAGTAACATTTTATTATTATGACCAGGTAAAAAGAACTGATGAGTTCATGCCATGATGTAGCATTCATATCGTTACTACATGTACATGTAGTCACGAAGGACGAAACAGATTTTTACAAATTTGGTTTAGAGCATCAATGATGGAAGGGGACCCAGATTTGTACTAACAGTGACTCTGGGTCTTTTGAGGCATGAAGGGCATGGACCAATAGAGGAAAAGAATTAAGTATTTAAAATCCTTCTACAACAATTAGATGATACAGTCCAAATTATCTTCAGAACATCAATTGGTTCAGGTTCACAGGACTCAGATTTGTTTGCCTGACCCAATCTCTAGAATCATTCTTCTCCTGTTCAAATAAATTGATATTGACCAGATTTAGTCTAAAGCAACCTTGGTGGAGACATTCACTTTTGTATAAATGAGAGGCCTTGACCCCCAAGTGACCTGATGGATGAGGTCCATAAATGGAAATAGAGGAAAAACTTCTTCAGGAATGACATGTATTGAGGAGTATGTAAGGATGGAGAGATTTTAACCAAACTGATAGATGCCCTTCTTTGTTCTCATGATCAGAATACCCAGTGATGTTACAGTCAGATAGACAGACACATATAACAGTAATATCACAGACAGATAGACAGACACATCCAACAGTGATATTACTGTTAGATAGACAGACACATATAACAGTAATATTACAGTCAGGTAGATGGACACATCCAACAGTAATATCACAGACAGATAGACAGACACATCCAACAGTAATATCACAGACAGATAGACAGACACATCCAACAGTGATATTACTGTTAGATAGACAGACACATCTAACAGTGATATTACAGTCAGATAGACAGACACATCTAACAGTAATATCACAGAAAGATAGACAGACACATCCAACAGTAATATCACAGACAGATAGACAGACACATCCAACAGTGATATTACTGTTAGATAGACAGACACATCTAACAGTGATATTACAGTCAGATAGACAGACACATCTAACAGTAATATCACAGACAGATAGACAGACACATCCAACAGTGATATGACAGTCATATAGACAGACACATCTTACAGTAATATCACAGATAGATAGACAGACACATACAACAGTAATATTACAGACAGGTAGACAGACACATCTAACAGTGATATTACAGTCAGATAGACAGACACATCCAACAGTGATATTACTGTTAGATAGACAGACACATCTAACAGTGATATTACAGTCAGATAGACAGACACATCCAACAGTGATATTACTGTTAGATAGACAGACACATCTAACAGTGATATTACAGTCAGATAGACAGACACATCTAACAGTAATATCACAGATATTACTGATAGACAGACACATCCAACAGTGATATTACAGTCATATATTACAGATGGACACATCCAACAGTGATATTATCACAGACACATATAACAGAATATCACAGACAGACACACATCCAACAGTGATATATCATATAGATGGACACATCCAACAGTAATATCACAGATAGACAGACACATCCAACAGTAATATCACAGATATTACTGTTAGATAGACAGACACATCTAACAGTGATATTACAGTCAGATAGACAGACACTTCTAACAGTGAATTTACAGTCAGATAGACAGACACACCTAACAGTGATATTACAGTCAGATAGACAGACACATCCAACAGTGATATAACAGTCAGATAGACAGACACATCTAACAGTAATATCACAGACAGATAGACAGACACATCCAACAGTGATATAACAGTCAGATAGACAGACACATCTAACAGTAATATCACAGACAGATATACAGACTCATACAACAGTGATATTACTGTTAGATAGACAGACACATACAACAGTAATATCACAGACAGATATACAGACTCATACAACAGTGATATTACTGTTAGATAGACAGACACATACAACAGTAATATCACAGACAGATAGACAGACACATACAACAGTAATATTACAGACAGGTAGACAGACACATCTTTCAGTAATATTATAGTCAGATAGACAGACACATCTAACAGTAATTTTACAGACAGGTAGATAGATCCTCACAAAAGTTATATTCTGGTCAGGTAGACAAATACCCACAACCATAATATATGTATTCTAAGGTAGGGAGTCACATACAATGGTAATATTCCAGACAAGTAGAGACTTACATACAATAGTAATATTCCAGACAGGTAGAGACTTACATACAATAGTAATATTCCAGACAAGTAGAGACTTACATACAATAGTAATATTCCAGACAAGTAGAGACTTACATACAATAGTAATATTCCAGACAAGTAGAGACTTACATACAATAGTAATATTCCAGACAAGTAGAGACTTACATACAATAGTAATATTCCAATCAAGTAGAGACTTACATACAATAGTAATATTCCAGACAAGTAAAGACTTACATACAATAGTAATATTCCAATCAAGTATTCTGTAGATAATAGTTTTGTACACAACAGTTTTCCTTTTTTTAAGATATCAATATCTTACACAATAGTGTTTTATGTCCTTTAAAATTCATTTGAATTTTATTTTTCTTCAGATACTGGGTGTAAATTTGGATCCCGTGAAAGTTGTCAGAAGTCCAACTTCTTTTGTAAGACTACAAAGTAAGTTTACATTATAATACCAAATTGACTAATTGTTGGTTTTAGGGGTGCAGGGATGTTTAGATCTTCCTCGATTTTTATGCTATAATTGATATATTCATATGTAATTGGAAGGAGTAATGAGCTCCTAGCTGCTAGTGTTTGAATTAAGCTTATAGCTTTAATTCTTCTTCATGGTTTTCACCTCCATCAATACTGATGATTCTAGTGAGGCTATAGTGACCTTTGGTCTCTAACCAGACACTCCACCAGTAGATTAAAGAGAAATCCCCACTAGCCAAGGCTAGAGAGGTGACCATTAATATCCCCAACCTCTACAACTTGTAGCATCAGTAGGACTTACCAGGAGAACTGATAAAGGGCAGTGATCAAATAAGTTATTAACTGATGAAATGTTATTGTCACTATTGTGTAAGGTACTTTAAAAGAATAATAAAACATAGTTAATTGGATAAACAAGCTAGTAATTGATTGGTTGTCAATAGCCAGTGATAATAATACTGAACATTTTCGTCAGGTTGGAAAGTAAGGATTATGTAAAGATTCTTTATACACAACCAGGAATTTTAATATGTGACGTTTCGGTGACCAGTACGATCCGTACGCTGTCACCTTCCTCAGACCCTTTATCAGTGGTCTGAGGAAGGTGACAGCGTACGGATCGTACTGGTCACCGAAACGTCACATATTAAAATTCCTGGTTGTGTATAAAGAATCCTTACATAAGCCAGTGATAATAGCTGATCATCAATGTTGGAATCTCAACACATCCCCTTAAACACAAGAAAATATTCAATTTATGAGAGTTCGCTACTTCAAACCTTCAGTGGCCTATAACAGTGCACTTCACTTCCAAATGTGCAGATATCAGAGTCACACTTGACTGGACATGATCAGTTATTACTTCTCCAATCACACTCATCCATCATAATGATCATATGAAGATCTCATCATGACTGTATGTCTTGAACCTTCATGTAATTATGTATATTAGTATGACCAATCACTTAGATCATGTGCCATTGCATATGGATATAAAACTTCCATTATCCCCTTATTTCAATACACAATCACAGTGTCTATAAGTGCTTAGGGTCAGGGCCACAAGGGGGCTATATTGCTATAACAACATCTCCTTTAGAACTTTGCGCTGGACATTACTCATATTTGGTTGGAAGCTTCCTTCAGTGATTGGGATTCAAAATCATACAAATGGATTAGATATGAACCAATTTTGATGAACTTGGTATGCAGCCTGATGTCAACAAGATCTTGGATAAATTTGATAATTGGACCAATTCAATTGTAATTTACATATATATGACCCTTTAATGTGAACATTGGTCATTGTGAACATGATAACTCAATATGAACTGATTTTAATGAAACTTAAAAAAGAATAGAAAAGAATGGAAATATCTAGTTTGCTAGAAAAAGATAAAGGCCAAACAATGGTGGGTGCAAATATCCATATATTTCTGAACCATAGCTTTTAAACAATTGAAAAAAAAACCAACTCAAATCTTACACTTATCAAGCTGATACTGTAGAAGTGTCTTTTGCGTTAGAGAAGTTCTCTATTGAAAAACTTTTTCTGTCACCATGGGAACAGATATGCTGAGTTATAACTTTCAGTTTTTCCGGACATCAGCTATAAAACCTTTTAAGATCACTACTCAATATTTTGTAGCTTTCAGGGTAGTACATTGCTTACTTGACGCAGTGTT